TTATTATACAGTCTGGGAGTAGTGTTTATTATACAGGCTGGGAGTGGTGTTTATTATACAGGCTAGGAGCGGTGTTTATTATACAGGCTGGGAGTGGTGTTTATTATACAGGCTAGGAGCGGTGTTTATTATACAGGCTGGGAGTGGTGTTTATTATACAGGCTAGGAGCGGTGTTTATTATACAGGCCGGGAGCGGTGTTTATTATACAGGCTGGGAGTGGTGTTTATTATACAGTCTGGGAGTAGTGTTTATTACACAGGCTAGATGTGGTGTTTATTATACAGGCTGGGAGTGGTGTTTATTATACAGGCTTGTTGTGGTGTTTATTATACAGGCTTGTTGTGGTGTTTATTATACAGGCTTGTTGTGGTGTTTATTATACAGGCTGGGAGTGGTGTTTATTATACAGTCTGGGAGTAGTGTTTATTACACAGGCTAGATGTGGTGTTTATTATACAGGCTGGAAGTGGTGTTTATTATACAGGCTGGGAGTGGTGTTTATTATACAGGCTAGGAGCGGTGTTTATTACACAGGCTAGATGTGGTGTTTATTATACAGGTTAGGTGTGGTGTTTATTACACAGGTTCAGACCGAGATGTTCATTATACAAACTTAGAATGGTGTTTATTAGGCCACGCTCTCAACATGTATGATAAACATCATATCCAAACTTCATTATTAACACTAATCCTAACATGTGTGTAGGCTGTTATATATATATATATATATATATATATATATATATCATTTCATCTAATATTATTATAATGCACTATTAGTTAATAAGCAATCATTGATGAATTAATAACTTGTGATCAATGGTGGTTGACTGGATGAGGACTATCTTTCTACTATAATTTTTCATTCTCCTTGTGTTTGAGTATTCCAGGGGAATATTTATTGAAGTCTGCTGAAGAAAGTCATTAATCCCAGAAATAACATTACACTGTGACACAACATTTGTACAACACTGACCATAAGGAGACAGACTTGAGGAGAAGGTGAACCCAACACCTTCATCATCTTCCATAATAGACACTGATGGTTGCTATTGATTTCATTCGACAGAGGCCTCGCTAGTGTGTACCATTTTTGACACAATCTCAGCTTTGGTAGCACCATCTAGTGGCTATTGCCGCAATTTACGTAGTTATTTGTTAGCCAGTCAAACCTCCGACAAATCTTGTCACAATGTGCCTGATTTTGTATGTAAGCTGTTCATATAAACATTGAGCGTAAGCCTTTGGTTTACATACGGCCACATTTCTAACAAGAAATCCTCTTGTTATTATCGTCATAATTCATTCAATTTTGTGTTTATAGAGCAGTGTTTGAAGAATATGATAGACTGGTAATGAAAAATAAGCCTATATGAAAAGCAAACAGTCTGATCCAGAAGCTGAAGTTAGTGATAAAATATTATCATAAGTAATTTCATGCAATAACATACAAGAAAATGATAGGATTCGGAGAAACATTCATAATTACATTTTTTTCTACATTTATAGAATTAATTTTAATACAAATTAGGAAACGTAATGTTATCATATTAAGAAATATGATGTTGTCTAATTAAGAAATACAAATTATGTCAAATTAGGAAATATAATGTTATCGTATTATGAAATATGATGTTGTCTAATTAAGAAATAAGATGTGTCAAATTCAAAAGTAAATGATGTCAAATATTAGTAACAAACATAAATCTTGTCAAATTGAAAAATATAATGCTGTCAAATTTGAAGGAAAATTTTATCAAATTAAGAAATAAAATGTTACCAAATGAAGAAATATAATCAACATCAAGTAGGGGCAACTGATTCATTGAAATTCAATATATATCACAATATTTGCCTTTTTATCTAATTTTCGAAAAAAAACCTTTCTGGGTCAATATCATACAAAATCATATGGGTTTCAAAAATGTTATTTTAGTTAGCCATGGGCCAATAATCGAAAAAAGAACAAATAATAAGTAAAAAATTGAGTTAATTAAGGAAATGAAACAGATTAATCAGTGTTAAAACTCTCAAAAAATTTATTTATATAATTCAATAATGACTAAGAGATTTAAAAAAAATAAGAAATATGAAACTGATTTTAATCAACAGATTACTGATTATGTGTATTCAATTATTGATTATAAAACTGGAAAATCACAATTCAAGGATTAATTTAATTTATTTTTTATGTTATATTTATTAAGCCATAACACAAAAAAGTGTACTCTAAATAAATCATGTTAAGTATCAATAATGTCAAAAATAATTAAAGTTGACAAAAATGATTTTTTTATAGCCTATGAAAATGCTTGCTTCAAAGATTTCTTTATCTATTGTTGCTATACATCCTTTTAATAGTCAGGGTCATTTAAGGATGGGCCAGGCCGAAAAAATACTACTAATCTGCAACCACTACCTGGTGACTGCCCAATGTAGGCCTCAAATCTACATACCTGGTGTATAACACAGTACAATGAAAGTAATCTAATAAGTGAACACCTCAATACTGATCTGCCATAAATTATGACTAAAAATGATTTCTTTTAGATCAGTCGAAAATAAGTCTTATCACAAGTGTGTAGTGCTATGTAGTGAATTTCTATTTTTGTGAATGATCTTATTATGACATAATCATTGCAATGAAGTCATGGTCGCTAATTTGTTAAATACATTGTCATCACAATAGCGATCTCAGAGCTAATAAATGTAGTGGCGAAGTGACTCGAAAAATTACATAAGAAAGCATGTTTTCTGTAATGTTTGGAATTCAGAATTGTCCATGTGATAGAAAGAATCACAAAGTTGTTTTCATGGGCTCATTTAAATGAAAAAATCTGTGATTCATGATAATTTTTTTTCTTTTTTCATGAAATAAAAAGAAAACTCAAGTAAGATCCAATGTATATACCCAGGTATACTGTATATACATAAATGTATATAGATATGTAGATATTTCTATCTAAGAGTTAAATTTTGGCTTGCTGCAATGTATCTGTGGTCTGAATAGTTGCATTCAATATTCATTTTCACCTCATAATTTTTCATAAGTCAAAACAGTTTGTTTTCAGAAAATAGCAGTATCAAAGTATTAAAGTATTAAAGGGAAATTATAATGAAATATAGCAATTGGTACTATGTTTCTAGAGATGATTGTTTTTATCTTTAGAAACAGCAAGCTTGGTAGCTGTTACCAACTGCATATGTGTCAGTTATCCCACTAGAAAATAGAATGTCTCATAGTATAAGACAAAAGCTAGCTGGTGAACTGTTTTTAGGATGTAAATTTTTGGCCACAATATGAACCATACAAATCCCATAAGCATATATCATTCTTTGCTGACTTTGATTTTAATTATAGCATAGTTGTTGGGTTTTTTCAAATATATTTAACAAACATGTCAATAATTGTCAATTACTCTATGATCAAGAAGTATGTAATTTATGTCTTTCCTCTACATTCAAGGATGGCTAGCTACATGCTGTTACATTGCACTGAAAGTTTTATTTGGAATTTCTTTTTAAATTACGCAGAATTACTAATTATTACCTAGAGACAGGTTGACAGGCCTGTCTGTCCAAATGAAATACTATCAAATTTTGCCAATTGCAATAAGACACATCAGGAATTTTGCTTACCTAATTTGAACAATCAGATTTAGTGCAACAAGAATAGGGAAAACATGAAATGTCCAGGTACTGGCTGGATTGAGCTTGATATTATGAGTATACCGGGTTCCTGACAATGGAAGCCTTATATATCATATATCTGTTATTTGGAAATGCTAATGAAGGGAACAATTGAACAATTCGGTCTATGAGTCTGAGATGATCCATAACCATACTTGTGTATTTTATTCTAAAATGAATGTAATGTGATACTTTGTTGTACATCAAATAACACTTTACTACAGATTCTCTTCAAATCTATTAGTTTTGTAATTTCAAGGAGTAATGAATAACGGGTTCTGTTTCTGATGAGACTCAAATTAACAACGTTTCAACATTTTGTAGCATGCTACTCTATTGCTTGACTACTGGGAAATTGAGGCTAGAAAGGTGACCACTGTTCTCTCAACTTCAATGCTACTCCCTCTTTCACAAGTCTTCACTCCCATTGACAACCACAACACAGGTTCAAAATCTCAAAATAATCATCTTATTATAAAGTCTGCTTCTACTCTTTGAGTTGTATGCAAGTAAATAACAGAAATTTAAAGCACATATGTAATCTGAAAAAATATATTTTGCCCTACATATGGTCTTAAACTTGCCACATTTTAATCTCTAGCCTCACACTCTACTCTATGACAGAAGATAAATTCCAACCAGCAAAGTACAGTAAGGTGACATTTGCTCTCAATTTATACAGTTTGTTAATAATTAATATATATGCAGGTATAATTATGAATGACTGACAAGCATAAATACCACAATATCACTGTAATCATTATATGACATATTATAATCGTTTGCTAAAAACTATCTAAAATGTTGAACATCTTACTGTTTATATTCAAGGGCAATTCCTGCAGCCATATCTGAGTATGTTACTAACTGAAAGTAGTGCTAGTGGGCATGATTATTTCAAAGGGGGGTCAATGTGCTTTGATCTTTAATATTACTGTCAAAAAATTTAGTTCCCTCTTGTTAATAACATATTGACAACAATTGTTACCGTATTTACATTAAAAGTCAAAAATTGAATAGATAAAAGGAATACTTACAGAAATTTATGATCCTCAGTTTGAGAAACACTTTTCATGTTTATCTGTCATAATGTGTAAGCCCCTTAAGTACATAAAAATAGTGATTCAAAATTCTTTAAATGATTGTCAGTTGAAAGAACATTTTGTTCTATATATGGAATGTTAAGTAGCCTAATATGTGTTAATCCCACATTATTTCACCTAAATATCTATTTATTATATCTGCACACGACGCTTGTCAATGCTGTAAGCGGCTGCATAAAATTACAGACAATCGCTTCCGGTGCACATGGCTTCTGTCTGTACCTTGGCAATTCAAGTGCAGTTTCTTAGGTTTGTTCTATATGTAGATTGTTTCTGCATGTCATAAAATGATAAAAAGACAATATTGTCATATTTTGACCCGTGATCAGTCTGATTAATCCGTTCATATAACGACTTAGTAAATCAAGTTAGCCCGACTTAGTAAATCAAGTTAGCGGTTTGAAGGATATCTGGTTCAACGCTTCATTTTCGACCCTATATGCCTACCCAGAGACATATATAACACGTCTCTGGCCTATCGTAGTGTTCTTTTTACCTGAACAACACAAATAAAAACGGCCATATTGTATTGTAACAGATATATGGCTTTTACATATGGAAGTACAGAAATAATTATACACAGAATATTGTTCCTAGCTTGATGTTCTAAACATAACCATGTTTAAGAACAGTTCTTGTTTGTAACATGGGGTTATCAAGAAATTATACCTAGATAGAAGAAAGGCAAATTATCTGGAAGTAAACCCCTAATGAAAAGGTCTTGTCAAATAGCCACATATTGTTATTGTTCCTGTACTGGAAATAACGTTAATTGTTACTTTTTATTTTGAAAGAAATTTTATGTACACATTTTAGGTTTAAAACATAGAATATATAAATTCAAATTTGCTACTACCATTTGAGCAATAGATTTTTTTTTCATTTTTGTTTGTGTATGTTTTGTTATATAATGATAACATATACTGATAAAAGAATTGTAATGTGTTATCTATTGGGTAGTTATATAATGATAATGCATACAGATAGATAATTGTAATCTAGTACCTAATGATAATATGTAGGTTGATTTCATTTTGATCAGCTATTTTTCCAGACATTTAACTTTCCAGAATTTTAAATTATGACCTAAATTGAAAAGCCAAACTTAACTTTAGTGTTAGATTTTAACCACTGTAGGCATAATGTAGCTGGTATTTTTCACAGGTCAAAATTTTCATGATTTTCATTTAAAGTGATCAAATTGAAATTTTGCAATCTGGATGTAAAGGGACATGTGTATCCATTATTTCACAGATTAAATTTTTTGCAATTAAGTTAATGATAGTGAAAACATATCCCCACATAACAATAACTGGCTATTCCCAATAACACTAGAAAGTTGAAAAAAAATCTTTTTGGTTGTCACCAAAGGCATTCATTGTCTTAACTAAAAGTCAGTGTTTTATAATGTGTACATACAAACTTTACTAACAGAGTTAATCATTAAGGAAGTAACAAATGGTCCTAAACCCCAAAACAATCGCCCACAAAGTTTTTACTCCTTTTGAGCTTGAATAAATGTTTCTGACTTTCTGTTACAGACTAAACTATGGTCGAGACTTTACAAGAGAGTTTTGAGACATATGGTCTTGTGTACTATGTGCTGTTGCTGCCAAGCACTCTGATTGTGTTTGTCATCTGTCTCTTCATTCGCTGGATGGGACTGAAATTCTTTAGACACAATTAACCTCAACTTAACAAGTGAATCTGTGAAGGTAGGTATAGAATCTGTATACTGAAATGTGTATTTTTTTCCATTTAGTGTTTCCTGTCACAATTTCATTACCGTCATGATTTAACAATAGCTTAGTTGGAAAAGCGTCAGAAATTCAACCTCTGATAAAGATCCGAGGTGTGCGCTTTGATCCCCACATGGCTCATGTTTCTCAGAAATGTAGGTCATGGATTGTAGTTGTGCCCTTGGGTAAATCACTTCATCTGTACTCCAGTTGCAACATGCTGTGAGCCTATTGCATGTTGTTTAGTGAAGTAGTCACCAGCCATTACATGGAGACCTTCAGCTTAAGCATTAATGTCAGCCTTGAAAATTTTGAATTTAGAACAAAGAGTTTGATGAGGATTAATAAAATCCAATTTGATATAACTGTTTTCAAATACAATTTGATCAGTTCTCTTTCTTTGACAAGGTAATACATATAATATGTTAATTTGAGCGATGAGACTATTACAAAATGGCAGTTGGCCTTCTTGGATTTTTATGACAAAAGTTTATTATTGTTTCTTGAGAAGTGCTGGATGGATCTTTCCCAAATTTCTTATTTTGGTTGCCCTTCGTCCCTTATTGTGCCCTTTGATTTTGGGACTGATTTCAAAAGACAAAATGGCATTTTGCATCCATTATGATAATTGACAATGAGAATTTATTGCTATTTAACCTGTGAAACTTGATGTATCACTTTCAAATTTCATATTTACGTACACTTACTTTCTAGTTAATCTTTTGAATTTGAAAATTATCAAAATAAACAAAATGCCTCACAGGTGGCCATCTTGATTATGACAATTAAAGATTATTTTTGCTGTTAAGAGGAATTTTCAAATAACTTATAATTAAGAGCAAGAGGAAAGAAAGAAATCTAAAGAATAGTTTGTAGATGTGCAGTAAACCAATGAATTGGTGGTTATCTATCATGAACGGTTTTGTTCAGCAAATGTCAGTTATTCATCATTGAAATAATTAGTATTTTTACTGGTTTGTAATACATAAGGGCTAATAACTTACCAGGCATATGAGAGTATTGCCTTTGAGATAAATATGACACTTGACAAAATATTATTATATAAGATATTTTAGTGTAGAAGCTTTTGCTTTGTTTATTTTCTAACTCATAGACAAACCACGAAAACATGATATAATGAAAAATATTTCAGATAAAATAATTAAATATATATAGTGGTGTGGTAGTCACAAAAGATTTTTTTCCCTGGAAATTATGTCTTAAGCATTAAAACTAGGAAAGAAAGTATCCATGGACACCTTGTAATGTATACATTAGGCATATACCTACATTCATTGGCTGAAGACAGTTTAAAATTCGTTTGAAAAATGTAAGCATTATGCTTTTGTTATTGTAGTTCGAAAATTATTAAACCGTCATGTCTGCAATAGTAAGACAGCTGTGTCGCCACTTCATTCAAGGGAGACAACCTGTAAACGTGACACAGGTTCTTTGTGCACGATTCTCTCCGAGACAATGTCATAGCCATGCTGCGGTAACATTGTCTGACGAAAACCTAGAAAAGGAATCAAGCCAAGAGAAGCCTACAGGTAGAAAGGCAAGGAAATTACTCGAAAGGAAATCATCCTTTGAAAGACTCCGCAGAAGTAAAGAAAATAATTCCATGGAAAATAATGATATTGGTGAGTTGAACACTAGGAGAGAAACAAGAGACAACTTTCATTTTAAGGAAGAAAACAAACACGCAAGAAATTTTGACGATGGCTTTCAATTCGGTGGTGAAAAAAAAACTTTCAGAAGGAAAAATTCTGATAATGACTTCCAATTAAGCGTTGGAAAAAAAAATTTCAGAGGGCAAAATTCTGCTGAATTCCATAGAGAAGAGAAAACTTTCAGGAGAAAACAAATGGGTGAATCAAAAGACAGTAAGAATGTAAATGATGGCAACAAAAGTAAGCTTGTACAAGGATCTGGGAATCGTTTTGGAGTGCAGTAAGTATCTTACTCTAGTATTAGTTTCCAGGGTTTTCCATAAGAGCCGGTTGCCGGCCAATTTGACCGGCTACTTTGATCATTTGGCCGCCTACACCAATCCAGTTCCGTAATAATGTTCTGTACACGACTACACGTACATGGCAGGCCAGCCTCTTACTTTCACTACACAGCCTTCTACTAATAAAATTATGGAAAACCCTGAGTTTCTGTCATTCTTAAATTCCAAATTGTTCCAATGCATACATATCAGATGATATATTTACAAAAAATTATTTCTGAAGTGAATCTACAGTTAAAGAGCCATGATTTCTTTTCAGCTGAAAGGTTATCTATGTGCAAAACTCGAATTCTACAGGCTTGTGCTGTCTATCACCAGTAGCAATGGTGTCAAAAAATTAATTGTCTTGGTCAATTCTAAGGTGGAATAATCTGACAAGTATTTAGATTAATGAACAGTATAAAGAAAATTTACAGAAAAAACAGAAAAAAAAGCCTCTTAGCCATTATCAATTTTATCATTTCTGATAGTGTGAATTTCTCTGAAGTTTTCTTGTTTTACTGGATAAGGATTCACCCCAACCCCTTAACCCATTAGAATTAAATCAACTTCACCATCAACCTTTCGTGATATAGGTGTCAATTTTTGTGCTACATTGTAGATACAGAAATAAGAAATTCCCATTCAAGGGTGAGATACTGTTTGGCTATCACCCTGTGAGCATTGCACTATCTCACAGACGACGACATTGTCACAAACTTTTCGTCCAAAGAGGCCGCAGACTGTCCCCTGATGTTGATATTCTGGGCTTGGCCAAGGAAGCCAAAATACCTGTTGAAGAGGTTTCCCGGATTCACCTGGATCAGCTGTGCCTAGGGCGACCGCACCAGGTAACCGTCTTAATACTGTGGGGAATTTATCTGAAATCCTCCAAATACACTCTTGAATTCATCATGGATCATACAGATACACTCCAGAGTTTATCTTGAATCTTAGTGATATACCCAGGAATTTATTATAAATTTTCTTGACACACTTGGAAATTTATATTAAATCTTTGTGATACTTGCATGAATTTATCTGAAATTTTCCTGAAACACTCTGGGGTTTGTCTTTTATCTTAGTATTACAGATACTCTAGGAATATCTTAAATCCTCTAGAGAGTTCATGGTTCATTTTCCATACACAACATTTGTGATAAACTCATGAATTTCCCTGGAATCCTCTGGACACAATTGGAAAATTACCTTTCTTCAATACACAACCTGGGATGTTATCCAAATTTTTTAGATACACTTGGGAATTTCTCTTTTTCATGTGCAATGAAAATATTCTTGTCCTTTTGAAACACAGTATTATGACATTAAAAATCTACTTTTCACAAAATTGACATGTGGTATGAATATGTTGACTTAATCTTCAGTATGTTGAAGGAGGTCAATAGATGTAGATCAGTGGCATAGATTTACATTTGAAGGTGTATTGTTGTCAGTTTCACTTGTCACATCCCTATCGTTCTTTCATCATTCACTTAGTCTAGCGTCATCAATCAGTCAGATTGATATCATTGGTAGTTTCATGATGAATTCTGATAAAATCTTAATCGTAATGAATAAAAATTTAAAATTAAAATTTGAAATGATACTTCAACCTTCCTTGTATTATGGTCACCATATAAAAACTGAGATTCAAACAATTAATGTTATTGCTTGATTGACAGTGCTTCTTAATAGATTTTAATAAATGTTTATGGAAACATTATGAACCTATTGAAAGAATGGCAAAGACTGAAGTAGGCCAGAGGTTTCAATGAGAATATTGTTCATTCTATTTCTTAATATTTCTTTTTATTTCTAACTCCATTCATATTTCAGGGAATCTGTATGGATGCAGACCCACTTGATATCCATAATTTGTCACCAGATGATACAAGGTAATACACTGGGCTTCAAATCTTAAGTTTTCTAGGCTCAGCACAATCGTAAATGATGCAGATCAAACCAAAAATCATTTTCACATCACTAAGTCTTCCACTAAAATATTCAATTACTATTTCATTTGTAAACCTACCAGTTGAATTATTTGGGATGACAGTCTTGAGTTTTGCATGAATAATACATTAGTTATGAATAAAGATCGTTTCTAGAGTGCAAACTTTCAAAAATGTCTACTTCCTCGATGAAGCAAAGTATATGAAATACCAGTATCCTGACAAGAGTGTTATTGACAGTTCATCATTGTGCTGAATTTGTAGCCAGCAAATCATATCACAACATTTTTATACAAAAGGTCTCTTACTAACACTGCCTTCCTCCCACCCCAATGACCACTGTCAGTCAGAGGAAAGTTAGAAGTGAGACATACTTTCAATCAAGACACCAGACAGTATTTTTTGGCATTTCTAGTTTCACTGTTGCAGGCATTGGTCAACTTATTACCAGCCAATGCTGTTTTCACTTGTTCTTTTCTTATAATAGGGCTGCCATCCTGGACCCACCTCCAATATGGTTGCTGCCTTACGAAATTGTGGTAAGATTTCTACACCGGTTTTAATTTTTTGGAAATTTGATGCACTCAAGCTAATAGTAAGATAGACAATCAATAAGTGCAGAATTAATGTGAAACTATTTGATTATACCTGTGAAAATCAAAACCAACCTTCCCCTTGCAGGCTTGGTGTTTGGATTTCTGTATTGTATTTATTAGTAGTTCCAGTCCATTAATCATCTTTTTAAATCTAGCTGATGTCCATTAATTATGTCAGCTTATAGTATACGGTATGTAGACAGAGATGGTTAATTTACAGATTCCATATTATCTTCAGAGGTTTGTTTATTGTAAAGTCATACGAGGGAACCAAATTTTGTTGATTTTCAAAGAATTACTACAGTATTTTTTATGTTATTTTAAAAGTTCATATGAATTCAAGAATTTAAAGAACTCTTGAAATCGATGTAAATACTCCCCACACAAATTAATGATTGCAAAGTACTTGATTTTTATGTATTATCATTTGATTGGTACTGAGCTTGTACCAAACTGAACCAAAGTGATGACAGTTGTACTGTGTATCTCAACAGGATCCTATGAACATGGGAGCAATCATTAGGTCCTCCTATTACTTCGGTGTGGATGCTGTTGTCCTCTCAAGTCACCACAGGTAAGTATCAACTTAAATCACAATCCTTTATCTATCCAACAATAAGACCATGTCTGTGATAGGCTTATTCAGGTACATAAAAATTGGATTTGTTTGGCCTCTGAACAACAATAGATATGGATTGTTTTTAAACACTGGGTTATTACAGGATATATAAGATAAGTCTCCAACAGACAGATCAAACCATTTTAAATATTTGTTTGCTTGGTTTATCACCCTGTCAACAACCAAGAGATGAAGTCTCCCTGTAGTGGCTGGTTATTACCTCACTGAACAACATGTAGGAGAATAGCCACATGCTTTCCAATTTTTTAAGTGAGGTTAATTGGCCTGCCCCATGACACAGCCACAATAGCACAGGACGATCCGAGATCTCGGTCTTCTAAGAAAAACAAACCTGAGGTTTAAATGTTAGACTCTCTACTGATTGAGCTATCTAGGTTCCACTTCTTAAAGATGAAAGTAGAAGCGGATGGCATATTCAAAGGGCCCTACACAAGTTTCCATCTTATTTGTGATTTAAACTTGAGGTTTTTTAATGTAAAACCAATTTTCATGATGTAATACTTACCATAACTTTAGTATGCAAATACAGTACCTACACCCATCTTTGTATCCCAACAACAAAAGATTCAAAAGAAAAACAATCCCGCCCTCCCTACGATCCATGAGCCATCACGGCAGGAACGCAGAGTGATCTCCCTTCCTCTAATAACCTTTATGGCGTAAACCCCACAGAGGGGCAGCCAGGCAGATAAGGAAGAGGGGAGGATAGGGTGGGACTCCATAAAGTTATGGTAAGTATTACATCATGAAAATTGGTTTTACATTAAAAAACCTCAATTTCATTTCAGTAATAATTACCATAACTTTAGTATGCGAATTCGTCTTACCGTAGTGGTGACTAGAAGCCAGGCAGCCCCTTCAGCACAACCAAAGTAGTAGGGAGGGAGAACAGAGTGCTAAAGTGAAGGAAGGGACCTCTCTGTGAAAGAGCAGGTGTACCCACATGCCGCCGTACGGAAAGACATGGCCCGGGGCTAACGAGGAGGCCCAGCCACTGACTATGCCACCACCAAAGGTCCCAATGAATACAGGCCTTCTGAGTGGGAAGCTAGGGATCACAGATAAAAATCTGTTAAGGTATCCCTGCCCTGCCAGAATACTGCAGACATGACCTCCTGAAAGGAGGACTCATTGAGAGAAGGGCCCAGGATGAAGCAAGGGCCCTGACCTCGTGAGACCGCGCTTTCGCTCTCGCCCGAGCCAGATCATCAAAATGCTCGTAAGCATACTAAATCACCTGGCAAACCCACCTGGAAACCGACTGGGAGGAGATATCTCGTTGCCCCTGTTTAATGGGCAAAACAGACGGGATCGAGAGCCCCGCCCCCCCCCCCCTCCCTGGTTTTATCAAGATAAAACCTAAGAGCCCGACAAGGACAAAGCAACCTATCTCGCTCCTCCGAGCTAGTCACAGCCAGGATCCTGATGGGATCGTGCGAGAACCCCGGAACCTGATTCTTCGCTAAAAACAACTCTATTCATAGCAAAGCCTCTGATTAGGGCAGAAAGAGAGGAGGACTAACCGATCTCCTTCCTGCCATAACAAGCAAGAACTCTGGCAATAGCTGTACGATAGCCAGCAATAGTGCCAGGTGGCAGATAGCGGTACCTAAACAGAGAGATTAGGAATTCCGCAATCAAATGCAGAGGCTTCGAATGAATAAGCTTCCTTGCCGACACACCAATCACAGAAGATCATCCAACGTGACTGGTAGACGGCAGAAGAGGAAGCCCTGATTGATTGCTCAATGCAATCTGACACCTCTTGAGAAAAGCCTGCCTTGGCGTGGCTTCCAGAGATAGCCTCAGCGCGTGAAGGTGGAGGATCTCTGGTCAAGAGTGTGTCGTTCTGGGCCAAGGCTGGCGAAGGAGATTCGGTCTGGTGGGGAGAGCCAAGGGCTCCTCCACCAGAAACGACAAGAGCTCCTGAAACCAAGCTTGCCTCGGCCACAGAGGGGCTCTCAGAAGTAAGGAGCAGTGATGCTCCCAGAACTTCTGTAGAACCCTGCCCACCAGGTTGAAGGGAGGGAATGCATATGCATACGTCCCTTCCTATTCCAGAGAAAGGGCGTCCACAGCCCACGCCTTACGGTCTGGGACCGGGGAGACGAAGGTTAGCAGCTGGTTGTTCAGGGAAGTGGCAAACAGGTCTATAATAGGTCTGTCCCACGCCTGACAATTCCCCTTGAAAATCAAGGGACACAGCTGCCATTCCGTCAACACCGGCTGGTGGCGCCTGGAGAGTGGCCACCAACACACTCAGCCTGCCAGAAAGATGCTTGACCGCTATGGTCAACTGCATGTCCTGGCAGAGAAGATGGATGTGGATGGAGAGGGCACACAGGACATGAGACCTGGTGGCCCCTGTCTCTCCAGATACGCGACAACTGTTGTCGGTAGCCACACTTTGGACTGCAGGATACCCCTAAAGGACTGCAGAGCCAAATGAACAGTCTCATCTCGAGTACACTGATGTGCTCCGAGAGTTGTTCGCCAGACCACTCCCCCAAGCGGCATTGGCCATCGAGGTAAGCTCACATTCCTGTCATGAACGCGTCCATGAACAGGATCATAGAGGGGATAGGCTTGGTCAGAGGTACCCCGTGGAAAACGTTCTCCTGAATGGTCCACCAGCAAGAGAACTCCCTGACCGACTGGGTAAGCGGGATCCAGGCCTCCTGGATGACGGAACCCAGTCAGACAGGAGGAACATCTGGAGAGGTCCGATGTGAATCCTCCCTAGGGGGACCACATATGCCAAGGAGTTGAGATACCCCAGAAAACTGAGGAACCAATGTACCTGGACAAGCGACCAAGTGATGAAAGTCAGAGCCAGAGCCCTGACCTTCTCAAACTTCTCCAGAGGTGGAAGGGCTAAGCCCCGAACCATGTCAAAATGGTTCCCCAGGAAGAAGAAGTCCTAATATGAAGGAACCTCTGACTTCTCTCTGGAAGGAATGAAGCCGACTCTGAGCAAGAGTTTCAGGACCAGACGAGTGTCCTTCACTAACGATTCCCACACCAAAAGAGGCATGAGGGAGTCGTCGAAATAGATGTGGACGTCTATTCTGCAGGAGTGAAGGAAACACCAGCAGCAACTTGGTGAACACCAAAGGAGCTGTCGTGAGCCCCAAGGGCATCTCTGCCTTGGCAGCATGGTCCCTACTTCCTCCTGGAGCACCCGTGCCCTTTCTGAATCCCCGGGAGGAGGAAAGAAACAAAAACGGCCAGGAGGCGAGGGACGAATCCTGAAGAAGGGGAATACCTAGACCCTCCCTGACCACCGACAAAAGCCCAAGCGTCCTCTGTAATATCCTGCCACTAGGAAAGGAAAGCAGAGAGACGTCCGCCCACAGGGAGTTCCGGATGGGGCAGATCGAGCCCCTGCCAGACCAGAGAATCGTCTGCCCACCCGGAGCCTGAGCCTGCAGGAGAAGGACATGAGCCCGGGAAAGGAGAACCACCGTCCACCCGGCCATACCCTTCGCCTTTCGCGGCCAAGAAGCAGAAATAGTCAGGAACCCTTCTTCTTGCCCCCAGGAGGTTTCTTACCCTTCCTACCCTTCCCCTTGTTGCCGTTGAAGTGAGGTTGGGACTTGGGCTGTGCAGAAAACTGAGCAGCCGAAGACTTCGCCTTCTTCTTAGGAGGCACTGACCCCTGCGAGGCACTGGCCTTCTCAGCCTGAAACCTCTTCACCAGAAGTGCTGAGGCGACCGAGTCCTCCTTCATATCCTTCTGAACCCAAGGAAGAGCTCCCCTGAACAGGGTAGAGCCCTAGAAGGGGGCATTCAACAAGCGGAAACGGTAGGGTTACTGGACTGGGCGGAATTTCAGAACTGAAAACTGCCTAGCCAACACGGCATTGACGAGCAGAGAACCTGCAAGGCTGCCGTGTCCTGTATGTCGGCTGTTCTGTCTCGGATAACCGACACTCAGGCAAATCGGATACCCTGTATAGACAAACTGTCAGGAAGTCTATGTATGACAGAACTTGGATGGAGAGGTGCAACATTCTCTCCATCCTGTGGTGCTCTTTGGGATCGAGCACCACCTGGTCCACTGATTTGCCGGGCCAGGCAGCCAGCTGTCTCAACTCCAGCTGTGCTGGTTGAGAGGCCAGCTGCCCATCATGTGTGGCATAGTCGGAAGCTGAAGCCTCCGACAATTCACCAACACTGAGCTGCAGACCGACAAACCCGGGAGCACGGGTAGAGAAGGAGTCCTTCTCTAAAACCGGAGCCCGGGCCGTGGCCAGAACCGAAGACATGATATTGCCTTCTGGCAGAGACCGATCTGAGCGAACGGAAGCCCGAGGAGCCACCAGGGAACCCAGAAGGATGGTGGATTCAGGCGCCGACGATGCTGAGGCGGTGGGCAAACCTCCGCCCTGAGAATCCGGGAGATGTTGGCCCGGAGGACCCGCATCCCAGAAAGCACATGCTGAGCCTCGGCTTCAGCAGTCTCAGGGCCATCTTCCCCTTGTGAACCCTCTTGGCCCAGGAGAAAGATGAATGACATCGTCTTCCTCTGCCGAGCCCGCACCCTCGATGTCCATCTCCTCCTCAATAGAGACCGAAGTCCCCTTGGGAGGAACAGGGGCCGCCAGAGGAGCCATCTCCGCAGAGGGGAACTCCTCTTTATGGCATTTGGACGCAGCGCGACCAACAGCTGTAGCTGTAGGCTTGGGTCGGAGACCCGAAGCCGACCCCTGGGAACAGGAGACCGACGGGTCCGCGCTGGAGGCGGAAGTCCTTAAGGTCTGGCAAACCTTTATAGGACCGGCCAACAAGGCCCCCGAAGTAGCAGAACATTGGGGGGATTCCGCACTGCTATAACATCTCCTAGAGGAGAGACCAACGAGTGAAGACCCATGGGGTAAAAACCCAAACCCCTGAGGGAATGGGAACGGTCCAGCGGGCCGGGAGTGACCCCAGAACTGGCCAAGATGGCCTGCCTGAGTCTGGGGCTGGACATCCTGTCCAAAGGACCAGGATGAACCGCCACTCCCACCAGGTGGAAACCCAGACATGTACAGGCTAAGCCCGTAACTGCCCGCAGGCACCTCTACTCCCTGAGCCCGGGGGAAAGGGAGACCGGAAACCGGACTCCTGGCCTGAAGCCCCAAACCCTTGGAGGAAAACCCCCTGGGAAACCCTGCACTGGGAAATCTGGATTGGGACGGAAGTCCCAGAGCCAGATGCCTGTGAGGGTGGGAAAACAGACCCCGCGCTGACACCAGGATTAGTGAACTCAAGTGTCACTAATCCCCGTAGCCACAGACAATCCTGACAAAAAGTCTGTGGCCCCTGAACCTATACCCGAAGGCACAGTTCCGGAGTCAAAGCGGCCCCCACCAACGACGCCACCTGGCGTGCCGAGGTCCCTGAAGGAATCAGAGACCTCGACCGGAAGTCCCTTTCCGACGGTAACACCGCCGCCTATCGAGAGCTACCGGCCAATTCGACCCTTGACTGCGCCGAGTCAGGGTCGGGCTGCCCCCCCCCCCTACTCCAGGACGCACCTGGACAGGGGGAGCCACCCCCTGCTGAAGGGCGGAGCTCGGTGGAACGAGAGCACCCCCAGCAGGAACGCTCTGGTTCAGAACTTCAGGAGGGAGGTCTTAAAAAGCTTACTTCCCTTACCGGAAGAAGAGGACGAATCCCTCTTCCGGCGGAAAGTTAGCTGGAAAGGCATGGGAGCCTAAGCAGCAGACTCCATGTGCAAACAAAGTTCACATAGTGAGGTCTGGCTGTAATGTCGGCAAATGGGACAGGTATCATGGGGTTCCCATTATCTATAGAAATAGGAACATCCATGCGCTGACCCCCGACGTAAACCCGGCACCTTTATCCAGCATCGAAACAATAAAAAATTGTAACAATGAAAATAAGGATAAAAAGTTTTCTAACAATCAAAAAACTACGAACGAGATCATAAAACCTACCGTACGCAGCAAGATTGTACTGCAAAAAAAAGAAAACGGTCGTACAAAACGGCCGACAAAGCAGCAAGAAAACAATTTCAACTTCACGAAAATCCGAGTGACGAGACAAGTAGTCACGCACTCGAACACGCGGAGGAAAAACACGGCCGGAAACGAAGTTCTCGAACAATCAAAAAACTACGAACGAGAGCACAAAGCCTACCGTACGCAGCAAGATTGCACTGCATAAATAAAACGGCCGTACAACACGGCCGACAAAGCAGCAAGAAAACAAATTCCAACTTCACGCAAATCCGAGCAACGAGACAAGTAGTCACGCACTCGAATACGTGGAGGAAAAAACGGCCGGAAATACGGTCAAAATAAACAAATGACAATACTTAATTTCACAATATAAGTTGGGAGATGGGTTTATAGACTACTAATAGAGTAACAATATACTCAAACGACAATGGCAGTACGAAGAGAAGGAGTAAGAAAAGCACTTAGCTCAGACACCTCCGCACTCGTCGGCAGCCATAAAGGTAAGAGGAAGGGAGATCACTCTGCGTTCCTGCCGTGATGGCTCATGGATCGTAGGGAGGGCGGGATTGTTTTTCTTTTGAATCTTTTGTTGTTGGGATACAAAGATGGGTGTAGGTACTGTATTTGCATACTAAAGTTATGGTAATTATTACTGAAATGAAATTCTTATTTAGCAATCCTCTCACATGAAATAAAAACAAATCTGTTTTATTGCTATTATTGTGATGACTTTACTTAATCTGCATATTAGAGATTAATAGAATCTTCCTCTACCTTGAGGTATTGACAGAGAAATCTCCAACTCGAGAGGCATAGCACTCCCAGAGTTGGAAATTTCTCTTTTACACCCTCAAGGTAGGGAATGATTATTTTTCTCCCATCATACTTTTTCTCAGAGAGCCTTAGCTTCAGTGATAATCAGCTTGTAAACAAACAGGAAAAAATACTGTTCATATGCATTCAGTGCCATTTGTCCAAATTTGTATTGAAATTGAACAAAAGAGAAAGTGTGAACTATAAAAGATTAAAAAGAAATTTGTTAACATACATGTAGCAGACGATGTGTGTAGAAGCAGTTCTGTCATTTCCGGTGCATGCGCTGTCATACCCTAGGGATTGACAGAGAAATCATACCCTAGGGTTTGACAGAGAAATCTTGATCAAGTAAAATGGGTGACAAGCCTGTGAATGATGGGAGAATCTAATGTCATCCTCTGATGTCATTTTACATGAGTTCCTACACTGAAATATAACTTAGGTATATACTAGTGCGCTGCTTTCAAGATATCAATTTTCTTTCTTCTTTCGATGTTTACCCCAAGTTATTTTTGTGTGCTACAAGATCTGAAAGCCAATACATGCAAATAGCTCTTAGTCAATGAACCCAGTGGGATTACTGTGTGCACTGTCATGGCAGTAGTGTGATGTATATCTTTTATGGAGAGTTTATAGTTTATGTACATACACTATGTGGAACTTGGATCTCTATAACCCTGACGTAAAATGTGAATTTAAGAGGCAGGCGATATATACATCAAGGGTATAGCTTATTACTGATATGTTGCGACTTTTTTTTAGTGCCACTGCTAGCCCTATGGTCAGCAAAGCAAGCTCTGGGGCCATGGAAGTGATGAAATTTTTTAATTTAAAAAACAAAGAAGCCACAACACAATTTCTAGAGGTGAGTAGTAAAAGCCAACAATGATCATTGTGTCCATTCCTGAAACTTAAAACAACATAAGAAACTAAGATGGCCTCCTTCCCCGTTTTCTCTATGTGAGGCAAACATAAATAATGAAATGTCTTGTGTAGTGTATGGCTAAATTCTGTATACAGGATTTCTGTGAATACTTAATTGATAGTATGATAAAGAAATGTGACTTAACTGCCATGGTAATGTTTTGGTTTGGCACCTCCATAGAAATACAAGAATTCTATTTTAAGATCACAGTTTCTCAGAATTTGTGTCAAAAGGTAAACTGTTGCCGATATCCTTCTTTTAAAAAGAAAAGGGTTTCATTACAATGCTTTATCATTATGTAGGACTGGAGGGCCAATGTAGGACAGATAATTGGTACAGCAACTGGACCTGGAACAGTGGAAGTGACAGAGTGTGTGGTAAACAAGCCAACACTACTTATTGTTGGTGAGTTTTATTATCCTCATATCTGCAGTAACTACTTACCTGGTACACCAACCTTTTACAACCACAAAAGAAATTCTGAAGTTCAGATTTAGAATTTTTTCTTCAAAAAACTTGTTAAATGTTAAGGTTATGACTTTAATTACTTTATACTGAGAAAAGATACCCAAAGTTTCTTCAATTCTTCAATCCTTTGATTTTTTTTTATATGCCGCCGGAGGCGGTAGTACATTGGCGTCATCTTCTCCGTCTGTCCGTACGTCCATTTCTTGTGAACGCAACTCCTCCTAAACTGATCATCAGATTTTCATGAAACTTGCTCAATGTCACTACTACAATGGGTAGATGTGCATGAAGGGGCAATTTTATGGTTCATTGATTTTTGTAAGATTTATGCCATTTTCAACTTTTTATCTGTAGCTTGCTCATAGTGGAGCCTTGTGAACGCAACTCCTCCTAAAATAAAGATCAGATTTTCATAAAACTTGCTCAATGTCACTACTACAATGGGTAGATGTGCATGAAGGGGCGATTTTAAGGTTCATAGATTTATGCCATTTTCAACTTTGTGTCTGTAGCTTGCTCATAGTGGAGCCTTGTGAATGTAAGACTTCATTTTGAGCTTATGTATACAGACATGTTAAAAGCGATAATTAAATCTTTATCTTTATATTTTGTGGCGGCGTATATTGTGTCCACGGCACTCGGTTTTTTTTTGCAGTGTGAAATCTGTCTTAAAATACAATAAAGCGAAAAGTTCGACTTTGATATCGAACATGAGCTAATCTTTTATTTGTGATCTATTGGCCAAACAGTGATTAAGGTTAAAACTATAGTGAAAGTTTCCCATATAAACAGATAAATTGAAAATTGATCATTACACGTTCAGATGAAAACTTCAGACCTTATTTGCAACCAACCCTCCTCCCACCCCACCCATGTTCCCCAAGACATTTGAAATTAAAGACTATTTTATTTTGTACATGTGGTTCTAGAAAGTATTGATTTTTTTTTTTTAAATTACAACATTTGACTTTGTCTTAATTTGATTGTAATGTTAACAATTTGGTCATTATACATGTTGTATTTTATATTTTTATCTCATTTAAGGTAATGAGCATCATGGTTTGAAGGACGAGATTCTGAAACATTGTGATCAAGTGATCAAGTTAAGGGAGTGTACACCTGATAGACAGTCATTGGTGGAATCTCTTAATGTTTCTGTGGCAACCGGGATAGTACTACACACCCTGACAACCAATAAAACAAATACATGAAGGAGGACAGATTTATAGGCATGTAAAACTTGAAAAAGAGAAGACTTCGCTGAGAAAAGTGATAAAAATTATGTATCATGTGGGTTGATTAAAAAAAAATTCTTCAATTTACATGGACCGTTGAAAAGGATTCACAGTGAGATTCAGCAAGATATTTAGCTCAATAAATCATGTTTTTTTCAGGTGGAAAACAAAAGAAGATGTTACAAGTCTGTATTGCATGAACAAAGGTTCAGATTGTCTAAACAAAATGTTTCCATCGAAAACATGATTACTTCGTTGTTTGTTGAATTGTTACCAATGGTCATGATGCATCAACATCAACTACAAACTCAGTTTCTTTTTTCTTATTTTTTTCTGAATTTTAATTAGTAAATTTCCAGGACACTTTGAAAACAAAATCATTCCTAATTTCATGTAGCCAAGATAAACAAAGAGATGTGGTGTTGAGAAATTGAAAAAAAAACTGAATGTTTTTCATGAAGTGTTCTCACAGAAGCTTCTATGTGTGAGGAAAATATAAATCATATCTTTTGTCAAAAAAAGAAAAAAAAATGTGTTGAGTTTGTCTTCCAAGATAAGAAACAAGAAAAGAATATTATGATTGCATCTGTCCATCATTTTTCAGAGGTCAAATTCTAAGGTCACTATAACTATGAATAGGAAATCGGTGTCTGCACAATATCTCGAGTTCTATTTAGCAAATTCCACTAAAAATTTCATCAAATGCTTTATTCAGTGTTTCCTTGAAACAGAGCTTGTCTCAGGTTGCTTTTCAGGTCAACGGTCAAGGTCACTTTTACTTTTCTATGGTTCCTGTAATTTGTTTCTGCAAAATAAATTATGTTCTTTTAAGCCAAATTTTCTTAAGACATTTTCAGTTTCTTTCTCACAGAAAGCATTTGCTTTTCAAAATTTTTCCAGCTATGGATGGTAAAATGAACTCGCCAAATAATCTAAACATCCACCATGACAAATATTTAACAATCCATGTAAGATATAGAAGTGTATTTTATGAGATAAACCATTGTGACACGTATACATTTACCATCACTCTCTTTTCTAAAATATCAGTTTTACCTGGAATAAGTGAATTACCAAAACACAAATCAAGGAGGTTCATATTTCCACCTTGGCAGTTTTGTCTCCCCTTCTTGTGGAGGTACAGGTTCTTATTAGCGCCATCATTGTAATCTTGCTGATAAAATCTTATTCCCATTATAATTTTTGAAACATTAGAGACATATCTTGATGAAACTTGAATAGAAGTCCATCACCAAAATCACTCAAAGTGGGGTGGGGTGGGGTATACAGTGAACGGAATTAAGTGACTGTGACCTTCAAGGTCAGAGATCAAATAAGTGTTACATTTCCAGTCCCGTCTTGTCCATGTTATCACTCCTGATCCACATCAAAGGCTCTATAATCTGTTAGTTTTATTGTATATGACAACAACTGTTAAATCCTTGCCCTGTAATCAGTTTATATCCCTACATTAAGTCATACTTCATGTGTTGGCCTCCATGTTTATTACAGGACATCAAACAGCAAGAACAATTTGTTATGTTGTGTGTGTTTTTTTTTTTAATAAATTCATTAATATAATAAAAAAAATGATTGTATATATCTGAAATATTATATACAAATTCACAAAACAAAAAGATGGATTTATCATTAACTAATTCCTTTGAAAAATTGCAAAGCTTGTCCAGGTTTATTTGCGTATTTTAACAATCCAATAACTAAACAAATATACAGTGAAAAACTTTGTTTGACTTCTGAGTATTCAAAGATAATGCTGAAAAGAACACAGATAGAAGACACTGCCGCGTCCAGTTAACAAGAGGTCCATAGGGCCTGTATTGCTTACCTGGTTTTGCTTTATCAAAACCAATAGAAAAGGAAATGGATTCAAAAGATTTGCACTCTTTTCCCCCTTTGGGCCCTGCTCCTACCAAATTTGGACAAAATGCTGTTATTTCTACAGTATAAAGATTTTCGAGAATTGGCTATGTATATTATATTGAACCTTACCCATCCTGCCCCAGGGGACAGACACCAACCATTTATACACAATTTATATCTTCACCAAGGGCATTTCAGACTAAATTTAGACAGAATCCCAGCATTCCTTCAGAAGAAGAATTTTAAATATGTTCTCATGAATTACACTTATAAATGCAAGTAATCTGTAATATGGACCAAATAATCTGAACGTACAATTAGATTAATGTATATATTCTAACCAATCATAGCTGTCGAAATAAATACCACTGGAGCAATTGAGACAACTGTGTTTGCTACTTAGGTAGCATTTCATACTGCAAATGAAATTTACACATGTTTTTATAGCTTCTATATTAACGCTCACGTTAATATCCCAGTCATAAATTGGTGTAAACATTATCTTGGCATAGATAACCACTACATGTATATGGTATATAAACCTGAAGTAAAATCATGAAAATATTATGTGACCAATATAAATATCCTTACCTATTAGCTACAAGAAATTTAGTTAATAGACCCATTCTAATTTCATTCATATTAAGCTTTTTTTTATAAGGGTAGAAAAATCAAACCGTGACACATCATCAGTATAAAACTGCAGTCAAACAATATGATGTAAAAATTTCATGTGATTTTTCTTGACACAGTGGTTACTTGTTAAGCTATTTTTATGGAATTGATTATGAAAATTCAATCCAGTTTTTTTTACAATTGTTAAAGTAAAACAATTAAAACTATAAATAGAGAAAGAGTAAGTGTATACATATATAAATTTAACAAACCTGTGCAAACAATTTATTGCAGTATCAAGCAGTTTAAAAACTTAAAAAAAAGCACCAGATTCATATACATAATTAACCTATATGTCATGTGTATGTAAATTACCTATTAATATGGAAATGAAATTCATATAAAGTATACAGTGAGTTGTAGGAATTGTGCCAATTTTTCCAAACATTAGCTTACAAGCAAACTAATAAAAAAAAACATGCTCATATTACATTCCAAACACATGCATTCATTATTAGCATATATATTTCAATATAAATTTTTCAATTTGAAAATGCTAGAAACTTCCATAAAAACAGTTACATGGCACAATGTATAAAATATCTAAAAACTATTCTCAATCATTTCAATACTAATGTTTGTGATATTTTCACAAATAGAATATGTTTTATACTTTAAAATCATAAATTTTTGTGGGGAATTAATTTCTTTTGTACTCCTTGTACACTTAATCCATGAATTTGTATATCTACGAACGGTTATAATCAGTATCGGTGCATTTATAGAGGTACGTTTATCCACGGAATCAAATGTCCATAAAATAGTAATTATTTGAAAAACCATCAGTATCACTACCCAAAAATTTTTTTATTTTACAACATATGAAGTTACCACCAGCTCAAATCAAATTTAAACACAAAATTTCCACTTACTTTTTTCTCAAATTAGCTCTCAAAACATAATCAATATTCAAAGGATGTGAAATCTTTAATTCATTCATCCAGTAATTTTTTTTTAAAGAATTTATTCAATCTTAAAATCCAGCTGAGACAACTTTTAGCCCTCAATATCTATATAAAGTTTAAACAATGATAAAATTTATCAAACGTTTCATTTTCATCCTTCTTTCTCCCCTTCCTTCACAATTATTTGCATTTTCTCCTTTCATGTCCAATTCTTCCTTTCATAATTCCTTCATCCAGATAATCATAAATCACTTTCTGTCACTCCATGCACAGCGAGCTCCATGAGCACGTTTTCCAGATAGTTCGGATCAGGGTATCCATGTCCTGAATAGTTTGTTCCGAATTCTGTCTTATGATGGATTTCATTCCATGTAACAGTGTCACTTTCGCCTGTAGTGGTGGAGGTGCCTATAGTGAAAGTCAGTCGTCTTTTCCACGCCACAATCAAAAGTTTCAGAACCTGCAAAATGTATTGTTTCCATCATTAGATTAACTGACTTAGTAGATAGAGACAATGCTGCAAACATCATCAAACAAATAATATATAACATTGAACCCCCCCCCCCCAACAAATATTGAAAACTATACAGTGTTCTATATCATAACTTATTATCATGAATATGAATTATAATCCCCCCAAACAAATATCATAATTCATAATCATGAATATGAATTATCACCTCCCCACAAATAATGCAAACTATAGAGTGCCTTACATCGTAATTCATCATCCTAAGATATCGAGACCAATTTCAATATTTAGTCACACAAACAAGATATTATCATATATTGGCCCAAATATATGTATACAAACAAATAACTGATATCTTTTGTATGATCTACAAAAACAAAATTTCACCTTTCGTCCCTTTTCATTGTCCGGAAGAAAACCAACTCTTGGGAACCCACGCGTGGAGTAGCGTTTCCCTGGGTGAGGATTGTCTGGTCCCTGTATCCCGGGTGGAATGTGGTAGAGAATCCTGATTGTGTTACAGTCTGAGTAGCCAGGAAGGGGCTGGGGAAGCCGATGGAATTCCATCACTCCACGTGGACAATTTCCATGCTTCTCACCATATATCGTCTTACAAGTTGGACACTGTACACAGCCATTCTGCTCAAATAGAAAGATAGGATGTAGGTACAACAACAGATTTAATAAATTAGCATATATAGACCGATTTCAACTGATGTCCGGTGGCAAAAGAATAAACAAATTTTAAACTTTGAGTACTGCATGCTCTTCCAGGGTTAGATACCGTAAATATTCGCGTATAGTGCGCAGGTACTTTTTGGAGATCAGATTTAAAAAAAAAATCTACAGAAAAATTAATTGACTGGTCACTGCGACGAAACATTTGATGTGGTCTGATCCATTGATAATTAGGAAACCACAATGAGCGTGACCCTAACACATGTAATTACCTTAAGTAAACAAATTTACCCAGGTGACCTAACAAGAATGACAGGCTTGGCTGATTGTATAATTAACGGTTAGTGACAGTTAACACGTTGAGTATGAGGAGACTGATGACATCCGGCTTGGGCTGAACGCGTACTATTGGTCAGAAAACGATGTTGTTTTAACTGTCTTAACATTTTCAATCCTACCTTGTCCCCATAAAAGCAGATAGTTTGTTCAGTATAGGCATGATCTTTCATGGTATCTGTACCCACCGCGGTATCCGAAGGTATTTAATGATAGATTGTTTACACCGACTTCGACATGGGGAAACTGCGAACGCCATTTGACTACGCCGAGAGACTGGAGTTTCGTGCCGCCGGTCGCCACTTCGACATTCCAGAGTGAAATATCAAGGCACGGAAGAAAGAAAAGACCGTCTAAAGTCCTAACCACTGACCAGAAGGGCTGACATAGGTGCGACAGCGAAACACCCAGAGATGGAGAGAGAGAGCTGGTCAACTTTGTATGCGATCGCCGATATCCCAGCATCGCTGCCAGTACAACAGAACTGCGCGTGCGGGCCATGCAGATCAAGAGAGGTCATGGGGTCACCAACTTTGGGCATCGGTGGGATTGGCTGTCCGCTTTATGAACAGAACGACAATCGCCTAAAAACTTCCGGATTCATTGAATTTACATCATCAAAATGAGGCAGAAATTCAGACACTACTATAGCCCCGACTAATAGTAAGACCGACGGGAAACGAAAAAAAAATCACCGTAATGCTAGCGTGAACGGCAGATGATTAAAACATTCGAAATTTATTTTATTTTATTTTTGTTGTTGTTTTTATCTCCAAACTATCATATAAGACCGACGACTTTTACATATAACTATGTAGGTAATCCAATATGGCGGATGCAGAACTTTAACCCCAGGAATGGCATGTACCTGCGTATAGTGCGCACCCCCTTTTTGACACGACAGTTTCACTATACGCACTATACGCGAATATTTACGGTAGTTAGTTTCACATAATTGTTATTTGTTGAGCCAGGACTAATTAAATTTTCCAGGGAGACAAGAAAACTTCTCCTTGCTTTGGCACACATATACATGATGTTGATACAGAGTAACTTCCCCTTAACTAAATGACAACATATACAAACATGATGCTGATACAATTTGTACATATCTACTTACCTTACTGTGGCACCACATCAGATGTAAACAATGTTGAGACATAGTTATATCCCTTTACCAAGCCATGACACAAATATACATGATGTCGATACAGAGTAACTTCCCCTTACCTTGTCATCACAGCATACAACTTACCTTCCCACTACTTTGACACTATGCCCCTATATATGGTACATGACGTTCACACAGAGTTACTCCCCTATACATCGCACTTAAACAAGTTGATATAGAGTTACTTTCCCTTACCTTGGCACCACTTTCATACATAGCATTGATGCAGAGTTTGTGGAACATGTGAGTACACTTGCTGAGCTGGAAAACAATAGTTGCCTCTTTGTGGCCTTCACCATATCCTGATGGCTGAGTCAATTTATCACAGCAAATACAACAATCCTACAAAAATAATTAATTCAATTTTTTTTGCTTTGGAGACATTAAAATAACAAAGGATTTTCCAATCAGGATGATTGGAAACTCAATAAGTAACTGGAGGAACTCAAACTTGTAAACTCTATGGATATCTGTGGATCCCAAAATTGGGTGAAATTTATAAATGCAAGGACTAATGTAAATGTAGGAAAATTAAAACTATGGATGTTGATTGAATTTACTTACTAAGGATATGAACTTCATTCTTACAAGCAGCATTTTCTGAAAAATGTCTGTAAATGTTCACATTGAAAAAAGTCTAATTATTAGACAATAATTAATATTCTCTCCCTTTTATATCCTCCTATGACTCACCTCCTCCTCTGGGGGAGTTTCCATCACAGTAGCATACTTTTCAAATACTTCCAGCCCAGACTTATCTAAAAATGAATATATTATATACAGCACTGGCCAAAGATGATTTACTGAACTTTGATTTATTTTCATGATTGACATCTTTGAATTCTTTTGAGAGACAACAGGAATAGTAAACAAATAATATGATGTTTGTTGGTACGTATATATTATTGAAAAGATATGAATAAAAATATGCAGCCATGGACAATGAATATTGCATAATACAAGCACATCAGTAAGTGGTATTGTGGTTTGTTTTAAACTCTAGTTACAGTCATGTTAAATCTTGGAAGGGTAGTTTTCACAGATGATGGGGCTATTACAGAATAAATTTAAAGTGTAATCTCACTGAAGTGTCCATGACAGCATGCCAAGTCAGGCACATTTAGTCATATTCTCAAAATTATTTCACCTCAGGCATAAAGGGAGAAACTACTGGGGAATAGGGAAGGTACACGTGGACTGGGAATGAAGGAGAGATAAGAATGGGCAAGTGAGAAAAGAATGTGTAGGTAAGGGAGAAAAAAAAAGACTAAAAGAGGAAGGAAAGAAAGAATTAAAAGGATTGATTTTTGCCTTCTTTTTTCAGTTACAAAAAAACTAAATTTATTCTGCACAATTTAATAATTTTGATAAAATTATGACATGGAAAATTAACTTCACATCCTATTTGTCAAATAATCACTATATACATCTAAGCATGTGCATGTACAAACATATGTTTTAAAAGGTATTGAAATCAATTTGGAAGTTTATATTTTGGTTTTATGATATTTATATAGGTACATTTTTGTGATTAATTGTTCCTTTCCATACTGCTTATTCCCATTAAAATATATTCTGGGGTCATGACTGAATTTATTTGGTTACAAAATTTTCAATTCAGAATTTTTTTTCACAAAATATGAATACCATGTACATGACAATACTACCAAGAATACTTTTTCTTAAGCTACCTTATATAAGTTTAAGATCTTATTGAAATAAGAGTACTGAAACTGAAGGTGATTTCTTTATTACAGATTATATAGATATTTAATCATATTTAAACAATAAGCTCTTTTATTTAAACATGATTTTTTACCAAATTATATTTGGCTCCTAAATCTATCATTTGGAGAAAAAATATCAACTTAGGCAAAATTTTTGGCACAAGAATTTTGAAAGCTGGTGTAATCCCTGAAAAGATAAGGGGGGAAAAAAGTAAGTGCCATGGGGGATAAAAGTGAGGGAGCTGGAAAGCAATAGTAGGCAAGGAAGAAAAAAAAAATAGAAAAAAATGGGTAAAATGTAAGAAAAGAATAAGTGGAGGAGGAAAGATAATGCTAGGAAGAAAAAAAGTAGGTCAAGGAAAAGGAAAAGAAGTTGTTAAACAAGAAAAGAAGGAAAACAACAAGCATGTACCTGTAGAACTCTGTTTCTTGGAGGCCTTGGGAACATTATTGGGTATACGCCCCTCTGATGGAGGATCTGATGATGCATTTACAGATGTGGCAGTGCCTGAACTCCCATTGGATGATAACAGAAGTGGCACTGCAGGTGATGCCAAGATACTGGTAGCACCTATCAAGTAAACAAAGAATTGTTAAATTCAACAAAACAATTGTTAAAGACAAGTTTCAAAATTAAGTATTCTCTACGAAATTCATTCTACAATAGACTTTGTTTGGTGGTTCGATCTTCCTGTAATCAGCCAGGGTTGTTTTCAGACAGGGTCTCTTTGTACTAAAAATCAAGGTGACTTCTTCACTGAACAACATAAAATAGGCCTTCAACAGGCCAAAAAGAGCTAACTGAGGTAAAGTGTCTTGCCTCAAGTCACAACCACAGAACAGTTGTGATCTTACCTTCCTGAAAAATAGTCCTGTTTGGTTAATTGTTGCTTCAGGTCCTATTAACAGCTGGGATCATTTAAGAATGAGCCAGGTTTGGCTGGTGAAAGAAACCCAGAGTTCCAAGAGAAAAAACTATAGACCTAAGGCCAGTATCTGTTGACTGTCCCATGTAGGCCTTTTAACACATGACCCAAAGGTTGAGGGCTGATGTCATAATGATGATGGTCAGATGCCTCAACCACACCGACACCATGGCCCTACAAACGGTTCCATGTAGGGATTGCACCTCATATTCATGAGGTTGAACAGCTTCCAGATAAGCTATTATGGCCCCACCAACTTCATTGAAACAGTATGCAATTACTTGATGTGGTAAGAATGTACAGTGTATATCACACTTTTCCTTCACTTAAGACAAGAGAACCTAATTCCTCAATCAGATGCAAAAACCCAATATGAGCTTCCAACAACTCAAGGCCAACAATATGAACAGTATTAGACCATTTTAATGTATTTCTTTTATTGATGCAATTTCAAACAAAGTCAAACAATTATATTGCTTTGGAAATATTTTTGGTAATTAAACAGTTGAAAAATATCAATATTACCTTTGTCGATTATACTTCTAATGTAATGATTTTGCCATTTTCAGTTACAAAGGAAATGGCATATTTTATGTCTTGATTTTCAATTACTTACTTGACACAACTGGGCTGATACGACTGCCACTTCGAGATTTGTTAAATAAGTTTCCTGGAATTGGCAATCTGTAACCAAAGATTTTATTATGAGAATGCAATACCTTTGTTACATAACAAAAACACAGTAATATCAGGACCTTTTTCTTGAAAAAAAATCACAAGATGGAACTGCCAACAATCGATTTAAAATGACTTGCGGTTTACTATATAATAAAATCTGTCATAAAACGACCAAGTATCTGTAAAGAAATCATTTAGATAAACTCTTTTCTGTGTAAAATACTGTGGTTAGCCTAATAAATGCACTGTGTGTTTACAAAAACACAAAAGTGCTGTTCTTATTAAAACCAGGTACAGGGAAAGTTCCTATGTAAAATAACAACACAATTTTTTGTTAAAATACATAAGATTGCATTGGCAGATCAGTGAGGAAAGCTATTTTGTCATAGGTTCTAATTAACACACCCATCCTCTTCTCCTGAAGAGGTGATGGTGGACTTGCAGAGGCATGTGAGTTTATTAGGTCAAATATGGTATCCATAAAAAAAGCAATTCTGTTTATACAAAGACTTTGTTGGATTATTTCATTTTTTTGTTGTGCTGAGGAGGGAGTGGGTTTGTGGGTAAGGGAGGACCCTTTTTTTTTTTAACTTTTTAAAAGTTATTAGAAATAAAATACAAAAATGTTGATCTTCCTAGCTGTTAAACATATGACATCTGGGGTTAGATACCAGGGTATCACAATTTATATAACAGAACATTCCATTGCATGTCCTGAAAATATAATGTGATTTGTACGCTTGTCACTGTGATACTTAAACTCACAACTGGTACATCAATATTAAGGTAATAAGATTTGTAACACAGGCATATGTTATGTATTTGGTTTGATGAAAAGCAAATTCAAAATCCACAGCACCTTTTTTTAAATTTTACGGTAAGTCTCAAAATTGTTTCAGGTTTAACTTAAAGGAAAAGAATTTCTTCATACAGTTTATGCCCAAACAATTCACATCTTTCTCAAAACACTTCACCTTTCGTATCTCATCCTAATATATAACTCATTTCACTTACAATATATCATAAGTAAAGGATTTACAACATCCTGTACAACTTACAGTCGTTTGTACTGAGGGTATCTGCGCATAATGAAGTTCTGCATTGATGCCGTTGATAGATTCCAGTTATACCAAATTAGAGTACACCATTATACAGATCTCCTTACACATTTTACAGAAACAAATACACACAAATTTATCAAATAAATAAGCCATTCATTAATTAGTTACAGCACTTACACCTACTGAACAGACAAGTTGAAAATTTGTATAACAAAATACTTGAAAAACATTATTAATTCTGAGTATTATATATCTAATACTGAAATTTTAACACAATATTGATACTGGTATTTTTTACATGAAATATACAACCTTGAATATCAACAATAAACAATGTGTAGAGCACGTCTTATCATTGAGGTTCAGAAATACACAACTTTATAAATATAGCCCATGAAATCAGACAATCATCTAGAAATTGACTTTAACACATTGCAGTGAAAAACTGGGTACCGATTCAAAAATCCTTTGAATTAAAACCATGGCCAAAATAGCTCCATTAAAATCTCTGAATCAAGAATGTTACAAAAAACATCATGTCCATATCCTGTAGGGCGCCATGTTAGATTTTAGGTCTGTTACTGACGCTGTGGTAGAAGCATCTCAGAATTATTGATCCAAATTCTGGACCCAGTGATGATCATTCACAATCTAATTCACTACACAGTTTGGTTGGTATGGCTGTTATACATTCTGCCAGTACGCTGCAATAACAACCTAGATTAGTGGGGAGGAATGAATACAACCAAGTTTTGTACGATCCTACCGATTTCTCAGATGATATTCTAATACACAATGCCAATATTGAGGGTCAAATAATTATTAGTCATTTCTTTTTTTTTTTTTTTTTTTGAGATGAATAAGAGAATAAAACTGATCAATAATATTACACATAAAGAGAATAGTAGTGTTTCACCTCATGAATTATTGAGAAAGTAGGAATTCCCTATGGCAGAGCATTGTACAGCCGCTTTCATTTCAACCTAAATTTATTTACACAAGTCTTGACATTTTTTTATTATTACAGGCGGCCTTCTTCATCATTTACACATGATATCTGCATAATATATGATATGTTCCATGTCACCAAGCCAGCGTGCATGTACACAAATCCTTGCACAAGTTTTCATTTCCATGAGATTTATCAAAACAAGTCTAGCTAGGAAATTTTCATTTTACTGAGCCTCTGCAAAGGTAAAAAAAAGTAAGAGGCCCATGGGGGTTGACAGTCACCTGAGTTCGAAAAGCAAATAGTTAAAATCCCAACCTCTACAGGCATTTTTCTGTGTGTACTCCAATTTTCTCCAATGTGGCACCCAAACAACGTATTAATTTAGAGCATGGTATTTTGTGCGACATCAAAAATAATGTTTCAAATGATCATTTCTATGTGTGTCTAAGAAAATTGGTACTTTTACTACCTCTTATTGTTTATGGCATTTGTACATTGAACTAATGACCTCAAGGCTTGAGGACAAAATCTTTGCATAATATCAAAATAAAATTCAAGCATATATGCCAGTACAAATTGTTGATAGTTATCAAATGAATTGGCATCTTATTGCTGTTTCAGTATCTTGGCTTTGCCAATAACTTGCCCCCACCCCTGGAGACAAAACATACTTATTTAATGTATATTACAACAAAACTATGTAATGGAATTTACCTCTATTCTCTACAACAATAGGATGACAATATTTTAAAATCAAGGGTCCTATACCTGCCTTCTTAACTTTTAGATTACTTGTCTACCTGTGACCTCTTTGATAGGAATAAAAGAAAATATATTAAGCTTATCATATAAAGCTAGCACCTTTGTAAACTTCAAGGATATATGACTGCTGTGATTGGACACAATTTTGTGGCTACAGCCAATCAAATGGCTAACATTTATAACAGTGAGTGATGCTTTGATTTTGGCAAGGTATATACATGAAATATAATATTAAACAGTTCATACTGAACAAACCATTATGAAAAAACATCCAAAGAATTCCTTTAAAATGATGCAGAATTTAGTGTATATTGCAATAACTACTACTTACTCCAATCTAACAGTTGTACTTCAGAAACTCTTTTTTTTTTATTTCTGGGATGGAAATGACACAAGCTAAAAACAACAAGTATATACAATCCAAAGCTTACCTGTACATCCTTGTTGAGAACCACAATTACAAATCTGTACAATATTCATGACAGTGACAGGGGAGCATCACTGGCTTCAGCAATATCAGCAGATAGCTGACAGCATCCGCATTGCCACTGATATAAAATGCAGCTGTGTGCATTTATACTGTACACACACATAAATGTCTAACTCAAGCTAACGAACATAGGAATTCTCCTGTTCAATGTCTGTTAGGCTTTAAAGCTTGTATATCTAGGGAAAATCTTTTCTTTTTAATATGAAGAGATATAAATTGAGACCTGATCAATCTGTTTCACATATCGAAATCTGTGTGGGAGAAAAAAACAAGTTTCTGGCTTAATCATTTTTATATCATTATACACATATTTTCATTTTATTTTCATAAAAGGAAAAGTTTGGGCTTAATCACAGTAATATTCCATTATAAGAACAAGAGGCCAAAAAAAGGCATACAAAGCATTTGATTCTACCATACCCGAGTGTTGAGAAGAAGATATTGAAATTTAAACAAATGTTATCCCTTTTGTTCCTGCCCTTCAGCACCTGGGAGTCAGTCAGGATCAATATATGAATTCCTTCTAGCCATCATCCATTACTCACAATTCTAACCAAGTCTGAAATATTTCTATTGGAGATTGAATATATTATGCTCAAAAACCTATTTTGCTGATATAAACTATGGTAAAATTTACCCCCTCCCCACAATGAAATGTGAAAAATTGGGTCATGAAATTCACAATTTTGGTAAAGCACCTTAAGACACTTTCATCCAAGATGAGCATTTGATTCTATCATATATGGGTGTTGAAAAGAATAATTTTAAATCCAAATCAATATGATCCCTTTTGCCCCACCAATTATCCCCCTGAGGGTTGAAAAGGATCAATATATGCATACCATCTTGTCATCGTCCCTTGCTCATAATTCGAACTAAGTTTGAAATATTTACAATGGAAACCTATTTTTCCTATATAAACTACAGTAAACTTTACTCCTTCCCCATCAGGAAATATGAGAACCTGGGGCTACGAATTCACAATTTTGGTAAAGCTTCTATCCATGAAGAGTATCTGTTTCTACCATATCTGAGTGTTGAGAAGGAGATTTTAGAATTTGAAACTTTTGGTCGCGGCTCTCATGCCTCCGTGGGGTGGGGACCATATAATTCACTATTTTGATTCATCTTAGATAAGGGAAAGATTAATGTAAAATTTCATTGAAATCAGGTCAGGGGTTTTCAAGAAGAAGTCACAAATGTTGAATTGTTTACAGACATATGATGCACAATGCTGGAAGTGATCGCGATAAGTCACCATGATACTTTGTATCAGGTGACCTAAAGACCAGATCAATAAAAAGAATACACCATGAATGTGTGAAGTTATGATAACCTTTATACTGTTTTAGTGTAAAATCTAATCATTTCACATTCAAGTAACAAAATTTGACATGAATCCTCTAATACATCCTTTGTGTTGCACAAAAATGGGTTGTTTCTTCTTTTAACCCAGCACAAATGAAGTGACAATGTCAGTGTACTAAACTGTAACTGAGAATTGGACATTGGTGAAACTACTGTCTGGTAAAGATATGTAGACACCGAGTTGTTCCAAACCAGATACTTTTATCAATAGTTTTTCACTCTTGTAGAATTCATTCCTTATTACTTTGACAGACTTTCAGACTTGCTCATATAAACTTTCTTATAAATGGCTTGACACTTTTTATTTTTTTTTTTTTTCCTAATTCTACCTATCAGGAGGGGGAGATTTTATCAACTGAAGTTCAATTTGAATAGTAGGTAATAGTCATTGGGGATTTATTTTCACTCAACAAGATCAAGAACTGTTGTCAACCATTAAATGTTGACAGGAATTAATTTTCTGGCAATTGATAAGAGTCTCTTTAAATGTTACATGAGTAAATATAACACACATAATAAATTGTTTGAGAAAAATCTGTGGGTTTAATTTTCACCCTAAATTTTGACAAGAAGCACATGCATGAAATTGAATCTCTGTGAATTTGATTCAACAAGAGAAAATCAAACATTTCTGCTTGTGAAATTAAATGACTACCAGGTACTTTACCCGAGACACTTGCCATTAAGAAATTGTAACTACTGTGTAAGCTCTATAGTATGGTTTTGTGTACAAACATAATGTGACGATTGGAAACGACTATTATTTGGTATTTGTTATTTGACTGAGTGCAGGCCACAGACACATCTATCTATATATTACCTGGTATACATGGTACATTAGATTGTTTAAACGGTTATTTTTGTTTGTTTGTAAATTGTTTCCAGAACAGCCAACATCATTTGAATCAGGATGCTCCTTGTAGTCGTCTGTGGCTACCTCACTGAACAACATACTGGGGGCCTATCACAAGCAACTGGGTTATATATAGCATCTGGACCAGAGCATGACCATTACATGTGCACACTTATCCATTTTTCAACTTTCTTTGAGACACAAATGCATGCAGTTAGGGCTAGATGTACCATATACTTCAAATCTCCATCTGAGTTTGCACAAAAAAAATGTTGAACACTTGACAAACTGAGTTATTGAGATCCACAACTGATAACATTGAAAATTTTAACATTCCTATCCAGACCAATTAACTCAATCTTTTACAAACTAATGTGATTCTTTATTATACCTATATCTTCTGGTAGGTAATTTTCATTTTTTGCTTTTATAGGAAAAGACAAAAAACAAACAAAAAAGATTACACACCTTTTTTTTGAAATGCTATGACTGAGATCCCTTTAGTTATCTAGTAAAGAATGTGACCATTCATAGCATACCCGGTATCTTGTAATCTTTTTTTCTCTCTTTTCTTAATTCATTTATTCTCTCATTCTACATTCAATAATGAAATTTATAAGGAATTTGCCAATTTAGAAAATTTGGTATAACACATCTAATTGTGTATTTAGACAAGGATATCAGATATCATGACATGACCTTGTGGGCTATGGAATTAGCCCATTCACATTAAGTCATTACTGCCCAAAAAAAATACACCCATTTTCAAATGTCTATATCTTTATCTATATAGATTTATAACCATGTAGTTATAATTACTTATAATATCAGAAGTTTACTTCATCTCATTACACAACATGTATACTCACCAATAAAAATTTCTAAATTTTATATTGACCCTTGACAAGCCATTTTTCTTTCAAAGCAGGTCAAGACTGCTTGATATCATAAAACATAATAAATACATTGCTTGATTTTTATCGACACCAAATGGGCCTGTAAGAGTTTGTAATACTGCATGTTGCAGATGAAATAACAAAATTTGGTTCTCTTGATGGTTTAAACTTAAAGAGCTCATTTGAGGCCTGTAAAATATGTAACCTCTGTGATCTTGAAGGTGGATCAAGGTCATTCATTTGAATAAACTTGGTCGCTTCCATCCCAAAATGCTACTTGCCTAATAGCAAGACTCTAGACTCTTTAGTTTTTGAGTAAAAGTTGTAATACATGTGACCACTGTGACTGGTCTTACATGTAGGTAAAGGTCATTAATTATTATAACAAAACCAGAAGCTCTTATCAACATTTCAGCATGCTACAAACAAATACATGTATTAGAACCCTCTGCATGTAGCAATCGCAGCCCTTGAAGAAATATTCCCAAAATTTTAAAAACAAAAAAGGTTAACCAAAATAGTAAAGTCCCACACAGGTTCAAACTATGACAGGAAAATTAATTAAAAACCTTTTTTTCAAAAATGAAACTCATAGCTCCAAAGCTAGACTATGCAAGCACATGCATGCAATTATTAACACTGTCCAATCATCATTCACTAATCTGTAAGCTTGTGAAATATGTTTGCCTAATATGGTAAAAACTTTACCAACTAATGGCATTGAAGCAGATTTACAAATCAGATATTCTGTAATTTGTAAGTCAAAATCCACAAGCGTATAACAAAGGAATCTCTCGAAATACTCATCTTTATATCTTACTTATACTGCACAAAGTATCTTACTGGATTCATAAGAACTGATTATCAATTTATAATTTATACCAATTTCCCAAATCATACAACAGAGTTTTCACAAAAAAAATTTACTTCATTTTGCTGAATAAGACTTATAATTGAGTTCATCCTTATTCATTGGTTTTTAAACTAAGCTGTAAAATATTTAAAACAGTGTCAACTTACGCTCCTGAGTAGGTAGGCGTGGTCTGACTGGACGACGGAACAGACATTCCCGGATACATGCTTGGATATCCCTGGGGATGGAGGTTTATCACATTAGGCATCCAAATGTTTGGACTGGAGAAAGATGTGGGTGGAATTGGAGGTAAGGGAAGTGATCCGAGGGATGAAATCATATGAGCTGAGGAGTTTCCACCACTGCCTGGAATCATAGGCTGATTCACATTTTGTCCACTTGAATGTGAAGGATGCATGGATGAAATCGGCAGATTAGACCTGTTATTGTTAACAATACTAGAATGTAACCTCTTCCTTGTCAGGGGACCAGAGAAATGAATTGACGAAGATGTTGCTGAAGAAATGTGGCTTCCAGGAAGTGACATAGAAACAGTAGTTGTGGGTAGACTTGTTGGAGTTCCATGAATATAAGATTGATTTGTAGCACCAACTGAGGTAGGCATAATGAGTTGAGCTGCAGGACTGGCATTTACATGTGGATATCCTGAAGCAAGTCTTGGCTGTTTTGGAGAATTTGGACTTGACCCCCCAACAAGATTCGGCACTGTATTTGGACTCATTATGTTATTGGTCAACCCGATAGGATGACCACTTATTAGCTGACCAGCAGATCCTTGAGATATTCGGGGATAAGGTATTGTTAGTTTTTCACGACGTATATTCCTTTGTCTTCCTGTTCCGATTCTTTGCTGTGTCATCTTACTAAAATTTACTTGATACGGTAGATTCAAGGATGAATGGGTAAGGTCAAGAATGTTTGATCGTCCTTTCTGAAGGAAAAAGTCATCTATCACTCTAGCGACATCTGCATCATAAGTGTGCCATTCACCAGCTGTGTCTCCTTCCCACTGCCATAATGTACCTCTCCCCCAGGGAGAATCAGGTGGGTACAACATCCGACGCACAGGACGTGGTGTCCCTATTGGTAAAAATTCAAGATTTTTTCATCAATTCCTAATTAACAACATTTTTTATAACAATATTTTGTCCAGATGACAGATACTTTTCACAACATTTCAGAACTTTATACTATATTACTAATATTCCGAGTTAAAAAAGTTTCGTTTGAAGCAAATACATATACAGCTAATGAAAGATCTATCTAAACTCTGCGAATATTATGAAATAAATCTAATAGGGAATGGGTCCCATATTCAGCACTGTACAGCCTCCTGGAAAAAGGCCTAAAATATGTTACATACAATCTAGTTTTATTGAATAATATCCCATCTATCTAATTACACCGCTTAAGTTTTTGTTTATCCCTTTTTTTCTATTAAGATCAATGAAAGTGAATGTGAAATTTTTGGTTAATATTAACTTTGATGGAGCAAAGATATCATCATACAATATATGTACATCTTATCATAATTCCTGTTTTCAGTATGAATGATGTTCATAGTTTTCAGAAAAGATATTTTGCTTCTGATCATCTATGAAGGAACATGTTTGTAAAACATTTGAAAAAATAAAACCATAAAGAACAAAAACAAAAATAAAGCAAAAAAAATGTGGTGAAATAACATGAGGAAATACTGGCATGTCTATAGAATATTACCAAAAGAAAGATTTATATGGAGGTCATTGAAATGGTATAATGAAAACAAAGCCAGGTTTTTCATTCAATCCAATTACTATAATTTTACATGAAAATGGTCAAGGTTAACAACTACAAAACTATCAGGAATAATTATTAATGAACAGTGTTGCATCAAACACCTTAATCTTCATATATCAAACCAAATATTTCCCACTGAGACTTATGTGACTAGCTAGATAACCATTAATTCATCATTCTACTATATCCTACATGTAATTATATGTTCATGGTAATTCTATCTGACAGATGTCAACAGCTACAAAGTTATTTTCTATTTTGAAATGAAGTCTATTGAATTTCATATGTTTGTGCTTTATATCATGTATGGCACAATCAATCCTAAGACACAAAGAAGTCTACTTAAATCCTTAAATCAAGATCTCAACCATACTGATGGTCTTCCCAGCTTAATTTCACAAAAGAAATTCCTCGTCAGTGTATGATAAAACATGTGGGAGTTAAGAAAAGTAAAGTATGGTTCTGTGTTCAGATCAACAATAAGATATCTTTATTTCTTACATACATTTACTGCTTTCTAACTTGAAAAGCACGCAACATCATGAACAGATGTTTATTGATTTTTCCCCAGAGGCAACGCTGTATTTTAACCAAACTCAGTAAGCCGTCATACAATTCACACATTACGAGAATTGTGTTCGAGAATAAGAAAATATGTTCTTTCCATTCAAATTACAATATAGTTGTACGTTAGTAAATGTGTGTTGTCCAATTTTGTCTCCTATTACATGCAACTTACCAGTACCAAGGCGAATTTGGCACATGGCAATAAAATCGATTGAATACATGTTGAGCATCCCATCGATGACACCGAGATTCAGAGTTGTGGCCTGCGACTTGTTTGATTCAATATACTGTGTTACATGCGGCATGTAGGGCTTCCAGCGCCCATATTCATTCATCCATTCCCAGACGATAACAGAATCTGTAGCGGACGACGCCATGTTTGACAGATTGATTCCAATTCTCGGGTGTTATTGTCAATACAGGTATATAACGCCATAAGTTCCGAAAAGAAAAGGTAAATCTCACAATCGTGAGAGTATTCATTTTATTTAATTATTGGAGTAGTACAATAAATGTATTATTTTTATAACTATATACATACTCTTTTATCAATCTAATTCCTAAGTTTAGAAAATAACAATCTGCTTTTATTTTGGAAATATGTAAATTACCCATGATCCTTTGGCATTCCTGTAGCGAAGGAAATCCATTGACCGCAACTGACAGCGATGCAAGAAAAAAATATTGGAGTTAGTCTTCTGTCAGCATGACCTGCTGGCTGATAGTTGGATATTTCTTGGAAATGACCTACTTCAGCTGTTAACTTTATTGGTAACAATGCCATTGCTTGATGTACTGAAATATGTCAATGCATTTTTGCACAAACATTTTGCTCCTCGATCCTTTCTCATGCCAGTCATGGTGTCTAGTTTACAATATCGGAGAGATGTCTTACTTAGCTTTGAGACAACGATAAATTAGGAACTCTGTTTTTGATATTACACATAGATATGATGTTATGTTTACCATGTCTTGGCTGCGTGGGAAAAGAAGGACTATCAGTGTAACCATAATTGCGTATAATTTGTCATGAAATCGCAGTAAGGTCTTGTCGAGGTATGTGCATCGCAATTTTCAGTGTATTTTGGTTCTCTACTTTTACTGATTTTGACCTCCTTCAACATTCTGAAGATACAGTCAAGTGTCAAAGTCTGCGCTTTGTGAAGAAAAGAAGTATATCATCAGTTGGTCACATCTAGAACTATGAGAGCGAAGTTAATAAATGTAAGAAGAGATCTGAGATTTGAAAGTGGATGGGGTTTTTGCAGTTACCAGATTAGTAAGGAGTTTATTTCATTGTGATATGCTACAAGGAAAGAATGATTCCTTGTAACACCTTGTTTTGGACAATGGCTTGTCGTGTGGTGAAACAGGAGAATTATCTATATTGATGACAACAACTTTGTGTGTGACAGTGTACATCATCGTCACTCTAACGTGTGTGTGATTGTACATTATGATCACTTTAGTGCCTCTCTTTCTATCAACAAAATTGTGTCAGACCAGCCTTTGGAGCATATATCCAACATTTGGTGTGTTGTGATACCACTGTAACAAAGCAGGTGGTATGCCTGGGCTACTTGCAGTTAATCAATGTCTTTGTTTTCTTTTTTTTTGTGAGGATTCCAAACTGTGCTAGCATATTCTACTGAGGTTGTAACTAGAGATTTGTTTGCTTGCTCCGAGACTGAATCCATATTTGAATTACGTTTTACAAAACAAATTATTCTGTTACCTTTGTTGCTGATATTTTGTACATTCAATATATGTAAAATTCAATTTAATTCAAGAAACTTGATACCCCTAATGATATTAATGATGTTCATTTTTTTTTTCTTTTAATTTTTTTGTTTTTGTTGTCCCAACAGTTATCAGTGATCAGATCTAAATGTAAATCCTGTTGTAGATCTTAAGATTAATTAGTTAGTGGAACAAGAAATAAAAATATTGAGATCATTATGTAATTTTTTTTCAATCTTTTTTAAATCTGAAGCACTTTGCATATCCTAAAATCTTTTAATTAAAATAAAAGTGATTTTGTCATGGGCTTATCTGCTTCTAAGTTAAATCTTTTCACAAACAGGAAACAAAGTATCATTGAGGAGGTTGATTATTCTAACTCAAGTTCTTTTTGCTAGTCCAAGGAAGAAGAGGTCTTGCGCATTGCACTGAAGCGATGAACGTTTTCAGAATACAACTGATATGGGATCCCTGCAGATCAGAAATTTTCTTCAAAGTTTTTTCTCATCATTCAATTTAGTCATAAGGAACCCATTGCAGTTCTAGAGATTGATGTTTATTTTTCTGTCTGTCATCATTTAAATAGTGTTTCTCTATTGGCCTTCTTATCTGCAGATAATATGAGTACTTATATACCCCATATTCAACATCATCCCTGACTTACAAAAATTATTTTTTCTGTTTTTTAGATCATTTTTTGTACAAAGGATACTGCCAAAGCTCTTATCATGGCAAATGAATCGGCTGTTCACAAGCGCAACATGGAGAGTGCCATCTTGTTTATGCAGCAGGAGCACGCCAACACATTGAAGGCTCTACATGAAGAAATACGAAACCTACAGAAAAAGTGTTCAGGTCTGCAAACCTCTGATATACATTGTACCTATTACATACAAGGAAATTGATTTATAAAGCATTATATTATCCATCAGCTTGGATTTTGCTACTAGTTATGATTATTGATATTTTATTGGATATTTTAATCATTTATTGACAGTTTTATGATTACTAAAAACTAAAACATTTCTTTCTGTAATTTAATAAGCATATTATCTTGAATTCAGTGTTAATGATACTTCAGTTTCCTTTCATTTAAAATACATTTTTAATAATTACCTGTCTGATAAGAGATATTAATTTTTTTGTCACTTAGTTATGATAGTTATATAGTTAAACTATAAACTTCATTTCTATTTCATTTTTCGAGAGATTTAAGATAGAAATTTTAATGCAAGAAAAAGTGTCAAAATTTTTTTTTTGCAAAGTTTTTTTAAAGTCATTTTGAATTTAACAGGAACTTTTACTGGAAAACAATTTCCAATAGAGTAACATGACAAAATTCAGTATCTTTTTGTCTAATGCTACAGTAAATATACTTCTAAAAGGGCAATAAAATTTTAGTGCTTTATCATTTTTGTTAATTTTTTTCCACATCAAAACAATGATGAATTAGCACATCCACAATTGTTGATATATGATATAAACTGCAATTAGCGCTATCATACTTTAGTGCAATAATTTCAGCATAAAACAATGCTAAAATAAGATCATTGCAAAATATGTACATTTACAGTAGTTTTTTTCTTGCTTTAGATTGTACCAGGATGTATACTAATAGGATATTTAACTGTGCTATACATTATAGCATTGATCTGACTGATTATGTATGCTCTTCCGTAGTAGTACATTTTGGTAAAATTGATTTGCAATTGACAATAATTGCCTGATTTTCTTTCCAGACTTAACATTCCAGATTAATATGCAGGGTCTGGGCATTGATGACACTGGTATGTATATCAGTTATGATTTAAATAAAAAAATCGAAGACAAATAAAAAGATAGAATGTTGTATCATGTTATATAAGACATTTGGACTGAGGTTTGTTTCAAATAGATGCTTAGAAACTCAGTAATCTCACCCCAAGAGTTAAGATTTCACAGACAAAACATTGTAATTGATTTTTTTTCTTTCCCCTGTTATCAACAAGTTCAAGAAAATGAACATCACTCATTGTTTGTGTTAAATTAAATTAAAAATTTGTGTACACATCAGAAAAGCATTGTTTTGTATACATTTTCTACACAAGTTCTACACTTGATTAGATTTTGTTTGTCATTGGTCAACAGTAAAGTCTAAGAAAGCACTTTCCCGTTTTGTGAATAAAAAGGTCAGAGGGTTTGTTTGTTTATTTAAAAGAGGTGTTGATTCACTTGTTGTGATGTTAAACTATATACAATGTATATGCTGTGTGTTTATTCTTTGCTTGGTTTATTGCCCTGCCTACAGCACAGGTCATTTTGAAGCAGGGTTACATTTACAATGTATAATTCTGAGTAGGCTGCTTATGATAGAAACAGACTTATAATGAAAACAGTGCACTTCTTCAGTAGAGGGAATACTTGTGAAGAGAATGGGGATGGGGTAATTTTCTTTCATACTGAGTAATGAAGAGATACCCATAGAAGGGGTATTAGAGTTAACGGTGGACTTCAGATGATTTTTAATACTCCGGATCTGAATCAGTCTGATAATCACAATGTTATAGTCTGTTTTGTTGGTAAATGCCTGAGAATCCATTCGTCTAAAATTACTGCAATTCCTTTTTTTGGTTTTCATGAGCACCTGACTTTCAGTGTTATAGTTAAGTAAATGATTATAAGAGGTTTGGAGGTAGAAATATTCATTTAGGACTTCAAGGGTCATTAAACTGTGGGTAGATGAAGTACTTGGGTAATTTGAATCTATCAGTTCTTTTCTTGTTTATGCAGGTGCTACATCTGCAAAAGTGGAGGAACTACAAAAGGAGATGGAAGACAAATCTCAACTCCACACTAAACTAGAAAAGGAGCTAGAAAGAAAGGAGAAACTTGTTCGTGATATTGAACTATTGGCAAAAAAACAAAAAATGAAATACATTGATGAAGCACGTAAAAAGACACAAGAAATTGATCAATATAAGGCAGAACTTGAGTCCAAATCAAACCAAATTGCTTATTTAACATCTGAACTGCACAAACTAAAACGTCTTCAACTTGAGTCTACACCTGTTGCAAAGACTGTGATCACTGATGGACATATTGTACCAATGCCACCATCCCGAGATCAGTTCTCGGGTCGTGCTCGTCGTGGGATTATTCGACACAGTAAGCCAAGTGTTAAACCTGAGGAGCTTGAAAAACGTGCTGTTCGAACCAGTTCTGGAAAATCCACAAGTTCTTCTCGTTCAGACTCTCCAATTGAATTGGCAAAGCCATTTTTACGTTTAAGTGATGAAATGGATCCTGATGTCCAAATAAAGGGTAATGTTCGACATCCCCTTCCACCTATTAGGTCCTCAGTGAGTAGAGAGGAGCCAGCCAATGGTCGACAGGTTTATCTGCATAAAATGCTTCCTGTTCCACCTCCACAGCTTACAGCTACAAAACACGGCAGGACGAAAACAAGGGAAATGCCCATTCTAGCTGTCGATCAGGTGTCAGGGGCGGAGTCTAAGTGGGCACAACCACAGCATTCACATAGCCATGAATATAATTGATGTAAATGTCTTTATGAACATTTCATAGAGACTTTTTTTACTAGTGCCACGGATATTGACACATTTTATACACCATTTATACCTAACACATCAAGGGGCAAATATAAGGATCACTCTATGGAAAGTTTGGAAAAGCAAAATATCACTAATTTTTAATACAGAATAAATTTTGAAGTTCTACAAATTTGTACTTTCATTCATTTATTTGAAATCAAATATTCCATTAAGTTAAGATATTTATGATGGTAAGAGTAATATATTCTATTGAAAAGATTTTCAAAAATTTTAGTTTGAATGTGGTACTGACCGAAAACTGCTCTTATTTCCAAATTACTTTTTAAATGGAATATGGATATTTGTGTTTTGAATTCATAGTCCTTGCACTTATTAAGTTTTACTTTAATAGTACCTGGTAAGTCATTTTGTTAACAATGTCTTTTTTTGTATAGCTCATTGTTACACCAACTTTTACACTTATAATAGTGTTTTGCTAATTTTACATTTTGTTTTGTACATGTATGTCTAGTTGTTTGATGATAACAAATCTAATTTGTTTGAAAGATGGAAGTTATCCTGTCATTGGCTTTTAGATAAGTAAGAAATTTTCTGATTGGCTGTCAGCGGAAGGTTCATTTGTCACCTTTCATTTGCAAACTGTGACTTTGTGACTTCTGTGTTGTTTTTGCTGTCTGTAGATGGTGTATTATGTATTATGTTATATCGTGTGATGATTTCACTCTTTTTTTTTAAACAATGACCTCGCAAAATTTTATGTAACTCTTACAAACGTTACAAAATATTAGGAACTATACTCTTAAGCTTCTCCACAAATTTTAACGCTACTAAATGAAATGGACACATTAACCAAGTTAATGCTATTTATCAAAATATGCCTGCTTGATAACTATCACTTGTTCACGGCAAAATTAATAAAAATGGCATCATTTAAAATTGAATGATGTAAAGCAATACTTTCCAGCGGGATATTACAGAAAGTATCATTCTGGTAAAGAATTCTAATTTTGTGCCTGTTGTTTTACTTTCTCTTAAAGTAAAGACTGGTTTGATTAGGTAGCTGTTGTATGATGTGCACAGACAAAAGGAAAACACATTCATTTGTTGTAAAAAAATTTTTACTGTATTCAAAATACTGTATATTGAGTTAAAGGAATATAAAATTTTGTTTTTTAAAGAAATTTTAAGAAAAACGAAATGGAGTTATTTAAGTCTTTTTTTTTTACCCCTGCAATTACACTTAACTGCAGAGGATTGTTGTAGACTTAATATATCGTGCAATGCAATGTAAGTGTTCTTTGTAATGTTGATTAGGTTATGTTTATTTCATGTAGTAAGTGTTAAGGAGTGAAAGAAATGTTTTTTAAGTTGCTTAGAAAAAACCTTGTTCATTCTTGAATTTCAGGAATTTGATAAATAATGTATTTTTTAGATGGATGTGCTTTATTTCTTTTCTAAGAGCTTCTACTGTGATATATGTGATCGGAGAAGTCTGTATCTGTATGTTTTAACCATGAAATTTGCTTTCACAAAGATGAGGACTTACAATATAGCTGTGTTTTAGCAGGATTAATGTGAAGAAACTAGTCGTGCCGTAGTGATTTGGATTTGAGTATACCATAAATTCATTTTTTCTGTGTAATATTCTTTGGATGTGAATATTGATTTTGATTTTAAAGGAGGACAAGAGAAGTCTTCAAATTCCATGTATGTAAAGATCAATTTTCACAAATCCTCACAAATACTATAATTGTAGGATTTCTAAAGGCCCTTATCCTTATTGTCAGTTTGATGATTTTTAAGCATTTGGAAAAAGTGGTATATAAAAAATGACATAATTTACAAATAGTATATGCAGCTACAGATTACCCTTGTGCTGATCATTTGAAAGATGAAATTAAATAACATGTATTTTAAAAAGACAAGAAAATTATTCAGAGAAATCTTTAAGAAAGGAAACTCGAGGGGACATACTGGGTTCAAAAAAGTCTTTTTGTTTTCAAAAACTTCGAATTTTTAGACTAACTCTGCCATTTAAATGAGCCAAAGTGCTTGAAGTAGTTTTTTTTTTCACCGTCATCTATTCTTAGTTCATTTGGTCATACATTATATACTAGTGCATTACAAACATTTGCAGTCTAGGATTTCATGTGAAAATGATAAAGAATATGTTGAGAGTTGAAAGCATTGTTGTAAATGTTGATCATGTGTGAGAATGTCTTACAGTTTATTATATGAATTTTTTGTCTTAAATCAAAATAATTACAAAACAGTCCTAACATAAAACGATCTTAAGCCAAAAATAAGGATATTTGAATCTCATATGGTCACAGAATATTTTGTTGTTGTTGTTTTTGTAGAGTTAAAACACATTTTATGAATCAGTTTCTTAGTTTAGTTATCACCGTGTACGTCCTTGTGAAATGTTTCTCAGAAATTTCTTTATCAGGAAGTTATGTGATCAGTAAATCAGTTATCTTAAATTTTGGAGAATGGTAGATATCTGAGCTGGTAAGCGGTGCATTTTGTCAGAGACCAGTCTGTCCTGTTGTTTGTAACTTAAAACTAACTCTGTTCAGTTCCTCGATCATGTAGATATATATCTGGATCAAGCTTTAGATTGATTTCAACTAGACTAAACTGATAAACACAAAATAGTATGTTTGTATGGTAATTAGACTGGAAATACCAAAAGAAAAACACCACTCGTTGAATCATTGAATTTTTTTTATATTACATGATGGAAAATTCATAGAACAGGGAAATACTTCAAGTGTATGAAAATGAAGAAATGAAATTTCACTAACTGTTCTGGTGTTTTCTTCAGGTAATAACCATAATTAAATACACCAATAATATTGAGAATTATTGTGATACTTTGTTTCAAGGTTTTAAATGTATGAATTTTTTGCAATTTACTTATTTAAATTAAATAGGATTTATAACCTTATCAATGTCCATCCGTCCAATTCTAGTAAAAGTTGATTTTATATAAAAAGTTTCTCCAGTGAAGATGGCTTATTTGTTAATTAATTATACAAATTTTTACAAATTTATGTACACTGTGTCGTAGTGTGTATTAAAATGAGTGATGACAAGGGATATCATTTTAATAAATAGCTGTTTCTTTACAACTATTTCACGAGTTGTGATCAAAATAAAAAAAATAAAACTGAAGAGAAAACTTGTCTTGTTTCTTTTTATTCAGTCACTCAGAAGAACTGGGAGACCGTTAAGGCCTTTAAAATCCGTCCATATATTTTACTAAAAACACAATAGCACACCAATCAGAGAGAGGGTGAAACTTTCAGATATTGAATGTATCAATAATAAAAAAAACTTTGTGAAATACACATAAAGATTATTTCATATACTTCGAAATTACAGAATCACAAACACTAACACATCACTGTGTGAAATACACGGGAAAATGAGTATGTTTTGAAATAACAACTTCAGAAACACAAACATACAAATGTAGCTCCGACTGGAATTATGTTGTCTATCTTGACCTTGACATTGTGTCTGACTAAGCTGTGTTTTACCCTTATTATTAAATAGACAAATGTAACACAAAAGTCCGATATTTACATACTTATAGTCGGTCATTATACTGTGCTCCGTACCGACTTCAGTAGAGATAAGAAAGACCCAGGTCAGACCATGAGGTCGCCGAATGCAAAAGGCACGGTTATTTACATAACAACGCTTCGAAAATTATCCGTTTTATTAAATATTGGTTATTACAAAAAAAGGAACTGAAGTAGACCACATACATATCGAAAAGTGCTCAACGAAAAGAATTTGCATTGATTGAAAGACAATTTCCGTAAAATGAAGGCAAACTTTGGTCAAATGTGAACAAACAAATACATACACGCAGATCATGGAAAATAAAACTGAGTGTTCTGGCTGGGGGGATGGGGGAGGGAACGGAAGGGGGCCTGGTTGTTCCTTGGCCAGGATCGGAATTCATTTTATTATCACCAATTTTTAATCCATTTAAACTTTCTACAGCTTGTGACTCTAAATAAATTTTCTTTTATCACCTAGTTTATACCAAGGTCTTGAATGTAGTTATTTCTAAGCCCACGATGAAATTAACTGGAGCTGGAAGTGCCGACAATGTTAATTTCAGTACACATTTAGAACAAAATCGCATATAGTAATTTTATTTTGTGAACAAAAGAATTGTTTTAATCCGGAATAGTGGCACAGTTCAGAATATACACATACTTAACGGTGCTCTTAAATTTCCAGATATATGAAAAATTACGAAATTTATTTACATTGTAATTTGGGGCTGGTGAACCTCCCCATCTAGATTTTGACTTTTCTTTCGGTTACTTGGGATTGTCCTCAGTCGCTTCCTAGCCTTTAAACTTTATGCCTCACTGACCTGTTCTAAAAGGACGAAACAGCTGTGTGATACAGTTTGAAACTCTAAATTTGTATTAAAAGGTGTTATACACTCGCGTGTCTTTTAACGGAATAAACTTAATGCTTCTTGACAAACAATAACTTTCAACTGGATTCCACACTATTTCATTGCAGGAAAACAAGAGTGATCTGGACATTATTTATTTGACACTTGTCGTGGAATCGATAAAAAAGATCTATGGAAAATTAAAAAATAATAGGCTCTGTGATACAATAGCATTCTTTACTACTCGTAAGATTCAATAAAGAATATACATGTAAGAAATAGAAACGAACTACAACAATTACATATTTATAAGCTTTATAAGTACTGAATCAAAAATCCAGAAAAGTTGGTTTTCTCTCCATACAATACAGTGTGGTCACCGGTGACTTCAGACACCTGTACCCAGACAGCGTCTCCGACCGCAAGCTCGAGTATGGCCGAAGCGGACCCAGTCATGGCCAGGTAAGTAGTGGACCCCCCCTGTGACAGAAGAAATTTAAAAGTAGATTTCCAGAAAAAAATGTCTTTAACAGGTGTGAATAAAACCTTTCGATACAAATTTAGATATATATACATTAGAGCCAAGTTATAGATTTAACTGCATCATACAGGTGTTTCGTCCTTCTAGGACTCGTCAGTGACGCTCAGGGCCTAAATTGCATTGGTGAAACCTAAAAATGCGACTTAGGAAAATCTAATTTTGTCTAAAAAAAAAAAGATGTCCAAAACCGGATGAGAAGACACAATAACCTCAAAATTCAATAATTTTTCGAAATTTTCCAATAATTTTGACAGAGCTAAACGAAGACATTACCTTGAATGTGGGTCAAGTACAGAATCTGTCAACCCCTTCATGTTGAGGTTTGAGGGATCTCGATTCCGTGAGACAAGAAAACGGGTATACCTTTGTCTTATACACAAACTTTTCCAATATCATGGCCCTGGGTATCCTAGTTATACACCACTATCGAAAAAGCAGCTATTTACCTATATCCATACGTATCAATGTCGTGACCTTGATAAAAGGTCAAGGTCAAACATTAATATAAAACACTTCTTCACTTCAGCATGGCACGTGTTAGATATCCAAATCTTTGTGATTTGTATCTTCTATTCCCTGTGTTTAACTCGATGTTGCTTGACCCGGATAGTCGCTGAACCCAAGGTTCGCTTTGGACAGTAAACACTTCTAACTCGACCTAACACACTACAGATCTTTACCAATGTTTTTGTCCTTTTGAACAGAAGGGGTTGCCCTTCACCCAACCATCTTATTAACCAAGGATCACTGACATCTTGTGTATTCATAAAAAAAGTTTCTAACACAATAGTTCCGTTTAACTTTAGAAATGGTCAAGGTCATTGCTTCGACCAAAACAATGTACAGCTTAAATACATCGTCGTTCTTGACTTAAAAGTTATTGAAAAAATGTTCAAACATTTAAAATAAGCTGACCTTCATGACCTTAAAAAATCTTGTCCTTCATTTCGGCATCATTAATGATGAATATTATACCATGACCTTCAGCTATTTAGTCCTCAATACGAAGTTGTTTAATTAAGGATGGTGTAAGGAGACTACCTTTGCGAACGCCACTGGGTGTCCGTTTCTGTGGAGTTCGGTGTCGACGTGATGACCTACTCCACCGCCCACATAGGCTGTCCACGTGAAGAAATATATGCCTGGGACTGAGCAGGTGAAAGCCCCCGTATATTTATTGTAGCCGTTCCCGATGTTTGTGATGACTGTGTCAAATGGAAGCATTCTTCTCGCCAGGTGGCGGAGAGTGGTGGAGCTGTAGGCATAGAACGCTACTGGCGGGAAATGTGCTGGAATGGTCAAAATGTCTTTAATACACATATATCTGAAGTCAAGCATATCATCTACTAAACATCAGTGCATGGTAGGCCATTAAATTTCATCTCGAGTAAAGTCATTAAACTTTACTTCGAATAAGAGGATTAAATTTTATGTTGAGTACGGCCATTCGACTTCATTCCGAGTAAGGCCATTAAACCTTAATCCAAGTAAGGTTAATAAACTTCATTCCGTATAAGGATACTAAACTTGATTCGGAGTAAGGTTAATAAATTTCATTCCGAGTAAGGTTGATAAACTTGATTCGGAGTAAGGTTAATAGCGAGTGAGGTTAATAAACTTCATTCCGAGTAAGGTTAATAAATTTCATTCCGAGTGAGGTTAATAAATTTCATTCCGAGTGAGGTTAATAAATTTCATTCCGTATAAGGATACTAAACTTGATTCGGAGTCAGGTTAATAAATTTCATTCCGAGTGAGGTTAATAAATTACATTCCGAGTGAGGTTAATAAACTTCATTCCGAGTAAGGTTAATAAATTTCATTCCGAGTGAGGTTAATAAACTTGATTCGGAGTAAGGTTGATAAAATTCATTCCGAGTCAGGTTAATAAATTTCATTCCGAGTGAGGTTGATAAATTTCATTCCGAGTGAAGTTAATAAACTTCATTCGGAGTAAGGTTAATAAATTTCATTCGGTGTAAGGTCATTAAACTCTATTCCGAGTGAAGTTAATAAAATGTATCCCGAGTAAGGTTAATAAGCTTCATTCCGGGTAAGGTCACTAAATTTCGCTTCGAGTAGGTCAAACAAGCAGGTTAAATGTCTGTCTATTGAAAACATGATATTGTTGTGGTACGTACATAGCATTTTTGATTAAACGAGCGGCCCATCGGGGCAGCATACCTTATGGGATATTCAGTGATATTCATAAACGTATTTACACTTGACATTCAAAGTCCTGGTTAATGAACAAAAATCGTTTGAACGGATGCGACTCATATGACCTTGAATATGTGCCTAGAACTAACATTCTTGTTTGCAAACTTTTGTCGAGCTTCATGTGTCATCCCTGGAATTCATCAGCCAAACATCATGTCTCTGGACCCTTTGCTTCATCAAAGGAACAAATTTGACTCCTTGTGACCTTGAATATGGGCCAAGGTAATTTCTTTTACCGGACTTAGTCCAGTTTTATCCCAGAAATCTATACGTCAAATATCATGGCTTTATGCAGATTGGTTAATCAGTATAAGATGAATGTTTTAACTAAATTGACCCATGTAGCCTTGAATATGGTTTTGGGTCATTTATTTTCACAAACTTTGTCGGGCTTCATTAAAGAGAACCTTCCATCTAAATAGCATGTGTCTATGCTATCTCATTACATAGAAGAAGTCGTTTTGTGATTTGAACAAATTTGACCCCTGCAAACATGAATATAGTTCAAGATCCTTTCACTCGGTTTCATTAAAGGAATCGACAAACCAAATATGACCCTTGACCTCTCGGTTATTGAAAAGAAGTTGTTTAAAGGGAAAATTGACGCTGGATGGACTACAAACAGTCGTAAGGACGTGCGAGAAGAACAGAATTTTAGTGTTTAAAAGAAATGTACATTTTACATATACATCAGCTCGAGTTTGTCCTGTCCCTTACACAAGGCGTCAGATATTTTGATGGAAAGCCTCCACACGAGACTTTCGTTCGACAAAATAAGAGTTGTGTGGGAGCCAGAGGAAAGTCTGGCTAGTATAAGATTCTTATTTTTCCAACGATATCTAAGTACTGTACCATGCTGTGACAAAACAAAAGTTAGGACTTCATATGTATATAATTGCACGAATGTTTAACTTCACGGGGCTCATTTCGCGGTTGACCCAGTCGGTACCAGGTCGCCTTCTTAAATTTCGCAGTCACTAGAGTGATTCTACCGAGGGAGATTATATTCTACTGTATATTTATTGAGTATTAAATTTCGAGTACACTATAATGACCGCGAATAAATACGTACGAAATTTAATCCCTCGCAAATATTACTATACTATACAGTATGTTACCGTCTGATCTTGAAAATCTGTCCACGAGAGAGTAACTAGTGTTTCCAGAGCTCTTTTCCGTGGGCATAGCAATATTCCGAACAATACTTTCTAGTTGGTTCTTCAACGAAGAAATCTCTTTAGACTGTCCAAAAGACAACTGCTTCAATTTGCGTATCCGTCTTTCATATAAGTCCTCGGTTTCTTGGATACGAGACAGAAGTTCTGTCTCCCGACTTCGAGCTTCCAAATAATCTTTTTCACGTACATTTTCCAAATTTTCCAGTCTCCGGGAAAGGTCAGATATAGTTTCAGATGTATCCGATTTTCCCTGGAAAACTCCGTCTGAACTGGAAATCACAAAAAGAGATAGAAAAGCAAAGAAAATCATAACTGTCCACAGACTGGTTCGACTCGTATACTTATACAACTGTACATAGATAGTGTTACTATCTCAGCATGTACTGTATTAAGTGTGCGACCCTTATCTTGTACGGAAACACAGGAGCAAGACGCATTATTCCGTGATCACACATGTCATAATTCAATGTTCTGATTACAAGCTAGTGTAAGTCTAGACAGCGGACTGGTCTATAGGTGGGGAAGGCTAGTTGGTCAAAAGGTAAGGAAAGCTCGTTGTTCCAAATTTCAGGACTGCTGGTCGGTCTAAAGGTCTGGACGGCTCGTTGTTCCAAATTTCAGGACTGCTGGTCGGTCTAAAGGTCTGGACGGCTCGTTGTTCCAAATTTCAGGACTGCTGGTCGGTCTAAAGGTCTGGACGGCTATTGGTCAAAATGTCTGAGCAGCTGATTGGATCGAAGGTTCAGGATATGGTCCTGGCAAAGTATGATTATTTTTCGGGGTTGTCCGAAAACGAGTTTTAAACTTCTTTAATTCAACTGGTGCCAGTGAGCTCAAAATTGAAAGGGGTGTGAAAAGCGACAGAGTGTTGTTACTTTTCGGCATCCTCGAAAATACATGTATCTTGAACAACTTTTTCAAGTTCCATCAATGAGATTCAGCTCGAACTTGCTTGTAATATTTCAGAGTTTGCCCCTATGACCGTCTTTCCAATTCCACTGGTGCAACTGAGCTAAAAACTGATATGAATATTGAGGTAAAGAAGCCAAAAAAGTTTATTTTTCAGCCGAAAAGTCGAAACTTCTAATTTCTGAAGTTCTATCGGTGGGATTCGGATCAAACTTGCCTAACGCCACCATGAGATGGTCCTGACCGAGCGTGCGTACTTTTCGGTCTGAAATTCAATATGACCGCTATCTCGAAAAAACATTTCTTCCACAGTTCCAGGTGCCATTGAGCTGGAATTTTGGGGAATGTTGAGAAATTGAATTGAACAGTCTGGTAAAATATTCAGAATTGTTTGAATCTTTTGATAATTATTCATAATACTTTTCCGGCTATTATTAATCATTAATAGGTCTTTACAGTCAGATGTTTGGTCAGCAATCACAAATGATTTTTTTGTGCAAATTTAAGAAGTTTCAAATAAAAGTTACACAATACTCTTGTTCATATTTGTAAATATGACTTAAGTCAATATGATTGACTTTAAGTTACCATTGTTTCATTGTTACGTCATCTTTTTTTGACGTCATATGCTTTAAGAGTAATAATGAATTAAGGTATATAGAGTGAAAATAATTTAGATATTGAATCGGTCTAATAACGTTCTACTTTTATGAATGTTTGCAAAAGTTATGCAATAAACAAAATCTTTTGTTCGTTTCCATTTCACGAGCTCTATTACACTTGTGGAACTTTTTCTTTTTACCTCCATGGAGTCTCTGTAAAAGTAAACAAAACAAACCTCGCTCCTACAGAAATAGGAACCGAATTCTCTATAACAGCCCGAAGCCTGTATATTTTGATATGTCTATCTCCTGTTGGTAGGTCACGTGTCTAAGGGGACACACTGGTCGGGTAGCCAAGGTACTGGCCGCAGGTTAGTGGTTTTTCCTCCAAACCTTTGCCTGTTCGTATGATGACCTTGGCTTTTATTTGGACATGAAGGACGAAAACTAATGTCTATCTATCGTCAGTATCATTTCACATGTCAATATTGTGTCGGTACGCTTTCAATAGCCTTTATATATTTTAATATGTCCAGTTATTGTTGGTATACTTTCACACCATCAAATGTTGGTATATCTTCTGAAAATTTAGTACAAGTGGTAAAGATAGATACAACAAGCGTTATGTACAATGTGACTCACTTTTAATGAACCAGACAAAGATACAGATATTTACAATGCTATGAATAAATGATATGACATTGTGAGACATATTTACAATCCTATGAACAAAAGCTGTAATGTATTAATGAACATTATACCTTAAAATGACAATTTTACTGATAAAATCTTATCAAAAATTCTTGTTTGAATTTCTTTATCCTTTAATAGATTTCAAATCGTACTATCAAATCAAAGCAACTTAGTAGCATTGACAGGGAAAATGATTTTGGAAACCATTTTCAAAGAAAAAAGATTTGGTGAAACAATACATGAACGACAGGAATGGCTAGATAGAGTAGTAATATTGAAGTTATGGAAGATACAGAAATTGTGTTTAGCTTTCCCATTAAATGTGCCATCACACACTAAAGAAAAAACAAGTCCATACAACCCTTTCCCTGACAACGAAGCATTCAGTCCTGGATTGTAAGTTTCCTACATCACTTAAAATGAAAATGTCCAGCAAATGGATTGAAGCATGATTTTTCAATGAATATTATGATCAGAATTCTATCTTTAGTGAACACTTATATAAAATATTTACAAATTTTGCAGATTTCAATTCTCATCACAAAAACAAGAGGAACATGCAAAAGTAATCATACTAGCACTGACTTCCATCATCAACCAAAGAACTTTATCTACACAGAGATATGATTCTTTTTCACACATAATTCCTTCTAATACAGACGTAGCTATCACATATATCACTACAAACCATCTACCCATAAGATGATTTTATGTTTTGCTGAGTGATGGTGTCAAACACTGTATCCAAAGGGATCAAAACATTTCTGGGCGACTGTCTTTGTCTTCACAAATTATTCAGTGCTTCTCAGGGTACTATACACAGGAATTAAATTCAGATCTTGAGAATTAAATTTTATTTACTCACAACATGTTTTATAGGTGCAGTGAAATATATACAATGATGTATACATACACACTAATAAGTCCATAAATTACTGAAGTTTGACGGTGAAGAACACAGAAATCCTTACTGCTGTCAATGTTATGAAGCAATGATTAAATTCACCTCTAGCAAAATTTCTTTCCTACTCAAAATTTTTATTTCTGCTCTAAACCTAGATTTGTTTCTATTTGTGTAAAAGAGTTTTGTTGTAATTATCGTTCTTGCAGTCTTCACAAATAAGTTTCCACATGAATTCTCCACCCCAGGGGGAGCCTCACATGAAGAGATCCTCTCTGTCAGAGCTTCCCAGCTCTCCTTCTTCCATGGAGGCAAAGTTGAGGAAATGGGAGGGACGATGTACTTCATGGTAAAACTCCTTAGGATTGGACAGCTGTAGTTCATACTTCATGTTGGGGTCATGACGCACACCTAAGAATGAAACACAAGCGTTAAAGAGAAGTTGATGACACAAATATAAATCAGTACATATACACTACATCAAACAGTGTGGATAAATAATAAATCTATTGAAGATTTGATGCTGTGACGGCAACTCCTTGTCAAAAGAAACAAGAAATTTTCTGATATATACGTCCCCATCCAATCCCATACATATCATATCGATGAAATTTGCTTTGATGTCTGTCAAATGTGACCTCTCATCATTAACCTCGACCAATGACTTGATGCAATACTATGTGGTAAATATGAACAAAATTTGCTGAGAGATTCTCAAGATATAACAATGATCCTGATTTGGACATTACACATAAAATGTTCAGGTGCATTAAAGTAGCAACTCCATAAATATAATCTGAGCCAATTATTATCTTACCCATGAAGTTGTAGTTCCATGAGCTTTGTGATGGAGTCATAAAGAATCCCAGGAATCTATCAGACAACAGCATCTGTACTCGTTCGTAATGCGAGGGGAGATAACCCTTGGGATTATTGCCTGTGTCAGTGTTCTGACGGCCCCATTCACATCCTGTGGGTGTCAGTTTATAGGCCGTCAGGGAGCAGGAGCCGGGCGTGAAGCTGCATGTGATGATGACAGTCTTTTCTCCGTCCCAGGCGGGGTTGTCTGCCATCACCTTGGCGTGTGTGGTGATGTCCTGTGGCGACAGCTGTGGCAGCTCGTTAGGCTGGGTGTGGATCCAACCCAAGGGTTCCATTTCCTGCAACACAACAGGTGATACTTTTTTAAAAGGTATTAAAGAAAATGTCCTTAAGATTTTTTAGGTATGTATATAAATAGAGGTATGTAAAACGTAATTTGTCTTAAGAGAGCAAGAGTGTTGAGACCAAAACTTTGCACAATCACAATGCAAACATTTGATAAAAAACATTAAAAACCCTTTTAATCAAACTTTTGGTAAAACTACTGGAATTCAACAAAACACAAAAGCTTTGTAGTCAATATCACTTTTACACCCAATGATAGTGACTTCATTGATGTATGGTCAAATAAGGCCACAGCAGCTATTAGTAATGACTTGCCTTGAGGTATTCCGACTCTGGTAGGATGTTAGGCAGATGGACGGTCTGGTGGGTTCCCCACTGCGGGGGAAGTACAATACATCGTATTTCCTTCACTTGAGGGTTGTCAGGGGGACTAACTCCATACAAGTAGCCAGCAATCTAAAATAATTCATTTTCAACTAGGTTAATTATAGTTCTGGTTTCTGTACATTTATTTTTATGGGAAGATCTTGCGTATGTGCTGAAAATAACAATTACAGCTCTTTTTAAATATAAGGCCAATGGCTATTCCAGTATAACATCTCTATCTGCTCTAGAACTCAAGGTTTTGTTTAGAGTACCACCCAACAGAATTTAACTGATAATTTGCATAGAATTAATAGGCAGGAAACTGAACACAGACAGAAGTAATAAATGCTGGAGTCTTTAGGGTGGAATGTTTTTCATGGTGAATGAACTCATATTAATTATGTCCACAAAACAAGATACGTTGTAGAAGACATCTCACAAGTACTTCAGAAGCATCCTGTGAAGTCTTTGTGAAGATTTTTATTTTTTGTAATTTTTGGAAAGTTGGAAATATTTAGAATATGACATATGATGCTGAAAAGGAGGAGACAACAACTGATGTTGTCTAACTTTTCTCATCTGGCCTCAACAGCACCACTTTTAAACAAGATAGACAAATTTGTCTTTCAATTTATCTGAATTTGTGAAGGGATTACCTGAGCTCTGAGATCAGAAATAATGATGAATTTCTTCAACACGTTCTTTGGTAGGATGTATGTGTAACCAGTTTCTTTAATGTCATCAGATGAAACGTAGATGTGGTTTGTACGTAGATGTAAGTTGGTTGCAGAAATGGCACGAACTCGCCACTCTGTTTTGGAGGCAAATGTAGACGTCTCATAGTTACTGGTTGTTGATGTGATGATTTCGTCTCCGTGCTTGTTGACAGTTCGCGTGGTCGTTGCAGTGAGCTGTGATTGTTCCTTGGTCTGTTTCTCAATTTCAGCAATTTGTTGACGCTGGGCTGATGGAGCAGAGATCTCCATACCAAGAATGATGTCACGGATTTCTGACTGTGTAAGTGAGGCAACATTTACACTGAAAAAATGAAAATAAAATCAATTATTAAAACTATTACTGGTAAACCATATATTTTCATGGGACTTACTTTTTGTGGTTTTATGAACATTTACTGTTGGAGGATACTTTATTTATTAAATAAAGCTCAATAAATACTACTTTTATCAGTTGGAGTAAGGTTTAATGGATTAACAGTGCCCACTAAATCAATGAAAATAAATCCCCATGAAAATTAATGATAGAACAAAAATAAGATGATAAAAACAAAAAGAAAACTTAACTTCCCTTACCATAGGTTATACTACACAGTAAGAGAACATTGGATTGTGTGTTAAGACTAAATAATATTCTTTTTCTAGAATTCAACATTAAATTCTCCCTCTTCATTATGAGGTATTTCATAAGATACCAAATGCAAGACACCTACTTGTTTTTCTTGCCATAGTCGGCCAGGATGAGTTCCTTAAGCTGCATTTCAATCTTCATCCATTCCTCATCTGACAGAGTCGGCCAGATGTGATGTTGTTCTGTGATCGTTGTCTTGTCAGGCTTCAGCACAATCTTTGTCCGGTCATTATTGACATGCAATGCCCGCAGGATCAAGATCAGACGAGAGAATGCCTGGAACCAAAATAACAAAGTTTGTATATTTGATGTCGATGAAACTAGGGCCCTACTTTTATAATTATCACCTGGTAGGTTCAATAACAAAAAGAACATTCATCACTGTTCAAATTGCAGGATTTTATTCTATAATAGTGAAAATTGTTCCTCTGTTTTCTATATGTTCTTTAACCATGACAGACAATAAAAACATAATGGAAATTAAAACTCCCAATAGAGTAGGAGAAAGCCAATGGCCTAGCTGTCTTCAGTCGTCTATTAGACCATGAAGGAATCAAAGATGGATACCAAACAGTATTCAATAGAACTCAATTAAGGAAGGTAAATACAAATGACATAGAGGATTGCGCATCAACATCTGGATTCTGTGGTTTTATTTTCATTTACCTGTTTTGGCTAGCTAGGCTAGCCGTCAACAGAAAGGTAAAAATATTTGTATAGCTAAGGTTAGAATTACCGCTCAGCCATGACGTAATTAATTACAATTGTCTATATAACGTGGTATTGACAATATAATGGCAACATTATAGGTATGTTGCATCAACTATGTAATGGAAATTAGTTTCACTATAACATAAATATAACCATCAATGACACTGAAATTTGATTAAAGCATCTATTTCAAACCAAGGCTCTTTGTTCAAAATGAAAGAGCATAGTTGTTGTCTTCAATTTTAATGAGTATAATACCTATTTTACATAGTGATACAGTGAAAATAAATCAGACTCAAACTGTTTGTAGTAGCTTGTCAATGTTAGTTAACATACCGTGTAGGATGATATGGTCTTCAGCCAGTCATCGTACAGGTTGAACAATACCATCTGTGGTTCTGTAGCCTTCAGGATCAGGTCACCAAACTTCTCCACCTACAACACACACCCTTCCATATTTACCTAGTACATATCTCATACATGTCAACACAAACCAGGTATCACATACAGTAAATTAATGAGCCATTAGAATACAATAAATTTTGAGAAATAGGTAAATTTCATACAATTTTATTTTTCTGGATTTGCCATATATCAAAGGAAGTTAAATGTAAGAGGTGCAATTATTTAATTAGTTCATGATTATCAAAAGTTCCATAGCATGAAAAGTCAATATGGTCCACAAACCTTGAGGCAGGCCTGGAAGGGAAGTTGGAGTTCACTGCCCTTAATAACAATGTTTGGGAAGTCAAGGAGATGCACCTCAAGGGGGTCAAGCATGCCTTTCCTTGTGACAATGATCTGTTTAGGCTGTTCTTCCACAGGAAGGGAACGAATCAAGGCAGCCACTTCCTCAGCAGTCTTCCATTTGGCCAACTGTTCAGTCAATAACACATGTATATGATTGTGTACATGGGAGATTTTCCTGGATTATTCATGCAAGCAAAGCTAGATCATTTGTCGAAGAGATCAAAACGCAATTAAATTCTTTTCTTTTCTATTATCAGTTTCTGCCAGAAAATAATCCATATGAAAATTGTTTCAGTTACTCCTTAAATCAGGAAACATTTTCCTCTTGCTCTTATCCAACTTCTTAACAAGAATCTTTACTGCTTATTTTTTGGATAAAAATGGAGCAGTAATGTTTGTGTCATTCTAAATATAGCTTAACTTCGGTTTCAAATAGGCAAGAAAAGGTCTGATTCAAGCAGAGAATTTTTCCAGGAAATGATCTTTTTCAAATGATTTTTTTTTGCTAGATTACTTTCAAACAGACTGACCCCAATTTTGAAACTTTCAAAGAAAGAAATTCAGACACTACAAAATACCAGTGTCTTGAGACAGGAAAAAGGAATTTGAAATGCCTTGAGATAGGACAAAGAAATTTCCAGTGGCCTATGGTAGAACAGAGAAATTTCCAATGGCCTCAGATTAAACAAAGAAATTTCCAGTGCCTGTGATAAATTACATAAGGAAATAATAAGCAATGCCATACCTGTCCAAGACGTTTCTGTCCTGCCCACACAGAGGTGTGAATGATCTTGAGGAAAAGTTGACCAGTACGAGGATTGAAGATGAAGATTGCACCATTGATTGGCTTGGTTGTAAGGTTTCCTTCAAATGTCTGAAATATTACACAAACATCTCATTAAAAAATTCATATAATGATGCTTAAATCTGGATGATTATTAAGAAAGTTTCCCCAAACCTTATATTAGTATGAAATACATAAAAAAGCTTTATTCAGTAGCTATACAGACAAGATGACCTTTGATGGATGGTGACTTTTGTCTTCTTTGTGCATTGCAACCTTTAGTGACCTCTGACCTACCTTGTGAATGGTGACCCTGTAGACATTGGTGTCATCCACAAACCAAATGATCTGGTTAGAGAAAAGCTCTCCATAGTTCTGTGAGGACAGGTAGGGCTCAGTGGGCTCGGATGAGTAGAGTTGCAGCCCCTTCCTGATGCGCTCCCGAAGTACATACAGCGCAGGGTTTGCCTTCATTATCTTTGCCATGGCTGACTGGATAAGGGGCTTACAGCCAGGGAACCAATTACCATATGCACTGTAAAGTAAACAGTCAATACATAAAAGATTCCAATTTTAAATTTCAAGATTATAAACACCATTTCAGTAAATACACAGCCTCTGAACATTTGTTAAAAAAGGAATAAGTACACCTATCATTTTGTATTGAATATATAACTCAATATGTTCTTAAGACATGAACCACTTTGTTCTCATGCATAAAGGTATATGTTGAGAGGTTTTCAAGATATGACATAAATTTAATCAGGACTGGCTCTGATATCATTAGCTTACTCCAAACTACATTAACCAGGGCAATACCTGTGTAGATTGTAGGCTAAGTCAATGCCAATCAGAAGACCTGTCGGCGACGGATAGATACTCATGTTGTCTGTGGTGTAGTCAAGGAACTTAGCGCGGGCGTAGCGCTCTATATCGTGGGAGTCGTAGTCACCCCAACGGAGCTGTATGTCCAGCCAATACTTCTGGGTAGTTGTGTTATCCATCACATCTCTACAACAGAAAGAGTAACATCACAATTTATAAAAGTTTTTATGTTGTCGGGAAAGATTTGTAACAAAATAATCTGTTTAATTGACAGATTGTACAAATTTAATCTCAAATAGTTCACAGGTCATAACTGGATGCCCAACATGTGGGTTGTCTCCAAGTATTGTGGTCTCCTCCGATATGGAACAAAGCTTTGATCTTGACAGAATTACTTTCTGTTTATACATATGTATTGTATTTCACACGCTGGTTCCAGAGAGGGGTTAAAGAGGCTATATACACCACTGCCACCAGACCCACACAAAATGAGGACAGTGGATGTTACCACCTACTGCCAGCTTGATTCAATTACATAACTTTGGGCTCCCGAGTCATGTAGCTAAATCACATCCAGATTTTGCAATAAGCCCCTCGCTGTGGCCAGTGAGGGCTAAAGATGGTGACCAGGTGGTCATCCAAAGCTACCTGTACGTTGTGTTTTCTGTTCTGTTGAGCGACATGTATAGAATCTGTTTAGTATTTGTTTCCAAATTTTTATAAAAGTAAGAAAGTTTTATCTGTAAGCATTTTAACCATTCAAAGAAATCACAGATAAAATCTGTATTACTCATCTAGTGCAGTGGATTATTATACTCGAGAAAAAGATTCTTTTCTGTTTTATCATACTACATGCCAATTGATAGGTTTCTAAACTCAACAGGGAAGTGATGAGAACATACTTGGAATCAGCCAGGAGTGATGGTTTGGACATGTTCCACTTGTATGCAGCAAACAGAAGAATGTCAGCACACGAACTGTTCATCTTGTAGGACTTTCGAGGATGTATGGTTTCTTTTTGTACCGTCTCTATCTCCAGGGCGTCCAGTTCCTGGTCAAACACCTGTGGACAGAGAGTACACTCAAACATTTACACACAGGTCTAGATGCCAAAAAATGGCAAGATGATAAAGATAGGATAACACTATTATTCCAATAAATCAAGGTTGACATTTCATTGACAAGGGAGAATATTGTAAACAACTTAGGGGTAATCTTATGTTAGCACAAATAGCCTGAAAGCATTGTGCTAAAACATGATTTCTTTATATAACTCTTTTAATAAGAGACAAAAAGAGATCAACACGAATGAAATACACTACAGATCTGTTTTTATTTCTCTATTTTATTTTCTGGTCTGTATTAATATTTGATGGCCATTTCCCATTTATACCTAAGAAGTTACATTTTAATTGTGAATGAATCATTTGGTCTGTGACAGCTACAAAGAGGAAATAAATGTGACACATTCATTCTGGGATAACAAATGAGACAATATACCTGACAAAGATCCATAACTACGCTCTCATGGATCTTCTGCCATAAATGAGCACGGAAGATCTGGATCAGTGAGATCTTCAGGGTTGGGATCTTTCCGTGCATGAAGATACCTGTCAAGTCAAGCTGTACCTGGAAACCTACGTATACCTGTGGGAGGCAAAAGGGAGGTTCAGAACAAGAATCACAAATATCTATTACTATTACAGGGAAGCTAAAGATAGTTTGATATTGTTTTTCTTGCTTGCATCCAAACAAATATTGTTGTATAACTGACTTTGACTGAATTGACTAAATAAATTTGATTCAAGAGAGCTAATAAAAACTTTTCTGTTTTGATTATATCAATGGCTAGCGCCTTGTGAAAGCATAAATACTGTATGATAAACAGGTTTAAACTGTGATTACAGACTTTATACTTACATTGGCCCTGTTGATAGTAGGGGACCACCACAGTGTGAAGCGACGGTTCGGGATCTGGTTAAGACCAGATCGCTGGGCATTTGTCAATTTCTTATACTTCATGGACTCTTCAAACCCACTGGCCTTTTCCCTGTCATGTGTAAATGCACCAAATCAAAAAACTTCTCCACGACTTTCTTCAGAGATAAATATATAACTGCACTCAACTAAATGAAATAAATTCTTCGAAAATGAATCATACTTTTTATCAGCTGCATTTTGACACCAGAATGGACTTTTTCAAAATAGGTATTACCTATGATTTATTTTTGAATGATCAAGGTCAAAAGCATTTCAAACTGTGTTTCTTCTGCTTCTTTTGAAGTGTTTTAATAGTTTGTCCCAATCATGTTCACTATAAAATACATTTAATATTACAAAATTCATTCAACTGCTAAATTCAGCTTACCAGAAGAGACCTTCCCAGGTTGGGAAGTAAGTTCCTTTGAACAGGGTGTGTTCCAGAATTCCCTCGACCCCACCTAGAGCCTGGATCATGTCTGTACGGTAATTATTCAGGTTCCACAACTTACCGTCGTGTCGCTGGTGTGTCCACCAGAATGGATTCTGTTTCAATACCTGTCAGAGTGAAAAACGTATGCATGTTAAATATGTGACACTATTTAGTACTGCACACATCCTTTTTGATGCATTTTTAATGTTAGTACAACAGATTAATTGTCAGTATGACCGTCTCAGCATGATATCAGTTGCTTTCATTTAATCCAGCATAAACATACAAATAAAATCTTTACACACTACTTGCCATACCAAATCAGAAAACTGTGTTTCTTTTTTTGTCATCTTTTTTTTTTTTTAAGATTTACTCTTCTCATTATGCAGTAAACATATACCTAGATGCATTGCCAAATATTTAACCAGTGCGGTAATTGTTAAACAAAAGGCAATGGCTTTATAGTACAATCGTTTTCAATGTCTCTTAGCTTATAAAATCAAAGTTTTCGAATGTTTAAAATTTTGTTAGTCTTGTCAATTTATGTGGTACCTGGAAAGCTTTGAACTCTGTCCGGACACGCCAGCCCTTGTCGTAAGCGAGAGTATGACGGTCCTTCTGGAATAGGGTGTTAATCCTAGGAATTCCACGATCCCAGCTGTCTTCCAAATCCTCCAGTGTCAAACGCCTATCAGATACAGATTTTATGTCAGTTTATCATACAGCTGTTTCACCACAGGATGGCTGATGGTAAGGACTCAATGTTTATAAAATTTCTCAATTAGAGCTCTGATTTGTTTATAACTATATCTTGACATCAGTTACACCTATCTAGTTCATACAAGGTTTAAGAAACTATATCTTCATATCAATTACGATAATCTGGTTCACACAAGGTCTTGTTTCTGCATTAATTGGACTTAAAATCTTACATACATGTATTTAAGCTTTACGCCAAAATTTTTCATCCACAATTTTTGCCCTTTTATACTGACCTGTTTTGTGCGTTGGCTTCCTGTCGTTTCAGGGTGTACTCAGCCCACACTCGCTGTGAGTCGATGAACTCGCTTTCCCATGGCATCACATATCTACAAAGTTATCCTTATCATTATTGTCTTTATATTGTGGATATCAAAAGAAAAGCTAATTACTTCCAAAACTATATCGCATTAATTGTATAAATACCTTCATATCAATTAACAAGAGACACTGGCTACTAAGATTCATTGATTTCTCTTGTTAATATTTAGTAAGACACATGAATAATCTAAGCAGCTGTGCTGGGCGATTCACTCTGAGAGAACAAATTCTCTTCTTACAGAATGAAAATTGATTACATTAACCTCAACCTAAAAGATTCACAAAACATTCCAGAGTATGTTATTTAGTGACCTGATCACCATCTGTAACAATGAGCTGATTTAGGCATGACGTCATTCTTGAAATTAAAACAACCATTTTAAATCACCACAGACATATGTGGAGATGTGTTTTTCTTGATCATTTTCAAAAATTGACAACAACAATTTTCTTTTTGTAATCTACAATTAATACATCTAGAGACAGCAGTAAAATAGTGATTATTAATTTTCATTTTTGTTTTTGTTTACCTGTATAAATTTGGAATGAGCTGATCCTCATCGTGGCTCATACCAGATCGGAAATGAGTGATTCCAACATCCGTCTGCTTTGACCATCGGAGATCTGATTGTGGGATAAGTACATGCCCCATTGACAACATTCCAAGTCCACCTAACTCCTTAGGTGTGTAAAACACAACTGGAGGGAAACGACTGGGCATTTTAGAATTGAGACCAATCTTAATACGTGTCTGGATTTTGTTTTCACACTTGACAAGAAGGTCTAACAGTTCTTGTGTGTTGACGACCGCCTCACGGAAATATGTCATTAAACCAATAAGAGCCGTGTTCCATTTGTTAACAATTTTTGTGAATGTCGTAGACCCAGATGCCATCAGGATCTGACGTACACGGTTGTGGAACCGTGACATTGACTCATCATCCACTCGCAGAAAACACTGAGCTGTTCTTTCCTTTGTCACCTGAAAATACATTAAAGAAATTAGGACATGTCTCCAAAATATTATCAAATCATGAAAATATTTATTTCATCTTTAATTTACTCTTTTGATAAATTGTATTCATCACAAATTAGAATTAATCTTTTCTTGCTTTGTACATGTCAAACAACTCGAGCTTTGCAAGTCTATGCCATTTCTAACACAACTAGAACTTTGTATGAACTAATTTCAGAATTTTCAATATATCAGCTTTTGTTGTGTCATTTACAAAGATATTGTAGCCAATACTTTCGATGCATAACAATGTAATATTATAAAACTATTTTAAGTTTTTTCTCTAAAACATTTAAATCAATCAAGTTTCAAAGCATCTGGCATATATTAACAATATCATACGGACCTCGTTCTGGAGATTCCAGACGCCATCTCTGTGTGTGAATTCCTCATGTGTGGTGCGACACTTGGGCAAGATACGACATTCAAACCCAGACATATTGAACAGGAGATTGGGATTGTCTTTGCTGTAGACGGACACAAAACTGTTGTCCCACAGAATGGTGGTCACTGACCGCGGCAAACGATTCTTGATATCCCAGAAGACAGCACGTCCCCTGTGTAACAGAATAACATTACAATGGCACCTTTTCTCTAAATGATCTATGTGGGATGAAGTTGTGGGCCTTATATTTAAGAGCTGAAAAAGGACATCCCTTTTTAACTTCTTCAATACATGGCTCACAACTTATCAATCAGTCCTCCTATCAAGCAATGATAACATTTACCATTTAATCAAAATCCTACCAGGCACAACCTTGTAGTAAGTTATAATCTGTATCAACCGCAGGAATTTCTCCGTCTTGCTTTACCTACTAATCTATGTACAAAAAATAAGTTTATGTGTCATCAACCTAATCTTTTTTTCATACAAATGGATCAAATATACAACGTATCAAACAATAGGTAATTTTGCTTCAGCTGTGCTTATTTCCAAGCTGGAAGCTTGCATGTAATATTTAACTAAAGCACTTTGCACATCCTTACAAAGTGCTGCCTTGCAATTGGCAAAACCATGCAGGTCAGAATCAAGTTTGTTTAATCAAAGGTTGCCATTTATAAAACTGCACAGACTTACAAGTTCACATCGTGTTTCATTAGCCTCATTCTAGAATCTCGAGGCCAACATTTTTTGTTGTTGTAGCCCACTATGTTTTCATTGTTGGGGTCAGGATGCTCTGTAAGGTATCGTTGGATAAGATCTCTGGCTTCTTCTGCAGAAAATCTACAACAAGAAAAGTTTCAAATTTAGGCAGATTAATTCCGGGGAACTTTCAGTTTCCATTTTCATTTTTTTCTTTCTGAGTTGATGTTTCTGCTAATAATGCTTTTTAAGAACTTGTGTATTCAGTTTGCACCATCTGAAATACAGTTTACCATTTGGTCTTACAAAATGTTTGTTCAAACACAAATTTGTCAGAAGCATTAGATTCAATCCACCATGGCGAGAAACTCACCTGAAGAATATATGTATGCGGTCAATGTATCGCGAGTACAAACGTATGGGATGGGCCGCTTCTGTAGTCACATCCTAAAACACAAACAAGACGTAATTTGTTACACAATGTATGAATTACAAAAGCAAACAAAATCCTGGAAGAAAGAAAAGTAAATCATGAAGAGAGATATATGAAACTTGTACTTATCTATTTCTTTGGTAACATGAAACATTGGATCTCTCTTGAATCTGCCATTTCATTTAAGTTTAATACATAGGCAATATACTGTTTTGTGGATGACTATAGTTCAATAAATCTAGGTTTAGATTTCCTTGTTTGTGGACATTTGCCCATGAAATGAATGAAAATCCCCCCTCCCTCCTCCCCTGAAAATGATTTTTGAGTATATAAACATGTAAATGGTAAACACTGTCATATTTATAATAATATGCAGAATCAACTGAATAAAACATCTTCAAGATGAGCAAGGTTCTTACCTGGAAAGTAAGGAAGTCATTAGGTAGCTGAGGTGGACCTGCCATCTCACTAGCACGATGCAGACCCAATACCAAAAGATCTAGCACCAGGCCGTAATACTGCACGATGAAGGAAGCAAACTGGAGTCCACGGATGATTCCATAGGCATTGGTGTGGTTCATGTCCTGAAAAATAACCAAATAAGATAATTATAACCAAACCCTACAGATGGGTACTAGAGCATGACATCCAGTGTAAGCGATCAGCATAAGAAAGTGAAACAAACAATTTAAAAGTGTATAAATTTACAAACTGCTCATTTGTGTTTTAAACAATGAAAAAGTAATTACTTCAGTCTTCGTTTCTGAATCACAGCACCATGTCAATGGTTTAAAACGACCTTTCTGATAAATTTCAAAGGCAACATGTCTGAACTTTACATCCAATGTGAAAAATTTCACTGCCAGGTAACAATGCAGGACCAAGAAAATTCAGACATAGGCATTACCTTATAGTTAATAACGACGTTATTTTTCGCTGTCATGTAATCGGCGATGTTGTGATCGACAATGAGACGCAGCAATCTGTTGAGAAGTGTTAAATCTATTTTCTCATACATTTTCTCATAGTGGGACTCCATCATAACATTACACTCCCCTTCACTTGTGTCCCAAACATCCTGTAAATTGTTGATACCTGGAGAGGAGAGATTAAACACCTCAGTATACATGTAAATACATTTTCTGTCACCTTGCAAATTTCAACTTCAGAGACAATTATGTCCGATCCAGAATGATTAACTTCCATATCTACAAGTGAATTCTACAAACAATAAATTTAGACACTTACGCCTGGTCTTATTTATAATTTAAAAAAAAAAGAGGATTTTTATTGCCAATTTGCTCCCATTCTTTGATGGAAAGTAATTTAACCTGTACATTCCTACCAAATGTCAGCAATTTTTGTCTACTGAGCATCAACATTAACCAAAAGAAATTTGAAGTAAGTCAAAATATTTAAATTCTCACAAGCTGTTTCCATACCACAATCAGAAAAGGAAGGAAAATCAATGAAAAATTCCTGTAACTGACAAATGGACCTAAACCTGACTTTAACCAAAGTGTCATAGATTGAAGGGGGAATCGAACATCTGGTTATTTCATTGCAGGGGGCGAACTAAAATCAAAATGGCTATTCTGTTAACAATTTATTCTTGATAGAAAAATTTCATTTCCTATCCATGAATCAACAGGTATGATGATATATTTTCCCCTTGCCATCAAAACAAATATCTTGGTGAAAGAGAAAGACTCCATAACCTGACTTCTTGTTGGTCACAAATGAATCTGTCATACTGCTATTAACAGCATAATTCAGCATGACATACTAGTGGATAAAAAAAAAAGAAGAAAAAAGTAACAATAAAGATCTCACATGACAGAAATACAAAGTGCAGGAAACATTGCTTGTCTGTCTCCAACCCGAAATATCACTGTCAAAGCACCGAAAAAAAAATGTTGAATTACTGTATTTCAAAGACTTTTATGTAGAACAGAAATCCTACTTGTCAGTCAATATCTCAGGGTTGAAATCCTGATATAATTTCATCTATGCACAATATTTACCTTGACACCACTTGTAGGTGAGGAGAGGAGGTGGTTCAGAGTCTGCAGGTTTGATCCAGGGTGGAAACAGGCGACGTTTGTCAGCCTCATACCACAGGTACTGGTCTAGGTAGGCATCTGTGATCTTCTCCAGAGGTTCAACATCATACACTGGGATCAGATGGCTGTACAAGTCCATAAACTCAATACCCACCTCCTTAAAGGCTCGCTGTGTGAGCAAGTGACGTTTGATACGAGACAAAGCTTCGTGGGGATTATCATATGCCTGTTCTATGAGTCCAAGTTCTTCTCTCTGTGACTGGTTTAGACGACTTTTCACACTGCAATATAGAGAAAAAAAAAACAAAATGAAAACTGAATGAGAAACAGACATTACAGCCTTGTTCAAGACACTTGGGTTGTTTTCCCCTAAGCAGTTGAAACAGTAAGACTGGCTTAACCTGTAAGAACAAGGCCAAACCCTACAGATTGGGACAGAGGCTAGACTGAAATATTCAGCAAGTGGCATATGCGGCCAGTTGTGCTTGTCAGAAACTATCTGACTGAATACCGCTAAAATGAACCTCGTTTTATCATTGATCCATTGTCTGATATTTTACAAGAAATTGCATGACTGAACATTTGTATTGCTACCTATAAAGTCAGCCTATCTCTTAATGGTGCCATTGTTCATCATTTCAATCAGGTAAGACATAAGTGGCTATGTTGAATTTTCTAAAACGTTGAAACCTCTTACCTGTATGCTTCCTTTAACCTCTCTAAGGCCAGAATGAGAAGCTTAGTGTCGTGTTTGTAAGAGAGAGGTGGGAATGGGATGGGTGAGAATCTTCGACTCTCAAGCCAGTGGACGGTAGTGGTGTAGATGGCTACAGCTTCCTCAGCTGTGATGTAAGGACCATCCTTCAGATAGTTGTGTTGTCTCTCCTGCTCTGCCTTCAGGTACAGACGTGTCAGGCGACCAAGATTCTTCTTGCAAACAGTCTTGTCCACCTAGGAAGGAAATAAAGATTGGTCATTAAATTACAATTACTGGTTACAGTAAACTTTCACAAAATAATGCTTAAAATTCTAAGCTTTCGCAATTCTTCTTTATTGAAATAAGTATTGAATACATTATTTCCATGTTAAATGGATAAAACACGTTAAATGTGACCTATATTTCCACAGGTCATAATGCTATATACTCACAGTGGCTCCCCTCCTGATTCGTTCCCTGTTGTAATGGGCTGTGTTTGTCCACCAATCTGCTTTGGCCTTCACATATCGCAAAATCATGTTCTCAATGGGGATTGGCAAACCAGGGACCTGTCACAGAAAATCATTTTTGATAATTCAAGTGGATATGTTTGTGCAGAAATTATTTTTGAAGAAAATTTATATATACAGTTAAAACTCGTTATCGTGAAATTCAAGGTACTGTGGAAAATATTTCGACTTATCCGCATTCTGACTCAAACAAAGTGTACAAATAAGATTGACCATATCAGTTTCCTGAACGTTGATTAGGGTTGAACACATAGGGCTATGATAGCACGCAAGCAGCATAGTTTACTAAGTTTTTTTGAAATGGCAGTAAATAAACAAATAAATTTGATTCTACTTTCTCCTCTTCTTGTTTATTCATCCAAAAAACAAAACATGTAATAAAAACTCCAATCAAATGCTTTTGTACTCGTGTCGTTCTGACCCGCAAATGTGTACAATACCCTTACTTACCAAGCACATATACATCATATTTTTGGGAATCACAATAAAACAAAATTAAAACTTGCTACAAGAAAGGATGTATATAGCTACAGATTATATCATTATGACTTTACAGGGAATAAATAAGCATATGAAAAACACGGCACTATAAAGTTTTTTACCTGTTAAAGAAAACATTGTACAAGCATTACACTTAACAAATCACACATAGATATAGACTTTATAAATGAAAAATACTTTCAGTAATTCATTGTCCAAACACTTAATTCAACAAAGTTTCCTATCACAGTCTTTTAGTAAACAAGCTTAAAATTAATTTCCATCGGAATAGTGGGGATCAGATTTCGTCAAAAAGTTGTGCTGGTTTGGCGGTTTTGTTTTTATTGTTCCTGAAGATGCATGCAACCAAGCTAAATGATTTTAGGTTTTATGTAAACCCACTACTTTTTTAACATCCATGTAAGGCACTGCTACAGCATGGTGACATCAATCCAAAAGCCTAACTTTAATTGGATGATTAAACTGGTAATCAAATGCCAGAGACCAAGTTTTGTGTGTATGATGGACCACTGATATGCTGTAATTAGCCATGTGTTACTAAAATTACTAAGATATAGAAAGAAAAAAATCGGAACTAGACAATTATTTTGACTCAAACAGAATTTCGAGACGACAAGGTTCACTGTAATATCAACAGAGATGTAGTTCTTTTTCATAAGTCAGTACTTGTTCATCTACATATTTGAACAAATGAATTTGATTCAGTTATATTTTTCACATCCTTGAGCTATTCTAGATTCAGCAAGAGGAATGCACAAATATCCCTGAGCTAATCCTAATGTAGCATCGGTACCAACCTTCCATGGAATGTTTGCCTTCCAGCACCTCCAGGCCTCGCTTAAATGCTGAAGAATGGTCCTGGCCTTGTTCTGTTTGATTCCCTCTGGCATCATGTCTAGGATATCATGCATCACCTATACATCATAATAACCATCATTAAATATTAAATTGTGTCTGCAGTGGCATTAAAAAGACAAAATGCCTTTAAGTAATCAAATTTTTAGATAGATTTGTGTTTGTTTTTACCAATTTATGATACATTGGATATTATTTTCATTTGTCAAAACTAACAATCATTCCAGCGACAACAACCTGCAACTTTCCTGCAGAGAAAAATAGTTGGCATTTAGGTGGTCCTTGTTAAAGATGTTACAGATAATATTCCCAAACAAACAGTAAAATTCCTGTATCATCACATTTCAAAAAAAAAAAAATTTGTATTCATTTACAAGAACAATTTTTCAAAGCAATGGTTTGACTAATGGTTTTGTCCCTCCTATTAAACATCAATGCTCCATCTCTCAGTGGGAATCAACAATTAATTCAACCAATACTTACAGCAGCTCTGAGTTCAAGATCAAAGTGACTCTCTACTCGTTGCTTAGTGACAGTCTTGGCTACTCCCTTAGAGTGTCGCCCCTCAAACTGACGGGACAGCAGGTTGCCAAGCCAGCGTTCCAGCAATGGTGTAATGCCACGCATAAAGAACAGCCACACTCTCCATCCTGGGGCCCAGATACCACAGCCTGGACCCTTGCCAACTGGTCCCTGGGGAAGCACACAAAATTAAAATTATCAAAAAGATTTTTCGATAAATTGTGTCTTTGACCTACTAAACCGAATAAACTAGATATTCACTGAAGCCAATGGTGAAATGTTCCATCTATCTCTCACACTAAGTCTTTTGACTTTCATTCTAACATCTAAAGGCGACACATACTGTGTTAAATCTGTAGGAAATGAAATGCTTTTACACTATGGCATTATATAGTGGAAATTCTCTAAACTATTTTGATAAATTGTCTTTTTGACTTACTAATCTGAGTATCCATAGAAATTCAAAGAAGCCAAAACACTGGTGCAAAGTACCATCTATCCTAAGTGAAGACTTTTTCACTTAATTTTTCTGTACACTAAATTATTTATAACATGTGCAATGTTTGAAGGTGACACTTACAGCATTAAATTTGTAATAAATGACGTGTGTACACTAAATCATTTAAAAATAAGCCTGTTCTAACAATGATGGTGACACTTACTGTGTTAAATCTGTAGTAAATGACATGTTTGATGTCCTTACACATTCGGATCTGTCTCATCAACTTGTACTTGTACCGGTACATCCCAGTCAGCTGGCCCACATGGGCGAACACATACTGCTGGCCATCTGCTAACTGTTGTGACAAATATACTATTTATATAATATCAAATTTATATATTGCATCCAACATTTTATCAGCTGGCCTACATGACCAAATAACGTTCATGACACACTGATGAACATTTACACTGAAGTCTGAAGAGCAAACCAATAGAATGAAAATATGTTCTAGGTCCTTCTAGCAAAAGTTTATTTCATAATTTGGTTTAAATTCTCAGCTTTCTCCAAAATGAATGGGTAAACAATAATTAATGCACTGTAATTCAATGGTCATATCAAAGCAGTAACTAGAACAAACCAATTCTTGGTTTTACTAAAAAAAAAAGTGTATTCTTCCAAGGCTATAGTTACCTGAAAGGCATCCACGTTCCCAAGACGATACTGCACATGACTGTCCACAATCAGCTTGGTCAGACGAAGAATCTCACGACAGAGATGGAATGCATTTCCAAACCTGGACTTCTTTCTTTCCTAAATATGTAAGCAATTTTCATTTATAATTTTGTTTGTTTTTTGTTTGTTATTCCTTCAATAAGTAAATGAAAGAACAAATACAAACATGTCAGAAAACTTGCAAGCCAAAACAGTGGGCTGTTGGTTTTAAATAATGTAAACCCAACACAAATTACCAAAGCATTTAAAATGGAATGTGATATGACTTAGTTGTGAAATGTGACTAAAAAGAAACATCAAAGTTCTTTCACCTATGAAAAATTATGGGAATTTATAATGAGGCTCTATGGATATATCATTTAAAAATATCTGAATTGTTTAGACTCTATTCTATTCTAAATCAACCAAGCATTATCAGTTTTCCTATATTCATAATCTTATGTCAAAATAAAATTATTTTCATATGTGTCAAATTCAAATGCATCACTCCATTAAAAACTTTTTTTTTAATGTTTCTTGATACCATGCCATAGTTAAGTGCCATGTTTCATGATGAAATCTGATGGTGGAGACATTTTTAGAACACAGGCACAAGTAAACTTTTATCTCATATTAAAACTAGAAAATGTCTGTAAGACATGAATGCCCCCCCCCCCCCCCCATGTCATGAGGTCTTTCCATACTTGATATTTGTATGAAGTTTCATGAAAATTGCCTTCCGAATGATGTTGTTAGGTGGTATATACTGATTTGGGACGGGACGGGACGCGACGGACGGACATGGGCAACGCTATATGCCCCCAGCCGTAAATGGCGGGGGCATAAAAAATCATTTATGACAATACTTTTTTGAATGAATTCAGTTTCACTTAATCACTACAGAATTAAAGGCAGGCTATGCCTTTCACGGTATATGTTACCTTAGTGGTGAGGGTCTTGACAGGCTTCAGGTTGAAGTTGTAGTCGAGGTGAAGATAGTTGAGATTCTTTCGATGGATGAGAAGATTTAACATGTTGTAACCCTGGCGACACACCTGTAATCCCACCTCTACCCAGTCCAGCTGGGTTGTCTGGAAAAACTTAGTTGCCTTGAATGACCGGAACAGGTACCTGATTATGCCAAATGAATAAACATTACACCTACTTTCTATTAAATAATTTCAAAATATTTATATTTTCAATTGTTTTAATTCAGATTAAAAAATTCTTTCAATCTGAAATCTTTGTAAACATATCCAGTCAGTTCACTTCTTCAAAAGCCTGTTTTAGGTATTTGAAGAAATTTAGCTATTTTGACCATGTCAAACTTTAATGGAAATTGCAAAATCTACAATTCAGTGTCTCAATATTTTTGTCAATTGTATCAAGCTTATTTCAATACAAGACACAAATGATCACTAAGCAGGTTTTCCCCCTTGTACGGTACAACAGATTTATCATAAGCAACATTTTCACGTATTTTGAACAATAACAAGATCTAAAATTTCACAATTTAAAGTTGTAATCTTTCCAACCATTAAGTTTCTGCTTAATCTGTCATCGCCTGGTAACAATATTCTATTAGAAATCCTCTGTTGTCTAGTTGTTTTTTACTACCTATGAGTCAACTTACCTCTTCTTCTGTGCCTTTGGTGGCTTGTGTTTGAGTGCATTCAGGACAAAGTACTTAAGCAGTTTCTGATAGGATACACGCACTTTGACAGGCATCCCCGATGGACAATGTTCTCTGTACCTGAAGAAAAATGCAAAGATTATAGCAGATAAGAGATTTTTTCAATAGCAAACAACAATGTTGAAAAGTTTGTAATAGCAACCCTTAACATTTGTATGGATATTAAGTTGAAAATGAAACCATCGACAAATCAAACTGTTGAAAAATGAGAACAATTTAAAATTCCACAATTAAACATCAAAATTGGAGCGACTCAGAATCCATCTTCTTAAAACAATAACTGATGGAAGAAAAGACTGATAACAGTTTGAATAGCATATGCATTTCTCAATTTGCCAATGTTATACAATTTGAGAGAATTCTATGGCAAAAGTGTGTGTTTCTCTCTCAAAACTTTTATTTACTTTAAAGTAGAAATAGTCATTTAGAAACCTTTTGGCATTTTCAAAGAAATGCCAGTAATATGCAATGACAAAGAAGACATACCATGCCTTGACCAATGGAATGTCCATAGCACGACGTGTGCGGCCTGATCTCAGGTTGAAAGGTCGAGGAGCCCACAACAGGGCAATCCCATTAGCTGTATTGTCCGAGTACAGTGGGGTCTCCTGCATGAATGGCTGGACATAGTCTGGCAGCTCAAACTCCTCATCATCATCCGGAAGAATCTCTGTCTGTGAAAATAAGTTACACAATTAGTTTGCATTTACACTGTTCCCATCAGCTGATCTTTCATTTTATTATTTTGCACTGATAAAAGTTTCTAACAAATCACATTTCAAATGGTTTAAAATTAGCTTTGTGACATTCAATTTGTATATATGTCCTAAAATATGATTTCTGAAAGATGTAAAATTTCTTTTAAATCACATGTGTTCTTACAGTTACATTAATTAAAGCATGACCTGTTTCAAACCATGTAAAACCACAGAAAGGATATACAGCTTGATCACAATGAAGGGAACTGGCAAAGACAAGACTTACCTTTACAGTGTGTCTGTGAGAAATGGGATTGATGAGGGGATCAAAGTAGAAAGCTGGCAGATCAGGATCCTCAGTCTTGATGTAGACAACATTGGGGGTGTGGTACCTAGAACACGAACCAGATATCAGCATTATCGTCAAAAAGCAAACCAGATATCAACATGATCATCCCACAACACAAACCAGATATTTGTATATCATGAATAATATGTAACAATACTGACTGAAATTATTTGGGCTAATTAACAATATTTTCAAATCACTCCTTTGTTGACTTTCAAAAATATTAATACTGTATTTGCTCATTTGATATCATCCTACCCTGGGATGTGTGACAGTTTCAGCTCCTGTGGCTGGATCTCCCTATCACAGAATGCGCATTTTTGTCACATAATCTACCACAAATTCACACACAGACAAGCAACACAACCTGCTGTATAAGTGAATCTGTGTATGTTCCTTAAAGATGAACTCCTTCACATCCATCATATCAATCTTCTACAACTGCACAGCCATTCTGGCGATTTCTCAACAAAAGGATAAATCTAAACCAAATTGTGGCAAGAATAAACTATATAATTTATTCCATTCTAAATTTAAAGAGAAAGTTTCACAGCAACAAGTGAATGAACACTGTCACCTGTTCATGTTGATCTAAATTTTAAGAAAAATGAAAACAAATGATTATATTATGAACTTTTTCAGATAAAATGAAATTTGAAAAATGAATTTCATATTTTGATTTACATAACCTGAAATATCATTTTAACAATCATTACTGTATTTTATATATTACTCTGTAAGAATGTGCTGCTCAATCCCTATTTAAATTTTCCATTCCTTAATGAATATTTTTGAAGGTAACAAGAATTATTGTGCAAGACTGAGATCTCATTCAACTAACAACTCCATTGACAAATCTGGCTAAATCTACCAGAGGCCATCTGTATATAGACATCTGGTTATAAAGGTCAATATTTTCAGCTCTGTAAATTAAAAGTTTTTTTAATCTCAAACATATAAATTTATCTCATTCTGTACTTCTAGGGACCAAGGGGTATCTACATAGAAAATTTATGAGAGATCCATCTGGCACTTTTCCAAGAAAAAGCAACAACAAACTTCATTGAAAAATCCAAAATGGCTATCTGTCTGCAGTTTTGTTTTTCTGATCAGTCCCAAAATCAAATGGGCACAACTAGGGACCAACGGTAACCTACATAAAAAAATTTGAGGAAGATCCATTTAGTATTACTCAAGAAACAGCGATAGCAATATTTGTTAATGGACAGACCACAGACATTGGGTGATTTTAATTGTCTACGATTTGATGATGGTGGCCTACAAATCTCATTCCAAATGAAGCCGAGGTTGCGAGGTTACACAACATCAGCCGTCAACCGAGATAATTCAATCTAGCATTTTATGTTAACAAGTTAAAAGAACTCCATACATTATGCTGAATAACTACATCCACTAGTTTAATTTCCAATTATCTCCCTAAACAACTTACTTCCCTTGCTGGTAATACATAAGAGGGCGATTTTGTGTAAATGTACTAAACTCATCAAATGGAGCAGAACAATCTGATGTAACACACAAGAATGTCTTGTCTCATGTAGAAGAAACAAATGTGGTGTCAACATACCAGGACAGATGGACTTTGTAAGGCATGCTGTTATACAGGTATGGGAAGGCAATACGATACTCCGTTCTGATTGGCTGTCGAATAATGATCTTGTTGATGTCGTTGAACTCATTCCAATCTTCATCCCTGCAAGTATATTATAAATCACACTAAAATTTTGAACTGGTTGGTCACGATCAAATGACACTAAATCGAAATTATCAATCCTCAATGGGGAGATGTCGAAAGATTAATCTGAATGTACTATAGTGATGTTGGATTTCTTTCACTTTTTTGTGTTTGTTTTATGAAATATAACAGCAGAAGCAAGCAAGAATGGTGACAGACTACCTCTAAATGCTTTTGTGTTTTATGATCTAGGAGCTTTCAAATTGATTTACCAATGAAATCTATTAACTTATCAATCTAGTCTGGCGTTGACAAATTTAAGAATAACTTGGACAGATTCCACATAATGTCATCTTCTTCTTCAGTTCTGTATATTACATCAAAATATGAAATATTTCAATCAAAATATTTTCACGAAATGAACATTTCAGACATCACATACTGTAGTTCCTTGTCCTTCACGAGGGGTTCAAACTTAGGCCCTCCAGGTATGGCCATGTTGAGTGCCTTGGCAGTGAAGAAAGACTTGAGATCGAACAGGTAAAAATAATTGTCATCCACAAGATCTGTGAGGAGCTGATTTGCCAGACGATACAGTACAGACATCACAGGTAATGTCAGTCCCCAGCGACGGTAAGTAGTGCCATTCACACTTCTACAACAAAATTAAATAGACAATTGTATCACAAATCAAATGAAACTTTGGCAAAGGTAAATACAGACAAATCAGTGCCTTATTACACACAGCCTCAGTGGATTCTTTACTCTCACCATGTCTTGACAGTGGCTTGTAGGTATAACTCGGTATGTGAAGAATTGTGTTCAGTATGTAATTATTGAAATTCTTTACTCCCCAAGGCCGACTCTGATCTAATAAAGTCTATTGCTTGGAAACATAAGAATCTTCCCCTTTGGATTGAGATCTTCATACCTCAATCTATAGGAGGTTAAATATTTTATCATTTACTCGTAGGAAAGCTATAAGAGCTGAGGATACCAAATATCTATGCATACTTTGACTCTGTAAGAGGCTTGTGGTCATAGAACCATTCCATTACAGGCTTGTCCTCATCTGGGTCCAATTCCATCTGAATGGATTCCAAAGGCTCTACATCAAGGATGTTGTCAGCATAGTCCAGAGGAGGCTCCTCATCATCAAATGGTGGGAAACGCATTCGTTTGAAGTGACGTCGGTCTCTTTTCTCTCGACGCATCATGATCCACATTGATCTAAAAGTTGATGATAGGCAATAAGTATAATGTATAAAATGGTTCAAAAATGTTTCATCTACTCTTTATAAAGATTTTTTTTTTATCTTTTGGTTTTTTTCACAACCTCAACAAGCATATGTAACAATTTTACAGGGTCTGCTATCTCCTTGGGACTAATTCTACAGGGTCTGCAACCTCCTTGGGACTAATTCTACAAGGTCTGCAACCTCCTTGGGACTACTTATACAGGGTCTGCTATCTCCTTGGAACTAATTCTACAAGGTCTGCAACATCATTGGGACTAATTCTACAGGGTCTGCTATCACCTTGGGACTAATTCTACAGGGTCTGCTATCTCTTTGGGATTAATTCTACAGACCTACAACCTCCTTGAGACTAATGCAACAGGGTCTGCTATCTCCTTGGGACTATTCCAAACTATTCTCATCATAAGGTAGGAGACATTTGTATCTATCAAAACATTTTGAGTGACCTTCCTAACAACAAGAGGTCACAGGCCTTAACAGTCCCCAGAGGTCTTCAGGTCTTTGGACAGTTTAAGAACATGTCTATCAGTCCCAATATTGAGACAGACAGAACAGAACTGATATATGCATACTTACTAGTTTTTATTGCTTCTAAGTATGAAAGCTTAATTTTCATGTAGAATATTTGACCCCTGTGACCTTGAATGAAGGTCAAGGCCATTTATTTGAACAGCCCTTCATCCCAGCATGCTACCAGGCCCAATACCATAATTGGTATGCTCTGATACAGTTTTAACACTATCACAATAACCAATTGAATTTTTGTTTTTTTTCTATCTGCTAGAGTGATAAAGACGTCTCCATATCTTACCCCCACTGTGCAATATACACTGGCTCAATGACCCAAGGTATCTCGTTCACGAAGGTGATGGCACCAGTTATGTGATACAACACATGGACATCACGAATCTGTTCCCAAGGCATTGGCATATTCTCCATCAGTTTTAGGACAGCATGAGGCATGTACTTCAAGGCTCTGTATAAAATGATTCAACACATCCAGTTAAAATGCCATTAAATTTCTATCCAATGAAGACAGATGAACTGCAATCCAAATTTTTTTATATTGCTAGAAAATAATTCAGGATGATTATTTTATTCAAAATCTTATATCACAAAAAACTACATCACAAAATCAATTGTTAAACGTCTTATTAATATTCATTCTAATAACATGATTTAATTCCTTCGTTTTTATTATAAAAAGACAACCCCAAAACAAAACCTATCTGTCAAATCTATACAGTGCCTTCAGTGTGTGGCACTCATTTCTTTGAAGTAAAATAATTTCATATTATATAAAACTTGACAATACATATTTCTAAAATCGATACTAAATATCCTAATGAAACATTACTGAGATCCCCCCCTAAATAAAAAAAAAAGGAAAAAAAAAAAACCCACATCCTTTTATATCATTCCTACTGTACTTACCCTAGATACACTCTCTTATCATGTCGGAATTTCCTGTTGGTCATGTCACCATGGTCTCGGATAATTTTCCGGACCTGTTCTGGTGGCATGTCCTCCTTCTGAGCATCCACAAATCCAAATTTTCTCTTCTCGCTATAGCGTTTAGACTGAAGCTGTTGCCATTTACGTTCTGTAAAAAAAAAGAAAAAAATTAAAGCTCTCAAGTGTACTATTCTGGTGACATCATCATCAAGCTGATACATCTTCAGTTTTTCATAATTCTTCAAAACAATGAGATTGTAAAGCTTTGATATTTTAATAGATGTCAGAGCAATTTTTAATAACTATTGAATGTTACAGACACTGAAGTTAAAGTTTCATTGGAAAAAGGATCCTTGCATAATATTGACATTATTGAACACTGAGGAAAATTATTTAGCATTCTCTTATAAAATACATTCACTAGTAAAAAATATAATTAGTAAACATTAAAAATTTGAACCAAGACAACTCACTGAAATGAATTCTGTTTAGTGGTGCAATACAAACTTACGTTTCTCCTGTAGACGGTCCTCTGACATATAATCTGGCACTTTCGGCTGTTGTGGGGGAGGAGCCACAGGAGGGGGCATCTGTTGGGGCTGCGTCTGTAATACAGGCTGGGGGATCATGGGTATTTGTTGTATGATAAAGGGTTGACCCCCTGGCCCTATCATGTATGGGAACGCCATTTTGGTTCCCTGTCTCTTGACCAAGACTGACTGAAGGAGTAAAAGAACATTTATGAAGACAGTATTGCTTACTTATTTGTCTGTGATTTGTTTGTAGTATTTTTCACATCCCTCGAATAAACTTTATGCTGAACTTATTCATCTCAAGACAATTACTTAAGTTTCTTATATTGATTGTAGGTTTGGAATTTCAAACATCCTCAAATTTTTAGAGGAAACACTGAAACTCCATTGTGTTATCTGAATGGATCTACATTAATCCTTTCAATCGAGACAATGTACAGGTAAGTAATTTCTAAAAATCTTATATCAAGGCCTGCTACATTAACTATTGTATTCACAATACCTGACAAAGTCATGGAGGCCAATAATTACATCTGTGAGCAAAACTTTCAAATATGTCCAATTTGTTTGCATAAACCACGCATCATACTAGCCTGGCAGATTTAGAATGCAAATACTTGTATTTTACTGACATAAGGATTGCATTGCTGTCCATGGAGGGATTGACAAGTGCATTGGTGTATCAATTTGCATCTAAGTTAGACATTTTAGTATGCAAATGTAACTTAGATGTTCATTACATCATTATGATAAATTTATCCCAGTGAATCAAAACATGCTATTTCGATTAATATGAAGTACATCCATGTGTCTAAGCTGAAAGGATTTCTATCTTTCAAAGCTTCTGGCGGAACGCGGGGGGTGTTGGAGGGTGTTGGAGAGTGTTGAGGAAACTTGAAAAACAAAACTTGTTCCAACATTGTCGTTACCAACCCAAGAGTTAGAATTAGTAACTTCCGAAACTTTTATAAGAGTTGAAAATGCAATTAATCAAAAATGAAGTTGATACTATTTATTGTCTTAAAGCCAATACAAAATAAGTTGAAAGATTTTAATTGAAGAAGTTTCATTTTCACAATGCCGGTCGCGTCGTTTGCATTGATCCACTGTTTGTTGGGAAATATTACAACAAATTCACAAGAGCAAAAATTGCTCAAGTTCCAGAAAATGATAGATCAGAATTCATCTCTGACATTTATACAGATGTTAACAATATTTAAAACTATATACCTATGCTTCGTTTGTTGTCTTGTCCCGAACCTCTATGCGCCTTCCACAAGGGAAAATGGCGTTTAACGTTGTGAAAACGTGTGTCACGTGGTTTCCTTACGATGAATCTAGAGATTTTCCGAGGTCAAAACTCAAAAGACTTTCCGAAAAGGAGTCAAAGTGGAGACAACTCCGTATGAGGAAGTGTCACGAGATAGCGAAACTCGCGCAAACTCGAGTTAAAGAAAGTAGAACGTCTGACTGACAGAGAAAACCGTGTTAGGAAATATATTAAGAAAGAAGAACTGTGTTTTACTATGCTGGGAGTTTAGTAAATGTTGATTAACTATCCAGATCGACTGTCATTCTTTCATCTCCGATAACACAGAAGACAGTAGATGGTTAACTGCAGTGCAGCCAAGGAAATCGAAAGTATATCGTCAGAACTTCTACAACGTGTTGTCAACCAACAGGTATGGTCAACCGTTTTGATGTGTGTTAAACGCTTTGCTAATAATTGTCACTGCTCTCAATATAGAGTTGATATTTCATCGTATCAAATTATTAAATATTTCTTCAACGGCACATTGTTCAAAGTATAACTTATTTTATATATATATCTGTAAGTTGCAAGTGACAGTGTTCATCAGCTATGACCTACATTAACCTTTATCAGGCAATCTCCTGGCAGCAGACCGGGGTGGAGGTTAACTGTGTTGCATGAATGTTGAATTGTGAATGCATGACAAGGGGATACCCAAACCTCGGTTGTGTTGATAGCTGTGTCTTCAGGGGTGGAGAATTAAAAAGACTTTAAAGGAATGTCAGCGATTAGGGAGCTCAGTATGTAGAACATTCGCCAAGAGTTTGGAGGGTTTCAGCTTCAAATCCCAGTCTGGCTGTGCATTTTTCTGCTCCTTTTTCATATTACTGAAGCAATTAGTTCTCTGTCTCTGTCAAGATTCAGTTTCTGTTTTTGTTACAAGTGATAGTTTAGTGACAACAAGAAAAACAAAATTATAGAAATAAAAGAATCCACAAAAATATCCCAAACCATTTAAATTGGTTCGCCCAATGTGGAAAGCTGGTGCTCTTAGCAAAACTTGCAAGTATGGTATGACCAATTCCCCTTACCCACTTTATTATTTGAGAGATTGCCAGGGTTGGAGCCTTGGGATCAACCATTGTACATTCCTGTTCCCACGTGGGAGGGCTTTCATGCATTATACACCATGCATACATTCAGTTCGTAATGTTCTTTTTCAGATATGCTCTCACTTGTAATCAATCACTTTCACATTTCATACATTAGTTCTTTGATTAATCAGTTATTTCATTCACTCATTTACACAAAACATTAATACATTTGAATCAATTATTCAACATCTCATCTGAAGCAATTTTTTAACCACATTTGTATAGGTTGTAAGTTGGGTGTTTGAGCACATCCCCAATAGACCAACCTTGTTTTTTGTTTTATCCTGTGTGCTTACAATACATTTAAAGAATAATATTATCACATCAATTGGTCCTTGACCATGAGAACAGACATTTTCTAGAAGCAAAAATACCCTTAATTCATGTTACATGTTGTTGTGACATCACACACTCAAAGCAATAGCTGGCAGAAACCCGATGTTACACCAAAAATTCTATTAGACACAGTTATTTACTTTGATATGATCAGCATAATGATTGATAATGACTTGTAGTACTTGTATACAGCTCAGTTAGAGAGAAATTGTATTTGCCTTGATTTTTTGAGAGTAAGACTAATTAAGGCATTGTAGTAAGTAAATACATTTGTTTCATTTTTTGTAAGCCAAAGCAATGGCAAACAATTTACCTTATGATATGACTAAATTTTCCAAAGATGAAAATACCAAAGATTTGTGTGTAATACCCTTTAATTTTGGAGATGACTATCTTTAACTTTCCATCTCATACATCTTATCCAGAGTTTTGCAGAGAGCATAAGTGATTGTGAACCCCTGTAGGGACCAGTGGATTACTGAGTCAGCAAAAATGTCAAAATTGTTTTTAAAAATATCAGATGATGTTTGTTGTTGTTTGTCACTTTTAAGTGTGATTGTCAAAGTTGTATCTCCAAACAAAGCAAGTTAAAAGGTTTAATTTTAAACGCAGACGATTGTCGCCAAACCAGACATATGATACGTCAAAGGTATTTAAAGTTGCTGCTTACTGTTAACTACAGGAGTGGATGGAGATTCCAAGCTGTCAGTACTTAAACAAAAGACTCTTACAAGTAGATTGTATCATAAATGATTGTAACACCTGGAAGTTTGGAGGGAGGTTTGAGGGGGAAAACATACCCCTTTATGCTGTGAAACCAAGGGGCCCACATGGATGGAACTTGGATGTGAATTCATAATATTTTGATTTTCAAATCCAAATGAAAAAGTGCTTAAAGAAATGGTGGTGTTTTTCAATGAAGGGCAGTGCTGTTTACAGACAGGCTATTGTTTATCTGATACATATCATGCTTCAGGGCTAAATACCCATAGCCAAGACAACAATGCATGGACATTCTCAGGATCTCTCATTATTTTGAGGGAAAAATATAATACAAAATGGGCAGAAATAAAAACATTTTTGTTGGGGTTTTCTATGAGCCTCAAGTGTACCAATATTTACTTTATTTTCAAATTTGTTGATCTTGGTATATAGATTTCCTTAACTTTTTTTTCCAAAATTCTTAGTTTTTGGCTTATAACATCAATGAAAAAATTAACTTGAGAAAGAATTTTTAAACTGTATCTATATCATTAGTCCATTAAAGTCTTGTGAGCTTAAGTTCCTTGGCTGTATAGATTTATATATTGTGATAGAAATTTGCATAGGTCATTGCTATTAAGGCCCTGTATTAAAGGGAAAAGAGGCTAAGTGGCTTCTCATATTTCATCTTGGGGGAAAGAAAACCCACAGGTATAATAGCAACTAGCAACAGAAAGTGATAGATATATATTGTATATACATGTACCAGTATTGTACCTATATTTGGTAATATGTCATATGAACAGGAAACAGATGCTTGTAGCTTTTTGTCACATGATTTGGTATGATAGTGGTATTCCCTGTGATCTGTAATGAGGTGTGCTATCTTAAAAGGGAAGGACTGGTTCATTATAGAACACAGTGGTGAAAGGTTTGGATTGTGTTTTGCTTGATATATGTATACCAGTATACATTGTATATTGCCTTTTTTTCCCTCTAAAGAATGACGTGTTCAGATTTGTGTAAAGTAGAATGTATTGAATTGTTTTGTCTAAAATCCCTCATTTTGCGTGGTGTGTACTGATTTGAAACAAAAAGCACAAAAAGCATGCCCTGTTGGGTCACCTGGAACCTCAGTCCTGTTTTTGAAATATCAAGTGTTAAATGAATATTGAAAGAAAAATTGTTCATGACTGTTTTGAAAGGTTAAGATCTGTTATGATTACACAACAACAGAATCATTGCTTCAATGAATACAAACAAGGAAATCAGATTTGTGCTGAGTGTTCTGTTCTGAAACCCAGGACTCTCTGTCATGATACTGCAAATATATATATTCTAGCAGTCATCTTATTTTAGCATTTTTTACGATGAAAGTATTTCGCTAAACTATGACGGTGTTAATTGCAGGTTCTGTGTGTTGTAGATATTGTGGGTGCTTCAACTTAACATTGCACTGATGTGTCAATAAGTGTGCTAAAATGTTATTACACCATATTAAGAATTGGTTACAGTAGTTTACAACTGAAACATAATTCCAGCCGTGAACTGAACCAGAGGATCTTGCTTTGTTTGTGAAATGGTATATTTATTTATATACTCTCATCACTCTTAATGTACACAGGCTGTTCAGGGTATTTTAGAGACATAGTTGTAACACACTTACATGCACCAGGGCAACTAGCTCTATAAGACTTCAGAGAGCACAGTCGTTTGAGGTTTAATGGATAAAAATAATTATAGAATAAATAAGTTCTAATCATAACGTACAAGACTAAGTGGCCACCATTTTGAAAAACTTGGTATCAGGAAGATCTCCTGAATGATGAATCATATTAAGAAAGGATGCCGTACTCTTCCTGCCCCACTATGATCTAGAAAATATTGTAATCCTCCTGAAGGGAAAAAGACAAGACATCAACTTGACTTAATGATCAACAGATGATCTTTACTTTGTCACTTAAAAGATGGCTGCCATGAATGTCATTTTGAAAATCTGTTTTTCCTGGACAGAAAAGTTTGATCAAAACAGGAGTAAGGACTTTCAGCTTAAAACTTTGCAGCCGGGTCTCTAGAAATAAAAAAATTGTCATGTAATTGGCAATTTAAAAATCTGTACACAGCAGAACATGATTAGTTTTTCTTCATTTTTGGGAAAATGATAAACATAAGCTACAGGAAATGACCTTTTTCAATAAGATGTAACTTGTTATTTCAGATTTTCTTCCTGGACTTTACTGGGTTTGGTCATCAATAAATGATTGCTATAATGTCTTCACCACATCTGACAGAATCAGTTCAGGACAATCACAGCTGAGGAATGAAAATATAAGAATATGTAATACTCTACATCATTTGACGTATGGATTGAATGAATCTCGTGTATTTTGTGTTACTTAAGAAATAAAAAGATAAGGAAATAAAAGAAGTAAATCAAGATGTCATCTCCCGATTTTTTGGCGGTTTGTTGTGTAAAAAACGTTACTGATGTGGATTTAAAGAAAATGGAAGATGTCATGCTGATTGGACAAATCATGCTTATTGTTACCATGGTGATGTGTATTGTTTGCATGTTTGGAGTGTGCTATCTGGTTTTACCACGAGGAAATCCAGGATCATCAATATTTCGGAGTTCCTCCAACAGGATCTTGGCTGGACCAAATCTTAATAGCATAATCAGATGTATCGTAGCAACAAATCTTTTGGCTACATTGGGTAAGGATGGTTGTTTTCTGACTTTATAAGACAATATATTGTACTATTTTCATTTTGTTTCTTACTTTTTTTTGTTTTTTGTTTTTGTTTTTTGATAAAAATGGAGAATTGAGCTGAAAAGAGATGTTTTGAACTTAAAATACATATCTCCAAAATTTTAGTTACATTCTAAATTTTCATTAAGCAAAGTTTCCTAAAGAGATTATCTAAGATCATGTACATCAGAATTGTTGAAATTGTTATCTATTTTGTATTCATTCAGTTTTATTTTGATCCAAAATCTCATATTTTCATAAAATATCTACCATATATACAATAGATGGTAGACTGTACTCACTGGAAGAAGAACTGGTTTTATCTCCCTTTAAAGAGAACTTAAATGCAACATGAGGTACACTTGACTGTTTCAGGATTACTGGTGCGGTGCATAGTTTGGCTGGCTAAAGAATATCCCTCACCACATTCTGTCAGCCTCGATGGTAGACACATATTTTGTATTGTAACAACAGTAAGTTATTAAATTAATTAATTTTTTTCTTGATAAAATAATTGTTTTTGGTTTCACATGGAATCTTAATACATTTTGGCCTCATCCTTTTTTCTATGTAAAACATAAGTGCTTCATTGTTTCACAAAATACTGAAGTAAAATGACTTTCAAATGTTACTTGACTTAATTAAGGGGAATGATTTAAGCCTTCTCACTGTAAGTAATGTACTGATAACATGTGATAAATGGGATTTAATATGCATGTCCATGTTACGTTGAATTTATTTTAACTTGTTCTGATGTCATATCAAGTCATTGAATTTGTTTTATTAATTCAATATATTATGACCTCTGATGTCAAATTGGCTCTTCGTGACAGAAATCTTCATTAGAAACTTTATAAGTAGTAAATAACACATGCAATAGTAGGTGTGCCAGAAATGGCTTCTTGAATCTAATGGAAGAAAAACAGTTGACTTGGTTGGATTAGGGTTATCATGTAATATACTTATTCAGAATATAATTTGAGACAAAACCATTGAGTTGAGTGCAAGTAGAATAGGAAAAATCATTATTTTAGAGCCATTCTCTGTAAACAGATTAAAAAGATGAAGGACATTATTTACCTATTTTTATTTATCAAAAATATATTTTTCAGGTATGGATACAGTATTTTTTCCTGTGTAATTTTTTCTGGCACTTTCTTTATGGAGTGGAAGCTCTCTTGGTGTCAAAGAATAAAGAACTGTAAGTAAATTGAAAGTTTACTCTCTATTGTTCTTTCAGTCATCACATTCTGCTGTTATCATCAGACATATTAAACAGCATATATCTCGTATATGGAGGATGTTTAATGTTTTTCTCTTGAATATCGTATATACATTTATTTTATGAGAATTACAAAATGTATCAAACATCAAAGTAAAAAATTATTTTCATTTGACATGGTGGTTTGCTGGTTCTATTGTGGAGGAATTTTTAAAATTCTTATATCAAATCTATGCAATTTCACCATACATTCATTATATACTCCTATGAAGAAAAAGAAATGAGCACCTTCAGATATGTTGTTTGAAGATTTCTTTTCATTGAAGAAAGTGAAATTTTTATTTTAAAGTGCATATATAATCAGCAACAATTTTTGAAAATGAAAAAAAAAAGAAAAGAAAAAGAGGTTTACCATGAAATACACTACGTATTGTTCAGTGAGATAGTGCTGTTGAAGATACGACCAGCAGACCCTGGTTTAGCATGGTCATGTCTGCTGATGGGCCAATATACCCAACAAAATAACAAGATTATTGTTTGTGAGTTGTTGAAAGCATGAATTCACATGTAAACAGGTATCACAGCCTGTAATACTATGATTGTTAACTATTCAAAAAGTCACTGTAATGTTTTATGATATTTTCTGTATTTCAGTAATATGGCATTGAAGTACTTTGTTGGTTGGTTCCTTCCTGGTGTCTTTTGTATAGGGGGAGCCACCGCCACATACTTCTTTGGAATTAAGAGGTAAGATTTCTTTGTTTTTACAATTTTCTGGAAAATTTGAACTGTATACCTGATTTGACAGTTGGAGAGATGATACTATTTATCTGAAAGACACTGTTAGAATATATTTTTGTATTTGTTTATTTATTTTTATCATTTTTGTTTCTTTGTTTCTTTCTTTTTTTTTGTTATTTTGTCAATATATCTTACTATGGCATGTTGTTTTCTAATAAAACTGACCCCACATATGCGAGGAATTACTAGACCTGTTATATTCCAATAAATATTGTTGTAAGATGCATCTGATGTCAGTAGGGTCCTTGACAAAATTGAATATAGTGTTAGATATTGTCTCTGTGAGCTAGTACATAGATAAATATTCAATAAATCACTACATCATTGATCTTACAAATCAGATATTTTCTTGATTTTCAGTTGTATGCCTAAAGACAAAGTGACAAAAGATCTGAACTATGTTATATTCCTGAGTCCAGTTCTCATTGTGCTCTTACTAAATCCTATCTTCTTCTACAAATCTGCCCAGGCAGGTAAGTCCAGTACAGTTATGCCCTCTGGATACCATGTTTAAAACTAAAGTGAAAACAAGAATGACTGCAATAGAAGCACAAAGAAAGATAAGTTATTCTGAATAAACATCAAAATCTGTACCGTTTGCATGGATTTGGTGAATTTAAATACATTTTACAAGTCATGCATGAATATTGAAGATTCTGACAGCCTCCAGTCTGTCAGAACTTAGTAGTTCTGACTGTAAAAAATCAATATACTAATAAAGAGAGACAGGCATGACATATGCTTACACATAATGCTAATTTACAGAGGTCATTATCTATTACAATGTCTCCACTAAGAATCGAACCAGGGACCCCTGGCTTACTAGTCTGACGCTCAACCAATTGAGCTAAAGAGAAATTCTCTCTAGCCGAGTGATATATTGCCACTAGTATTTTACCAGGGTTACATACTCCCCCTCCAGGAAATAACTCATCCTCCAGTTTCCAGGGGTTACAGCGATGCTGGTGGGGCATGGCTAAGTACTATTCCCGGGTCTCTACGTGGGTGCCAATGTAACAGAGGTCATTATTTATTTCAGTGCCTCAACCAATCGAGCTAAAGAGAAATTCTCTCTAGCCGAGTGGTATATTGCGGCTAGTATTTTACCAGGGTTACATATTAATGGTTGATGAAGGAGTATCTTTTTTTGTCTCAACGGAATTGAATTTTTTAAATCACATAAATTCACAAATAGCATTTATTTGAATTTCTCTGAGGCTCAATCAAGGAAGTGTAAGTCTAGTATTGAGCCAGTGGTCTGTGAATAGAGACATTGTATAATAATGGCCACCATCAGACAAGTATCATTTTTTCGTGAAAAGAAATAAATGAAGGAAGTAAATTTGTTGCAGAATGAATTCAAATTTACCTTGAACTTTTGGTCATGTGACATGTTACAGCTAAGAGAGCACTTATCTGGCACTACGGCCAGTACACGATGACGGAAAGGAAACTTGTGGATGCAATCCACCTCAAGTTCATACTGATCTTGGCCACCTTTTCTGCATGGTATGTTAACACTTTTCTGATCTCTAGCTAATTTAACTTGATCAATGTTAAGGCTGTATGCTACCTTTCTGATTTAGTTATCTCCAGTAGAAGAGTTCCTGTACCTGAATAATATATGCATTATCATTATTTGGTTTTAGTGAAATACATGTGCCTTTTGCTTTATACACAACTGAAATATTCTACTGTAACAGTAAACTACTTTTTTTAACTTTAATAAATAATTTCAAGAAAAGTTGTTTTATCAAAATATAGAAATCACTTACATGTAATTAAAGTTCCGTAAAACTGCTGTTTTTTTGTTCTCAGGATCAATATGGTTATATAAGTTTTTATTAAGTGTAAATATCATCTTTATACATGTAGCTGATACTTTACAAAGCTGATGTTCATTTGTATACATATATGTATTTTGATTTATTCACAGTATTCAGTATATGTACATATTTTTCAATTTTAGAAAAAAAAAATTAAGATATCAAACTGATATTGAATATTCAAATTTTGAAATTCTTGTATAAGCAAAATCTATTTAAAATAAGAAACAAATAAAAAACAAAAAACAAAATGAAATAAATAAGTAGGTAAAGAGAAAGATATTCAATTTTAATTGATGTTTACAGTATTTTTTGATGTATTGATTCTGAAGAGTTTTGTTTTTGTTATAACAGTTGGCTGCCAAATCTAATTAATGCTACCATCATGATATCAAATCCTTTCCTGTCTACAACAGCAGTGTATGCCACAGTTGTCTTCATGGTTTGTATACTACAAAATCTATCTTTACTTTAAGTGGAAATGTGTAAGGCCTTTTTCATATCTTTTCATACTAAGCTGCAAAGATACATAGTTTTAAATGAATTTCACATTATTTGTGTGTGGGGGTTGTGGGGGCACATGGGTGTGTGTGTTTTTTTATTCCTTTCCTGGTCTTGTAAGATTAATAAATTTCATGCTTTTTAGGTCATCTGAGACAAATTCTTAGGGTTACTTGTTACAATCCCCTTTTGTCCAGCGTCATGCATTGTGCATCGTAACCTTTAAACATTTAAAAAAAAAAAGAACTTCCACGGATTAAGGCACAAAAAAATTGTAAATTATATGGTCCCCAACCCCCAGGGGCCTGAGGGGTAGGGTCAAATTGATTTAAATTTAAAAAACCTTCTTCTCAATCCAGTAGAATCAAGTACTCTTAACAGATGGAAAGACCTCCAGATGCTTTACCAATTGTAAATTTCATGACCCGAGGGTCTCACATTTCTCCCTGGGAAGGGGGTAAAGTTTACTATAGTTTTTATAGGAAAATCATATTTTTGAACATTATTTGTTTAAAATGGGACAAATTGACTGAAATTTCAAAGATGTTTTCTATAAGAAAAATTCAAATCTTGAATGTAATTTTTTTTAATTCAAATTTTGTTAGAAACCTTAGCATGGGACAGCAGTTAATGTATACACAATTTACATCTGCATTATGTTGACAATATAGTGAAAGTTATCTTACTTTTTTTAACAAGGTTATTTCTATGACATGTTACAAGAATCTTTGTGGTTCAGGTGACCGGTAAAGCCTTTGGGGCTCTTGTTTTTTCACATTCTAGCAAGTTTCTTGCTTGTTTCAATACCATAACACTGTCATTTGATGTAGGGACTAGATCCTACACCCAGTGACATTAGGATATAAAGTTGTTTTGTGTATTCATTTCAGGGCCTATTAAACCCACTGCAGGCTTTGTTCTCCTCTCTTGTGTTTTGGGGTATTCCTAAAGAATCTGTAAACTGGAGCAGAATTTTCCACCTGAGTGAATATGCCTACCTTGATTCGAGCAACATCAATGCTTCTCAGAGCCATCAGTCAGCATCATCTCGTAGTGGCAGTGAGACAGAGCCCCTGATCAGCTTCCGACGCAAAGAGCAATTCTGATTGATGTATCGTTTTAATTGTGTTTAGATAAAAAAGAAATTGAATTTCATATTTTATTAGTTTACAGCACAACAAGCAAACTTGATTGTTGTTTTCTCAAGTCAGAAGATTCACTTTACCACTTTTATAGCTTGGTCCTAGAAAGTCCTCACCTGACCTCCTGGAAGTAGGGCACAGTAAGTACTTTATAACTATGGCATTGTTACTAAGTTTTATTAAATTGAAGTCTCTCATTTAATACTGATGAATAGAGTGATCAAAATGATCAACTAGTAACAGTTGATTTTATTTTAATAGCACATTCTGTATATCTGAAGTATACTGTATTGCAGTTTAGCATAGTGCAGCATATTTGTATACTGCTAGAAAAGTTGTTTAGTGCTATAGGAGTCATACAGTGTTAGAGGAGTCATATAGTGCAAGATGGGTCATATAGTGTTAGAGGAGTCATATAGTGCTGGAGAAGTCATATAGTGCTAGAGGAGTCATATAGTGCTAGAGAAGTCATATAGTGCTAGAGGAGTCATACAGTGCTAGAGAAGTCATACAGTGCTAGAGGAGTCATATAGTGCTAGAGGAGTCATATAGTGTTAGAGGAGTTATATAGTGTTAGAGGAGTCATACAGTGCTAGAGAAGTCATATAGTGCTAGAGGAGTCATACAGTGCTAGAGGAGTTATATAGTGCTAAAGGAGTCATACAGTGCTGGAAGAGTCCTACAGTACTAGTAAGAGAAGTCATGAAGTGCTAGAGAAGTCATGAAGTGCTAGAGGAGTCATAAAGTGCTAGAGAAGTCATATAGTGCTTGTGGAGACATACAGTACTAGTAAGAGAAGTCATATAGTGCTAGAGGGGTCATATAGTACTAGCGGAGACATACAGTACTAGCAAGAGAAGTCATATAGTGCTACAAGAGTCATATAGTGCTAAAGGAGTCATTCAGTGCTAGAGGAGTCATACAGTATTAGTAAGAGAAGTCATAAAGTGCTAGAGGAGTCATACAGTACTAGAGAAGTCATGCAGTGCTAGAGAAGTCATACAGTGCTAGAGAAGTCATATAGTGCTTGTGGAGACATACAGTACTAGTAAGAGAAGTCATATAGTGCTAGATGAGTCATATAGTGCTAAAGGAGTCATACAGTGCTAGAGGAGTCATACAGTACTAGTAAGAGAAGTCATAAAGTGCTAGAGGAGTCATACAGTGCTAGATAAGTCATGCAGTGCTAGAGAAGTGTTACAGTGCTAAAGGAGTCGTATAGTGCTAGAGGAGTCATATAGTGTGAGAGGAGTCATACAGTGCTAGAGAAGTCATGTAGTGCTTGTGGAGACATACAGTACTAGTAAGAGAAGTCATATAGTGCTAGAGGAGTCATATAGTGCTAAAGGAGTCATACAGTGCTAGAGGAGTCATACAGTACTAGTAAGAGAAGTCATAAAGTGCTAGAGGAGTCATACAGTGCTAGAGAATTCATGCAGTGCTAGAGAAGTCATACAGTGCTAGAGGAGTCATAAAGTGCTAGAGGAGTCATACAGTGCTAGAGGAGTCATGCAGTGCTAGAGGAGTCATATAGTGCTAGAGGAGTCATGCAGTGCTAGAGGAGTCATGCAGTGCTAGAGGAGTCATATAGTGCTAGAGGAGTCATACAGTGCTAGAGGAGTTGTACATTGCTAGAGGAGTCATACAGTGCTAGAGGAGTCATATAGTGTGAGAGGAGTTGTACATTGCTAGAGGAGTCATATAGTGCTAGAGGAGTCATACAGTGCTAGAGGAGTTGTACATTGCTAGTTAAAACTACAATGAAATCATCACTTTCCTGCATGATGTATCATATCTGGTAGTTTTGTTTTATTGTACAAGATTTTCTTATTAATGTATCAGCACTGTACAGTCTTTTATGGTTCATTGTTGGTATATGTCAACTAATGCACTGTGGCATGACATATACAAATTGATCTGGTAATGCTGATATTTCTTTGAATATCTATCTTCATCATATCCTCTTATATACCTTGTAGAATCTTGTAGAAAAATGATATAACCATTGCATATCTCATGTTTTAACTTGTAGAATAATTTTAATCTACTTAATATTACCATAGAATTATCTATTCAACAATTAAAATGTTTTGGAATTGATGAAAGACCCAAAGTGTTTATTAATTAACATGTTAATATTATGTTGTTTTTTTAATTATTTGTTTTCTGTTTAGTTGAATTTTGTTGGAAACATATTTTTCTTCATGTCTGTATGATTAACTAATGCCTGTTTTCGAGCCTTGTCAGAATATTTTTTCTGTCAATCTTTGTTTACAGGTGTGTTTTTTTTCTTGTCAAATAAATGAATAATAATTTTATTATGACATTTCAGTTTTTAGTAAAAAAAAAAAAAAAAAAAAATAGATGCAAATTATTTCATCTCCTCGAATCCTCTCCATGAATTCCTGAAGTAAGATTTTACAAATATTTTTATTTAAACACATTTATTTATTAGATCTGTTGATATTTTCTTGTTTGTTTTGGAAGAGAAAAAAGAAAGTTGTTTATTAAAGAAACTTGTTAGATTTGTAGTTTCATATGTTTTTAGATTTAAGATAAGCAATATATGTCTCAAAGAGGTATACAATTATTGAATATAAACAAATGATATTTTATCCCTCTCTTGTCATGTTTATTTTTGTTTGTAGTAATGCTACATTTCAGGTTGTGTAGTTTGGATTATCGTTTGAATGTTTCATTCTGAAATATAAATGTTATTGTTTTAGCGATATATTTACATAAATCTTGTTACTTTGTTTTATCTGATCATGACTGTGCTGTATTTTTATGCCCATTGAAGCTTTTTTGATGTACATTTAGGTTTGTTTTTAATCACTTGAGTCTTTTTATAAGCAATTAAAAAATTTAGCAGGACACATTTTGGTGTGACTTTGTTCGTCCATCAGCTATGTCATAAACTTTGTACAAAGATCTTCGACGACAGTTTTCAACTGAAGCATTTTAAACTTGGTTGAGTTATCAACAATTACATCAACAGTTTGGTGTGACTGTATTTGAAAGAGTTACTGCCCTCTTATGATCTTGTGTGAAGATCATCTCTCTCAGCTTTCAGTAATTTCTTACAAACTTGGTAGGCTGAAATCGTCAGTGGTGTTTTCCAACACAGCAGTTTAGTTCAGCTTTTTTTGAAGGAGCTGTTGGCGTTCTTTCTTTTTTTTGTAGCATTTTCATTTTGTATGGAGATCCCCTTCCTCAGCTTTTCTGAAACTTTTTAGACTTTCTAACTAGTTCATGAAATGGTGTTTTCATTACTGGTGTTGTTAATTTTACAGTTTTGGAAAGAGTTATTGCCCATTGTTTTCTTCACCATTTTTGTCATGTTCAGATATCTCCTACCTATGTTTATGACAAATTTCCTTCAAAATTGATATGCTTGAAAACCACAACTTCAGATTATGTTCTCATCAATAACATTCTGATAAATCAATATTTCAGAAAGATATTGCCCTTCTTATGATCATTTTAATAAGGTACAGAGATTTTTTCATTTGTCCAACAGTTTCGTCTTGGTATATTTGATATATCATTAAAACATATAGCACTGTATATACCATTTCCATATTTGTATTCTTTTTGATACAAAAGATCCTGAATATTTCTTTGGCATGGGTTCGATGTATATTGTTCTGCCCCACATAACTCTTGTTGACTATGCTTCCCTTCTTTAAGATTTAAAACATGGGGATGATTGTAGATTCAATAGTCCGAAAAAATGGAGGGTATGCCTGATCAATTTGCACTATTCAGACATTGCTCATTTGCACATTTTATGAAGGATGATTCTTTGTATTGCTACATGTCTAATTTGAAATTAGATAACTCAGTGTAAACTGTACCCCTAAAGGAAATCATGAATTTTTTTTTTCTTTCTTAAACTCATTCTGGTTAGTACTGACTTGTTATTGATGGGAGGTAACTCTCGATTGTTATATTTTGTTATTACTCTCACAGGCAGAAAGCTAGAACATTTGTCCTGCTAATTCAAAAGTACTTTTCAACTTGTGCCATATTTACACATTTGATTACTAAACAAGGCTGTTTTTCTTACTTTTTATGCTTCTGAACCCATTTCAACAAGAAAATATTTTCATGCAGTGCTGAACTTTCTTGACCCAAATAAAAATTTAGGAAAAAAATGGAATTGAAATTTGATAAAATGCCTTAAAATTTTTCATGTACTTTCTGTTTGTGAAAGTATATCTAACATCACAAATGATCAGAACCTTATTGTTGATATATAACCATGACTGAAATAAAAACAGATGATTTGCAAAAATTGTCACATTTTCAGACATTTCATGACAGAATAGTTATTGCTATTGTATTCATCTTTTAGAGCACTTACAAGTTTTGCTTTAGTATTGTTTTATTTGATTTCATTATTTATGTTCAATCTTTTATCAAGACAGAATTGTTTTACAGTTTAACAGTTTACCATGTGTTTTAAAAAGATGTCTTGTTGCCACAGTGACTTGACACAAATTCCTACCCCATGGTCTGTATATATAGATATATTACAGTTTAATAGATATACATATCTATGGACCGTTGGTTGGACATTTGTGTCAAGTCCCTGTGCTTGTTGCTAGTGTTGAAACAAAGGGAATTTGTCTCACAGAAAATGAACTTTTTCCCACATGACAAAAAAAAAAAACCCAAAAAAACCGGGTATACAATATTTTTTATGGGTTTTGTTCACAGTAATACCACTCTTCAGATTCAGCTGGAGAAATTTAAATGATTTGCATGAACAGCAACGTTTTCTTTGATCAATAAGATATAACATATTAAACATTATATGCTAAATGGACATATTCTATATTCGTTCATATGTCTGATGGTTCCATTGATGTTTATTGTGTTTTAATTTGAGAATGTGACATTACATTATATACTTACACAACAGATCTGTATAGTATAAAATTTATATATTTATAATTATATGCCGAGAATTGATATTTTTGTGTCGTCAGAAATCTTGTGTTGCTTATTTTTATTAATTGTTAACTGTGGTGTTAAATAAATTCTAATGTATAAAGGATTTAAAATTGATGTTATTTTCTTTCCATGAACACTGAATAGATTGGCCCCTGTTTCAAGAATATTAAAATCATTAATCAAATTGAGCCTTATAACACCAGTTTCTCAGATGTGTCCGACCCCAAGTTTCAAACTAGGGGGAGATAAGTCAATTTAAGAATTTAGAATAGCAGTTCTTTGTAAAATCTTAGGTGCTGGTAATGAGTCAAAACTTGGAAATAAAAAGAAACTGTTACTTCTA